ACCTTCACCCAGCTGTCTTGGAGGTAGAGTAAATCTCCAAATTTTATCTTTGATCTCCTGTCAGAAACAAGGTAAATCCTGGAGGACCTGACTGTTTACCCCCTCAGGTGAGCAAGGGACAAGGGCGACCACCTTAATTACTTGAGGTCAAGGCACATGTATATGACAGTTAATACCAAAATACAAGCATAAATGAAAGAAAACATGCAACCTAATTATGGTTAAGCATTCAAGGGTGAATTGTATATATACTTCACACATGTCACATTAATAAATAAATGCTTCTTTTATTTCTACAAGCCCACATATAAATACAGGATTTATAAATGAAAAAAGTTGCTTCATTAAACCCGTAATTTGATTAAATATTTAAAACCACCATCACGTTTTTTTGAAGGCATATGTTTACAAGTAACCAGTGTTTTGGAAAGTTTCGTAATTTAAAAACAAGTAATCAAACTAATATGGACATTTTGCTATGATGCTGTAATCTTGTTCCAATCCGCCTTTAAAAATCTTTCCTAAAACTTAATACAAACACACTTCTTCCTACATCTTAAAAAATATGACACTTAATTGCACTACACTCAGGCATAAACGGATATGGACATGTTCAAGTAAAATAGACTCAATAACACCAGAAGAGCAGGACATGTACACAAGTACATGTCTTATCATATTTACATTTACTTGATAAAAGCATTTGTGCCGGATCAAAACATTCTACACTGACACCTACAAACATATTGTAAGATCAGTGTTGTTTAAAAAGTTATCAAGCAAAATACCATTGCAAAGTACAAGCACCCCGGGGATCACATGTCCACTCTAGATTACAGGTCAGTTTAATGACATAACAGAAGTTGGGACAGACCATAAACAGTAGGGCCCACACTTCAGAGCAGATAAAACAATGAGCTTAGTGTAGATATCCATCACAGTCATCCCAGTCCAAGTCTACTTCAGCCTTTGAGGTTATACCTGTACTTCAGATAAGATACACGGCTATGAATAAGTTAACAAATGTTAGTTACAAGTGTTGGATATATATGTGCATGGGTTTAATCAATGTGCAGACCATTTCATAGTCTCAGAAGAGGGGTCTCAAAATCTCAAAATATATGTGCACATGGAGTTGATGTCATAGGTATTCCTAAAGAGAAGTGACCAGACACTTTTCATGTGCATAACATATGCCCCATTATCAGAGCTCAAACTTAGAAGTTGATGATACCAAAGATGATGGTGACAAAAATCATGAAGCACTTGACTTAAACAATTTATACTAGTAGGCAACCTGAACACAAAACAACAATGTATGTTTCAGAAGTTGTGTTTGGGTTGGGTAACATCCATGAAACATCCTGGGAACAGGACTTCATTCAAAGGTGGCTGCTGGTCCAAAACACAACTGATCTGTTTGTCTCAGGAACTACGATTCGATTCGGACTGTCTAAATTTCTAACCATCGGATGGTGTATTTTAGACTGATTTTCTTGTAATATTGACGTTGCGTTAAAGCACCTTTGGTCCTCAGAAACTGCTGAGGGAATGCCCACTATGCAGTAATTTCCTCATAAAACCTTTGATACTTATCAGTGTTAATATGAAGAAGCTTAATAATGAATGAGTAAAGCTTGCTATCAAATTTTGTATGTTAATGGGATATATGTGAAATATGCCTGTCTACATGAATGTGTTTGCACAAGCACTTTTCAATGGCCTTGTACACAGGCATACCTGTGTGGCTTGTCAGCTGAGTAAATTTTTGAGGGAAAAGCAACACTTAAAGCATGCCCCCTCCTTGTCCTTGATCAAGCTAATATAAAAGTTTGATGAATCATAGAGGGAAATTTGACAGTATTTTATAATTTGGACCCTAGATACAAAATGTGGTATACTTGTGTTCCAAATGAAACATAAAATTGAAGCATGTTTCAAAAAGCTACTTTAAGATAAAATTCAATTTCACTGCTTGTTAATTAGCTCCAGTCTAAAAGTCACCATTGTTAAGTCCTTTTAAGTTATTTAGCCCTTTATGACCCTATCTATACTATGTGGAGTCCATTCTACTCAGTTAAGCTACCATATGAAATGTCCAGCACTCTTCAGGATCAATCAAATAGTGTATACAAGTTTTGATCAATCATAATCAATACATATTGTATTTCATGGCAAAGTCCCCAGGCACTACCGTCCATACTATACATGTAAACAAGAATCGAGTACCATTTGACAGGTACAAATAAAACAGCCCCATTTAAAGCATACAAAAAATAGAACAGGCCAATATATCCTAGTAATCTATTTTTCCATTGTTATGCTGGTGATAATCATGCTAGATTAGGGAATATCACTGCTTTATGTCTCCACTAAAATCTGGCCTTGTATCAAAGTCGCCAGCTTCAAATGTTTTTGCAGGGCACTCAACACATTGACCAGGCTCAGGGCTGGTTAATAATTCACGACAGAACAATTGATTGCTCAATATCTAAATTGAGGCTCTGTGTGCCTTTTTGCTTGCAAACATTGATTTGTCACTGTGAGCCACTTCCCCCTCCAAGTTCTTGCAAGAAGAAATTACAATCATATCTGATCTTTATACTTTTTGAATCATGTTATGTTTTTAAAAATAACATGGCACGGAAATGATTTGGTGTGCACAGTGCGACTTGTTGAATGTTTTGGAGACGTGACAAAATAAAATGCTGTGAAGAGACACACATCAGGCATGAGCATTGATTAACACGAATTGTGAACTCTGATTGTATGACACTTTTACAAAGTCAAAGAAGCCGTTCAGAATAGAAGATCCGAGGATCTTCTGATCCACAAATCAAATATGTCGGACCCTACATGAAAGAAGAGCTGACTAATACGTTGATGGTCTCTCCGCCTCTATACACGTGCCATTAAACAGATTAAATCACGACTTCCGAGGTTCAATTGCTAGACCCCTGTAAGGACATCGCATGTAGAGGCAAGGAGACCATCAGCGGATTAGTTGGCTCTTCTTTCATGTAGGGTCTGCCATATTTGATTCATGGATCAGAAAACCTTGGATCTTCTGTTCTGAAAGGCCTCAAAGGTACATAGCTATAAACACCTGTTAGTCCAGAGAACAGAATGAACTAAAAACTAAGAATATATATATGCTACCATAAATAATAAATTGTTATCACAGAGGCAATGATTACGATTGCATATCTCATCCGATATAAAAAATACTGACAATGATTAACATTTCATGTAAGGTTTGTTTCATGCCACCATAGTTAACAATTATTATATCCTGATGTAAACTTGACTGGCCATTTAAGAGTTGGAGGTTTCAGATGTCATCTCTGAAACAAGGACTCCATGTATCAGTTAAGTAATGACCACAACACTTATGCTGGTTAACCCTCCTTGTAAATTTATATCAACCATCACGAGAAAATAGGGAAAAAACTCAAAGTAATTCCCATGGCTCAGTACTTCAGTGACTAAGAACTTCTTAAGTGTCTATTATCTTTAATACTGGGCACAATAAAATGTATAATATTTGGGTTTTTAAAGATGCACATGAAGTCAACTTTTTTGTCAATTTAAGCCGACCAAATGCCAGCATATAGTTTCAAATAGTATAACTAAGAGAATTACTAAAAGGCATCATTTAACATTAATATTACCTGAAAAATGATATTGGAATGGATTTTTTTTTTTTTTTTTTTTTTTTTTTTTTTTTTTTTNATATATAGAATTTTGAATTTAAATCTAGCCAGAATGAAGATAGCCCAAACATGGTAATATTCTACTTTTTTATCACCACAAACCTCTAGGAATTCTTTTCAGCATGTCTTCAGACCATTGGCCAGGGTTAAAACTTATTTCCAAAATAATCTATCAAATTCTGCCTCATGCCAAACTATTCATCATTACATAGGCAGGTAGTAACTTATAACAGAATACAAAATACTATTCTAATTTCTTGGACACTCTGAACTCACTGTTTGTATAGAAAATTCTACTAAAATGCTGAACTATTCCAATTTTGCTACATAAAATGTACAGTGTTTACTTTTTATCTATTAATAAACGAAAATTAAAAAAAGACAAATTTAACATATCCTTCAGTTGGATACCTTTTTTTTTTTTTTTTTTTTTTGCTAGCTTCTATGCTGTATATAAATAGGGTAGATAAGTAAGTCAGATCAGTAGGTTAAATTTACAACCAAAAAATTAAAGAAAGGAGCAATTTAAAAGTCTCTTATCATTGACTGAGTGATTTATCTCTTGTCAAATTTATCTGAGTCATATAAGAAACTAGTAGAAATGGTTTATCTATAAATGCGTTATTGGGAATCCACCATCCACCAATGCTCAGTTCATATGTACTTTTTAATTAACTTTTCTTCCCTTGGAGTGGTACTTTTGAATGAGAGACCAGTCTGAGGATGGGTTGCTGTTGGCCTACATGTACTAGTATGTGCACAGTGTATGCAACAGGTCTGTAAAACACTTCATTCACCAACAGTTCCACCATGTTTAGAATAAAAATAGGTTTCTGATAGCAATTTAAATAGTTTCTATAATTCTACAATAAGACATGTCTTCATACAATCAAGTTTCATATAATTTTTCAAATTACAGTTTATAAATTATGTAAACAATACTGCATAACAACAAGTGACACACTGGATGTTGTCCCTGTATTCACCTAATATAATCACCGCAATGATTGTCTAATTTTGTTTGTCATTTATGAACAGACTAGAAGGGTAAGATGGCAAAATAAGTTTTGTACACGTTGTACGTCAATGAGTTGATTCACAATGTTTCTATGCCTGCTCACTGTACTTCGCACTTTGGCTGAGTTCTCAGCGTTATCAACCGATCAACGATGATAACAGCGAGAGGCTATCACTATTATTCAGGCATCTAGATCCAAGAAATAATGCTGCTTTTCTTCGATATAACTCTATATATCATAACAGTGGCATAAATTCTAAGAAACCTACCAACGATGCATCTGTTGAGTCCCTCCGAGATTTCTTTTTCCGTGACAGCGATCCCGCTCGAGCCGAACCCAAGGCTTTCCCGATCTTGTCAATTTTGTGGGTAATTTTCTCACCAACAGATGTCATGGTTCGTTTAAAGAAAATCGGAAAACCGCAAATTAAAGTTGAAATGCATATCTACATCCCTAAGCTAAATGTCAAGTAATTGATACCCTCCCAGCTACTCTCCTTATAGGTTAAATATCTTTTACACTAGTCTCCAAACCGACTTATCAATCTCCATGTTTGCACTACAAGTCATGTGACAGGAAGTCTCGCTTTCAAATCCAAGGTCGGACAACAAGTAAACATTGCGAACGCACTGTTACTTTTTCAAATTTATTTACCAAAATTCACAATAATAGTCCTTTTCAATGTAAAGTAAGGTTCTTATAACTAGAATTTAGCCATTTTAATGAATGAGAATATTTGTTATTCAGGCAACTGCGAAAAAATAGATTTTATATCACGAGATGCACGTATTACCATGTGAATTTACAATAATGTACGTGTAAATGTTCCTTTGGTGATTGTTAAAAGTATATTACTGACTGCCAGTTTGTATTTGTGTGATAGTGGACATGTGAAAAAGCCATTCTTATGTCCTTGATGCTATATTGCGGACACCCTTGGCACACCAAAACAAACGTGGGATTGTGGGTGTGACGGAATGGTGAGCTCTGATTGGCTGTTTTGTGCTCTCAAGGTCATTTGGACGTGTATAAGAGGGGTTCGTGCTCATATTTTGACACTTACTTCGACTTATTTTGTACACTTGTGTGGTATACTTGATACGGTAAATTGAAGCAGTCTTCACCATGTTTCCTAGATCCATTTGAATGCTCAAGCAGTACCAGGGGCCCAAGAGCAATACACATTTGGAACGTTTTATCAGGTAAACAAACCCTTTTCTGTGATACCGCTTCCTGCACAAAGTAGACTACGTTTCAGTTGAATAATCCAATGTTTTTGGTTTTATGTTTAATTTTCTGGATATGTACAATTGAAAACTGAACTTTCAGCTGCCACTGCAACCTCGATCACAGTGATGACACTAACAATTACATGTTGATCATTTGCCATTCTGTTCCCAAGTACAGGTCCTAGCTATAGGTACATTTGTACATGTACAAGAGAATAACTATTGCATCATGCGCCCTTTATAGACAGGGATTGGTGATGGTTAAACCCCCTATGTGTGAAGCATAATCATTTGTTGTACTTGCCAGGAGAAGGGAGGTCACCGAACTATTGCCAAACTTTGATTTCCATCAATGAAATGGATTAAAATTTTTTAGAGAAAAAGGGAATAATGTCTATTATATCTCTCCATCATCCCTGAACTTCTTTCTTTCCACCTCATTGATCACGTTTGCTGCATGTGCCATGCACTTAGTCTCCCACACCATTCTTTCATGTTGTTCATTATGTGCATGCCTGATATGATATGCCTTGTCTGTACTAAAACAGCCATTGTCATGCACCCAGTGACTTCATTGCGTTAATGATGTGCAACATGATATGCAACTTAGACATTTATTTTTATAGTTTCATACAGCTGTAGAAGTATATACCACTCCAGTACCATCCCACTCCAATAATGTCAACAGAGACGAACAATATGGTGAATGGACATTCATCAATGAATGGAGACATTTCATCTGATGATGACCCCATGCCAAATGGTCAATTTGATGAGGGGAAGAATATGGAAGAAGAGGAGGAGGATACTGAAGTTTTGAAAGATCCTTTTTGTGACCCCGAGCATCCAAGACAGATTCAGTTTCAGGACATTAGTGCTGCTGCCTACAAGATCAAAAATGGAGTCCAGAAGACGCCATGTACAGTAAGGAAATTTTTTTTTTGTCCAAAACCAATGTGATCGGCAAGAGTTTGATCAAATAAATGGCATGTAGGTTTTGATAATTTTGGCATCTAACAAAATTTTATTTTAAAATATTTCAGTGAAAAAATTGATGGTGATATTGTTTCTATATAATGAAGTGTCTGACTGCAAGTATTCTGTTAGATTGTTTAACCTTGTTGCTGTTGCATTTTTCATTCCAGTGGTCCACTATGTCACATCACTTCAAAACAGATATTTATTTCAAGAAAGATTTTCTACAAGTAACAGGAAGGTAGGCTTTTTTTGGTATGATGTAATCCAGTACTGTTGTGCATCTAAGTTTTTCTTATCAGTTTATATTAACATACAAAGATGTTTTTTTCTGAATTAATTGAGATGAAGTAGAATGTTTTTGCTGCTTTATGCATACACAAGAAAAAAAAATTGTATTTTTAGCTTCAAAGAAAGAGGAGCGAGATACACCCTCCAGATGTTATCCAAGGTAACTACATATGTGAAAAATACATGTATAATGTGAACAGATGTTGTGGGGTGCTATGATGTGACTGCTTAATGTGAAAATATGTGTAGTTCACTCAGTTAAAGAATTTTTACGAGATAAACCCCCCCCCCAAAAAAGGGGGGGGGAAAACATTAAGAAAAATACAACAAAGTTATATAAAATAAAATGCTGTGATATTAAAACATTGACATCTTCAGCTGTCACACCAGTGCAGTATATGCTTGTATCAAGCATGTTAAATGTGTACCTTTTTTTTTTTAATTTCAGGAGCAGAAAGCTCGTGGTGTGATAGCAGCCAGTGCTGGGAACCATGCCCTAGCCCTGGCATATCATGGGCAGGAGCTGAAGATCCCAGTCACTGTGGTGATGCCAGTGGTGGCTCCACTCATGAAGATCAACCTGTGTCAACAGTATGGGGCACGTGTTATTGTAAAGGGAGTGGATATTGGAGAGGTGAGTTCAAGATAAAATCACTGGTTGTGTACAGTATCAGCATGTTGATTATTTGCCCAGAGGAACTAAAATCAAAGCAAGCCATAAGTGTTTATTTGTACCTTTTAAATTGGTGATAGATGACAAGATCAAATATTTGGGTCCACTTGGTACTTTGGCATTATGATGGTATTTTTTTAATGATTATTATGTATCAAAATATCATGACACTGAATATAAATATGAAAAGTCCAAATATTTTTATTAGGAGCCCATATGTACTTTTGATTTATAGGATTTATGTACTTGTGATTTATGCGATTAACGTCTTGCTTTTTCTAGATTGTTATCAAAATGTCATGCACTCATTGTTGACATTTTTGCATGATATGTAACAATGGCCATGTTTTGTTAATATTTTAGTCTAGAGAACATGCTATGAGACTTGGGAAGAAACAACAGTTACAGTATATCAATGGGTGAGTAATGTACAGAGAGTAGCTTTATTTCTTATGGAGCACTAACGATTTCCATGTTTGACCAGATCTTATTTTTCTAACCTGTTGCATTCTTTTCAGTGAGCAAGTCTGACTTAATTGTTTAGGATGTTTTTTGAGTGTGCTACTAAGTATTTGTTATGTGCCTCTATATTTTTTCAATATTTTTATAATGTTTGGCTCAATCAGATCTATGTTTATATATTTACTTGTGTGCTTATTCCGAAGATCCCAACATACATGTATCTCATAGTACATGTACAGGTATGAGAAAGAAAAAATGAAGGAGTGACTGAAATTGAAAGAATTGTCCATATGTTCCAGGTATGACCACCCTCACATCCTGGCAGGCCAGGGCACCATGGGCTTGGAAATCATGGACCAGGTGTCTGATGTGGATGCTGTGATTGTGCCAGTAGGTGGTGGAGGCCTGATAGCAGGGCTAGCTCTGGCAGTCAAGAGCCTTAGTCCTGAAACACTGGTCATTGTAAGTACATGCATCAGAGATGAGTACAACTCCAGGATAGACAGTTATTCTGGAGGGAAATAATTGAATACAATTTTGACTGAATTCAGTCTGATAGTTTATTTATTTATTTATTTATTTATTTATTTATTTATTTATTTATTTTGACACAACTTAAATTCTTTTCTAAATAAAGTTTAAAATTTCCAAGCATAGCATATTTGTTAGCATGTCATATAATGGTAAGTGTCAAATCTGTATACCTGAAACATTTGTTTTCTAAGCAAGTTTCTTCAATGTAGGGTGTGGAGTCTGAAAGATGTTGCAGCTTTTCCAATGCTCTAAAGGCAGGCAAGCCTATCTATACTAAGGCCTCCTCCACTCTGGCAGATGGTTAGTACATATATAGTGTTGGGGATATACTAAGTTAAAAAATGTTGAAAACAAAAACTAGTGGATGTGAATTGCAATATCCAGCATTCTTGATAATGCATTTTAATTATTATTATTACATGACCTTTACCCAAATCTCTCCGAAGAAGGCCTTTATGATTGGAGTTGTTTTTATCGCCCAAGACTATAGGGTTTAATTTTCTCCTGTTCAAGGTCTGGCTGTCCCCACAGTTGGTGTAAATGCGTTGGCGACTGCTGCCCCATTGGTTGACAAAATGGTTGTTGTAAGGTAGGTAATATAAGGCACATTTTGTGCATTTTTTGTTCTTATTGATATCTATACCTTAGTCATGAATACAATACTTATAGTATGATGCTACAGTACAATTAATGCTGTGGGCAGTTGACTTGGCATTAAGATCGCACCTGGTTTATAATTATGAAATATTGGATATGAATGTGTAATAATGATGCATATCAATAAATGTAATTTTGGTGTTATTTATCTGTGTAATAGCTTTTTTATGTTATTACTATTACTATGTATCTCGGTGCATTTTCATCAGCTCAGTCTGGTGTAAAAAGTATGAATAAAGCATTATAAAGTTATATCAATAGAAAGCTTGTAAAGTGTATAATCAACAATGATCTGCACAAGTTATTGTATATAAAGTAAACTGTAATGAAGGTACCTTAAAAATTAGGCAGCATAGAAAAATAAAAATTCAATCTTTTTAACTGAAACATATCAGGCAGTTATCTAGAAAATGTTAGAATGGTGAATTTACTGTAGTGATTTTTTCATGCCTTGTTTTAATAGTTTCAGCAGATAGTATTGCAATCTTAGATCCTTGGAAGCACAAAAAATTCCAGACTATTTGAATATACAATGAATAATGTAACAAAGTTTTACCTAACACTCAATTATCTAACCTAACACTCACAAAAACCTTTTCTTGGGCTTTCACAATTTTGTGAAAGCGCAAGAAAAGGTTTTTGTGGGTGTTAGGTTATTTTTATTATATCTTTGTATTATTCCAGTGAAGAAGCCATTGCTCTGTCCATCCTGAGACTGATAGAGATAGAGAAGGCAGTGGTTGAGGGAGCAGGTGCCACAGGTCTGGCTGCCCTCATACAGGGGAAACTACCCGAATTGGAAAACAAACGGTGAGTGACCTTGATGGCACTTCAGAGGTGCATTGATGCATACCACTATAAAATTATAAATTTTTTTTATTAAAATATTTACAAGCAAAACATTACATTCGGCATAATTTCAGTCTATTCAGTAAAAAGTGCATCGTGTTTTGTCTCGAGGTTTGTAATGGTATGCATGTCAAAGTATCCATGTAGACAGTTACTGTTGTCCTATCTTGATATAATTGAGAGACACTTTTAAAAACTTGGAATTGGAAATATACCCTCTACTTGGTAGTACCAGAATATGAGACTTTACAATTGAAAACAGAGTTGTATTTTGTCTCAGAGTTGTATTTTGATTTGTTTTCAGGGTTGTCATTGCTCTGTGTGGTGGTAACATTGACACAACAATCCTTGGGCGTTGCATGGAGAGAGGGCTGGCGGCAGATGGACGCCTGTGTACATTTACAGCTACGGTCACTGACAGACCAGGAGGGATTGCTGAGCTGGCCAAGTTGCTGGCACAGATGGGAGCCAGGTATGTGTGATCTTTTACCCTGTATATTTGTACTGGGATAGGGGTGCATGTGCCTATATATGTTATCAAATATTTGGTGGCAACTGCAAATGAATGTGTTCATTGAATATTGCTATAAAAGTTATTGTAATACATATTTTCCTTTTTGTCTTCAGTATCAAGGACATATACCATGAAAGGGCATGGCTAAAAGCTGACATATTCTCAGTTCAGGTAATACATTTGTGCTATTACGAAGTGGCAAGGACTAATAAGGGCCATAAATATAGTCAGTAGCTACCTGAAAGTGTGTTCACTTAAAATTTTAATTTTTTTTTCATGAAAAAATATTCTACTTGAGGTATGATGACATTAATACAATATGTGGCTTGTTTCACAATTTGAGAAACAATTGAGATATTTTGTAGGGAGTTATGTTTATTACAAATTGTACTTCAGGTAAAGGTAACCGTGGAGACACGAGATAAAGAGCATGCACGGGAACTGGAGCAAGCGCTGCGAGCAAAATATGCACATGTATACTGGGGCCCACAGAAGGATTGCAACAAGCAGGAATGCATGTGAAAGATTGCTACACAATTTAACACACTAATTTTATAGGGAATGGTTAAATTCTTTGAAGTGTTAAAATTGGTTTTTATTTTAAAGTTGTCATTATAGATATTTCTTTCATTTAATGAAAGTGCCCTTACCTTCTCCTGTAAAGGAGGTCATGTATACAGCGGTGTTGGTTTTTATGTTTTTTCTAGTGGATCACAAAGAGTTCTGCACAAATTTTGATGAAATTTTCATGTAAGTCAGTTATTTAGAAGGGAAAAAAGTGATGACAATGCCAACCGAATCCAGGTTTCCTAATAATTTTTTGAAGCGTTTTTGTTTCTGTAATCACTTTCAGTAACTGCCTTTTCCTGGGCATAGGTTTGTGCTCTTGAAGTCCTCTCCTGTTATGAATGCTTTTGAGTGTTTTTTATGTCAGGGCTAGACAGTTATGTTTGATTCTTTATGGTATTGAAGTCTGTTTTCCCCTTTTTCCCCCTCTATTATTAATATATTTAGATAATCACAATTGATATTTGTGCTGTAAATTTGTGTATATAAGTGAGAGGCTGAAAGTTTGTGATAAGCCACCGGTGAAAACGTTTTTTTTTTTTTTTTTTTTCACTAATTTCTTTTGACACTATTTAAAGCCGCCAAACTTACATTGTAACTGTGTATTTATATCTTGTACTGGTAATGTTGGGAGAAATGCTGCTTCATGCTTAACTAAAAAAAGTCACATTAGTGAAAGGTTAAAAAAATATATCAGTTTTGCATAATATTTTATGAAAACTCTGTACATACAAGTTATGTGGGTGGTTGTGGCAGTTATAGTTCTTTTGTTAGACCAGTTTGTTTAGTGTTCTCATATTTAATAAACTACACTTTAGCAGGAGTTTTAAATACGACAACACTGCATAATCTGGCCAGTGTGTTGATCTCTGTTCATTCCATGATACTTCATCCATGAAAAGTAAAAATAAAGAAAGAAAATAATTAATAGATAATATGTGTAGCTAATGATAGCTATCTTAATTAGTGGAACTTAAAAAGAGATCAAAGTGTTCTCAAGTAAATCACTTATTCAAGTTAAAAGCAATATTTAAAAAAATTTAATATAAGTTCCCATTGAGAAGGCATGATTGTTATGAGAAAACTCACCAAGTCACATGTTCTTTTTAAATATTGTTGGCACAAATTTCAGTCTAACTTACGACAGTGTCTTATATCTTGTTTGTCTTGTGTAGTTTCAGAGATACCTTTTGCCCTTGATGGCAGCTAATCTGTACATAGAGGCATTTTTTAGTAATAGGTTAAGGTTCCACAAAGGATGGCAGCAAACCTTTCTAAGTATTGAATATGTAAAACATTGTTCTCATAAACTTCATCAATATTATAATTATTATTATTTGAATACCCAGAGACCTTTTATTTTAGTTTGTGGATTTGCACTGCTTTGTGTGCTTAGGTATTTGTTATTTTTTGTTATCGCTTTATAAATTTTTTTTTCAGTTCTGTTAATTTGCAAACAAACGTTAACTATTTTTTGATAGGTATTTTTTGTTAACCCCTTAATTATGGTACTCTAGTTAAACTTGTGGGACTTGTGTATATTTATTTACAAAGTTGATGTGGTTACACATGCAGATCCAGGCGCAATACTTACCCTGCTGTGAGGTATAAAAATATGCAACTGATATTACAGTGCGTTGTGTTTTTCCTTAATAATTACAGTAGTGTAGGTGTTTAAGCCAGTTTCCAATACTTTGCAATCAGTTTAGTCTATACAGTATATATGACCATCACCGCTCTGAAACTTCGTTCAACCATTTATCGTTCCGAGGGTAGGTCTACGTTATATTTACACAAAATGATATGTAGCGTGAAGTATTTGAAACTATTTTGTCCAATTCATTAGGAAGGAGATAGCATGATTTTAATCTAATTATTTTTATTTTAATTTTAATTTAGATTTTAATTTTAAAATATTCTGATTATGTCCCGTCCTATGTGTTTAAAATGCCGCGCAATTTCATCTTTTTCTGAAGGTATTGATTAACAATTGCAATTTACTCAAATCTACAAAGGAGATATTTTGGGCATAAAACACCGCATTAGTCTGTGAAGAAAACGAATAGACTATGTCTGTCCATGGCATTTGGGCATATGGCATGCAATTAAAAAGTGCAAAAACCCTTTAATATTATTATTTATTGCAGCCAATTATTATTTACAATCTGAAATAGTGTCATCAATGCGGTTTTGAACAACAAATGTAGGCAAGGTTGCGTCAATTGAATATAAATTTTAAAGGCGTAGGATTTGCAATAAAATAGTTTGCGAGCTGAATTGCGGAATATAATAGCAAAACGGTAAATTGGTAAATTTAAATATCTTTCAGCTTTTTATTCTGAAAATGTCTTTAATTTTATAATGTGGGTACAAACTATGCTCTCAGTTTGAATTTTGGATATTGATCTCATGCAAATGTACATAATACTTCATCTTATAGATTCTCTCCCTTGCTCTGTAAATAGCAAACCAAACCTGTGTAGTGCCGCGTTTTTCCGATATAGCTAGGCCTTGAATAGGTGAATAGTTTTACCGATATAAACAGGTAAATAATACCCATACAGAAACTTTTGAATCGTCTGCTTATGTCTCAGATACAAAATAAAAATACGTTTGTTATTTGTCTTTAAAGCCATGGACAAAAAGCAGAAAGAGAGCATGACCTCTTTCCTTCATTAGCAATATTCATAAATGCAAAATGTCGGATTCAAGACTTTACTGTGGGAAAATGGTAAAGATCAAATATAGCCGAAGGGACTGGACTCATTGGCAAGCTTAATCAGGCGACTTGTTCACGACTTTACTTCCTAAAACCCACTTGGCGAGCAGAGTCTGTTGTTAAACTGCATTGTCATAGCAGTTCTCGTGATCTTGTGTGCTTGCAGACGGTTGATCACTACTTGTTTCAAGTTGCTTTCTACAGACCCTTTCGACAACGGCGCAGGCAAACCCGTGACTCAAAATATTACTGGCCGACCGCACTCGATCCCTGGAAAAAGAGGATTAAAATCTGCTGGATGTTTTTAAGTAATGCCTTTTGGTATCGAAGCACATTCAATGACAATGCAAAATGTGATTATGAATTAATTATACAATATTAGAGCAAATATGAAAGGATGTTCAATAACTCGCTTTTTTACGGGACAGTAGACGAAAATTTTCCCTATTACGTGTAACAACGTTTCAGTTATTCCAAATTTCAGGTAATTCTCAATCAAAAAACAAAATTTGTTGCATTCCACGACGTGTCAGTGGGTAATGAGAAATTCTAGTGTGTTTACATCACATCGTGTATATATCTAACTTTCAACCGCAAAGGGTCGTTAAATGTAGGTTTGACTATTTATTGTATTATTATTTTATATATTACTATTTATTAAAATTATTTTCAATGTACTAGGAATGAACACCTAATTTGCTAGAAAACACTGGTTGTGACAAGTGACATACATTTGAATTACCACAATCATTACGTTTATCAACTTGCGACCTTCGACAGGTTCCCTAAAAGAAATAGGCCACCAGCACAAATAATTTCTTAATTAACACAGAAAAAATACTTACAGAAGCCAGTCTACGGTGAACAACAGGCCGATGGTTTCGTCTGAGATAGGAATCCCCATTGCACTGCAGACGATAACTAATAAAACCAAACTGCCACTGGGAATGGCAGCCAAAGAAAGGGACAGCAATATAATGAGAAGGCTGAAAATGAGTTGGTTTCTTAGGATTATTTGGTAATTTTTTTTTTCGGGGGGGGGGGGTCAACACTTTTGTCTTTGGCAATTGAATTTTATCTGTAATTGAACCATGTCCTCTCAAATATTCACCCTTACAATCGTCTTAACCAAAAAAGCTATAGATGTCCAGGCAAGTTGCAAAGATGCTATCTCACCCGGCTATGGCCACCTCTCCAGCCCCAATGGTCATACCATAGGTTTGGGCTATGAACATGGCGGCAATCATTATGAACATAACGGAGCCATCTCGGTTTATGGTCACAGCAATCGGAAGGACGAATTTAGTGACTCTGTTGTCAATCTTGCACTCCTCTTCGCAGCATTTGAACAAGAAGGGCATGGCGGCAGCGCTTGGAGTAATGAAAAAAACGATCATGTAATGAATTTTGAAGAAACATCAGTATATGAACGTACGTATCTACGGGATTTTCACATTATTATTTTCCAACGAAGGCAAGCAATTTTCGCCGTGTTCGGCTCGAAAAAAGAAAGAAACTGAGAATAAGTTTATTAATTAAAAAAAATAGAGAGAAGTTCTACCTGCTCGGTGGAGCTATTCCAACCAGCAATGCTTCCAGAATGTTATACAGGTACTTGTAGGGGTTCTTGCGCACAAAGGCGAAATAAATTAATGGTAAAACTACCAATATATAAAAGATGTTCCCCACAAAGATGCTAAGAGCAAACAGACCAAGTGACTGGAAGGCGGTTGAGATGTCTTCAACACGAAGAATGGATGCCGCTATCAAGCTGGCAATTCCTAAAGGAGCATACCTGTCAATAATAACAATAACATATTATTGCAACGTTATATCCATTGCCAAAACAGATACGTCTCTGATCTAAGCGGATAAGGCATTAAATCCTAACGCATCGATCCCCCCTTAATGATTATTGTACACAAAACGTCGTCAAAATAAATTGCGACCATGAATGCCTTATGAAAACAGCGATGATGTCCTAAAAGGGCAGGGCGTGCTTCGTACGTTGTTTAAGACAGATGAAGGGGTATCCCTCCCATCTTTCCAAAATAAAATGCGGGAATCAGCCTTGTCTCTCAACAAAATGGAAGAAAACTTACCCTGAATCAAAATGCCAATTTTATGGATTTAAAAGGGAGGAGTTGGAAAAGTCCTATTATCTCAGATCTATAAATATATACTTAACATGTGGCATACATGCAGTGATTGCATTCCAAAGTCAACCGTGTAATGTTTTTTACCTCCAGTAAAAATGAAAACTGTCCATGTACATTATAAAACGCAGGATTGACAGAATTTAACATTGAAACACAACTCGTTAATGTGCAGTACTGTGTTTTAAATAAATCATACCAAAAGATTAGAGTCAGCATCTTGAATATGACACCAGACACTCCAACAAAGAAGTTGTAAACAGGCTTTCCGACCTCACCGGCAGCGTGAACTCCCCAACCAAACACCAAGCTGAATACTATGATACCTTGAAGTAAAAAAGTAAATGTATATGCTTTGATACTAGACAGTCATACGTAAAGCCTCGGTCACAACCGGACGTACGAATTTAAGGATCTTACAGGTACGTCGCGAATTTTGGGTACAGTGAAGGCCGTGGAGTTCGTAGAGGTAGATGAAGTGGCAATGGGCAAGTCTGCCTTGCGAGTCGCAGGGGCCACGTGTGTTATAAAAGGTACTTTCAGGGTGCGATTGCCGTGAAAATTGTTTTGCTACCTGAAAACTGTCTTGCTACGTACTTTGGATTGCTGTATTTTGGAGGCATATTGGAAGCTGAATTGAGCAAAAATTCAAACATTTTGAAAATTCTTGTACCCGTTGCACAATCGACGTTTATTGGCGAAACACGAGCGTGCGCCTTTTATACTCATAGCTTGGGGGTGACGCGATCCCGCCGTAGGTTCGATTTTGTAGGCCCCTATTGGACCACGTACGTCTCACTTGCGAACTCCTTGCAAACTCCGTGTGGGACCAAGTTACACTTGCGGCCTCGCTGTTCTGATTATTTGTAGATTTTGGACAATATCCTAAATCGTCAGTACGTACATGTACTAACGGGCTGTCTGCGTACTCGAAATTTCGCAAGATTAACTTGCAAGATGGATTCTACGCAAAATTTCGAGGCAAACAGGCCGTAAGAGCCCGTACGGCCGGTTGTGACCGAGTGTTTACCTTAATACAACGTATTAACTTTATCAAAACATAACATTCGTAAACTCCAAAACTGCAGAATTCATTGATAAAAACATAGAAACAAAAGCAAATCAGAGCCTACGTATAATGTAGCTCATTAGTATTTTTACCTATTGAACTTGAACAAAATGATTTTGCAAATTTTTTAAGGACTGACCTAATAAATTCGTCCCTTCCTTGTAAACCACCGATTTTGTTGGTACAGTCAAATTCTTGGTAGAACCGGTATTTTCCCTGCTTTTATTTGAAGAAACCTCTGTCTCCACATGTTGCAAGCATGCCTGAACCACGTTTTCTGGGACGAGGTTTCTATTGAAAAAGTTCGGTATGTATGTATTTCATTGAAAAAGGTTACAAAGCAGGTATTTTTTAAAATATTTTTCCTTAAATTTTTCTCAGCGCACAGATAACGATAAAGGAGTCGTATACTTAACACACACACACACACACACACACACACACACACACCTCAACATATCTGCAAATGTATCCCCATATTCTGTGCTACTGGCAGTTCCAAATTGTGGTTCATCGCCCAAATCAGTTCCTGGTCTGATAGAGACTGCCAGTATAATACCAATCATGACCCCAATAACCTGGGTAACGATTATGTACACCAGAGTTGCAATTCCGATACTACCACTGGTCTTAACTTCTAAAGCTCCGACACCTGAAGTTATACTTAACAACGTAAAGTATATGCATAAAAATATATAATTTTTTGGAACGTCACATGCGTGTATATCTTGAAAACGCTTGAAGTAATTTAAGTTGCAGTGGGAAGTTTTAAGCTCGTTTATTTATCTAACACAATGTGTGATGTGTGGAGATGATGCTATCCACTGATGTTGTCTTTAGAGCTTTCATCGCTATATAGTAAGCACTGGCCCAAATGGAAACAAGCAGCTTGTTACATACCAGTGTTTGTTAAACATTCTACTTTACAATTCATAAGTACTAGATAAAGTAGAGCCATGCGTTGGGGATCTCATTCAAGAATAAGTGAAATAGTTACCAGATGATGAACCTTTTTTTAGCATAAGATAATCAGGAAAAAACTCGGTTACCTGTAACTAGACAAGCTATTACCAGCGGAATGATGATCATTTTGAGCATGCGCAGAAATAACTCTCCCCAAATACCTATCCACATTATGGTGGATTCCGAGAGGGAAGCTGGTCGAAGCCCGAAGCCAAGGATGATACCTAGGCATATCCCAATCATCGAAATGATTAGTAATCTGTTCTTAATGAGCCATCCCCTGATCGATTTTTGGCCGCCATTATTGCAGGATAAAGTCGGCATTTTGCTAGTGCACCAGATCACTTGTATTCGCTTGGTGGTATCTTGAAGGAATGAACAAGATTTATTTTGATAACCTTACAAAAACAATGCCTTGACACGATCGGAGTTACACAATGCACCACTAACTTCGTGGTTTTAATTTGTTCAGTTACACAAAAGCAATTCGGGACATAACAAATTTAAGATCTAAGGGTATTTTAATTTGTTTAGAAAATAAAACAGAATAGTAAAAGCATGGTCAATAAAATAAATCTTTTTAGTTTCATATTTATTTTAAAGAACAATTACTTATATACGCGTCACAACATTTTCAAAACATGATTTGTACATGACACATTTAACAACATTTGATTAATAGGACAGGTTAAACTGATCTACTTTTATCAAATAAATATTCCTAGGTTTCTGCGATCACAATAATCATTGACAACGAGTAAGGTTTCAACGGCCGAGTTTTCAAATACAAGTAACTGTCCCCGAAAGAGATGTTCTAGACCGTTTAAGATTTTAGTTTGCTGCATCACGACCTCTTTACAAAAACGGTTTCATTGACATTCCTTTTGTGCGCGTGTGTGTAGGACAACAAACTTTTCGTTTTTCGCCCGTAGACAATGCTTAAACTTTATAAAAATTAAATTAATGCCCTCTGTATGTGTGTTGAGTATAAGTGATAGCTTTTCCATAGGACTTTTTAAAAGAAAAAAAGCAAAAAAAAGATCAAATGTGTCCAGTTATGTGTCCAGCTTCACATATGTTCCAGAAAAAGAATGATAAAAAAGTTACGATCACGTCAACTTTTAAGAAAACACATAAGATATTCTAAACTGGACCACTTTATCATACCCTAATAAATGAAAAACCAAGATAATGCTTACCTTGGTCGAATCTGACCTCACAGCTACTCTCAACCGCACAGCTTTTCTGCTACCGGAGAAACAAATTTGGTTGATACCGAGTTATTTTTGTATTTTCAGGTGGTAACCTTAACCCAAATTTTCTAATTAAACTTGACAAGAAGTGTATAAGAAGGGGGAAAGGTTATATAGAAATAAAGGTCCACTGCCTCCTTGATCTTTAAAATTGACCTACTATGTTGAACTACTAAGACCAAGGCAGTATTTACTCCTATCTCATCGTTATTTACAGGAGATAGCTTCAATAGGGACTGACAACAGTGTGTGAAGCCACGTTAAGGCGGTAAGGGCGATGCTCTGTGCTCTGCCCCCCCACGCGCCATCCCTGCAGGAGCAATTTAATTAAATCTCGGCTCCATTCGAATAGACGCGTGGGGAGGCGTGTAAGAGGCGGAGAGACCATTACAGGATTAAGCGGTCTTCCTTTCATGTAGGGCCCGCCATATTTGAGCCTTGGACCAGTTGATACTCGGATCTTCTATTCTGAATGGTCCCAAATAGGGCACTTGTTCATGTCCACGTCCTGAAATCGACTTTGCGAGCAGAATCTCTTGTGAAACTGTGGCTGCATCATTGTCACAGCAGTTCTCAAGATCTTACGTGGTTGCAGTTGGTTGATCACGGCTTGTTTCAAGTTACTTTCTGCAGACTTTTTCGACGACGGCGGAGGCGAGACAGAGCTCAAAGTATTACAAGCAACTTGCACTCGATCCCTGGAAAAATTTTGATGTTATGCTGACAAAGGACAATTCATGCCAATAGACAAAATTAAAGCACTATCAATGTCAAGCTGTTATCGCTTTTTGTATAATATTGGAGCGCATGCTGTAATGTAAAGTATATAGTCTAATAAACATACAGTGTGCTCAATTACGCGCTCTTAGAGAATAAGAGGTAAAAATAAATGGCTTCTTTACACGGCATTTGACAAACACTAAAATGTACGAAGTTAGCAAAGAAAAAAAAAAAACAGCAGCCAGTCTACGGTGAACAACAGGCTGATGGTTTCGTCTGAGATAGGACTCTCCATTGCACTGCAGATGATGACTAATAAAACCAGACTGCCGCTGGGGACGACGAAGGCGTTCTTGATTATGGCAGCACCTATTCTCTGGAATGGACTGCAACTGCAAACGTGTGCAACCTTTATAAACAATATCGTGATTGATTTTAAGATATTGAAATTGACTCTTAGTACATTGAGCACTTATAGACATTTGATTTTTGGAGAAGTGTGTTTGAGCCAAAAACCGTCGGTTAATTCGTAAACCTTTCTACAGCAAATTACTTAAATGCTGCTATACTGTCGCACCTATCACATCCACTTATGTTATAAATAAATGAATTTGAAGTATGGAATAGGTTTGTCCACAACATTCAGGTATGATGTACAATATAATAATTACAAAGGCCTTTTTAGATAGTTCAGTTATTTTATTTTTGAAAAGACTGGTTTAAAATATCCTCAATGAAGCTTTTGAGCTAAGAGTTTTGTGAAAGTTGAGTTAACTGAATGTAAAACAGATTAAGCGTAGGATGTACAAAAATATCCTATGCCATCTGGAAAACGGAATACACATGCAAAACAAGCATACGTTAGGCACAGGTTGGATCAAGTTCGTTTCAGACATTTTTTTTCAGCTTTTCATTCTGAAAATATCGTTATTTCTAATTTGTGTATACGACGTGACATGAGTGGGATAAAATTTGGAATAATAATTTTATCTTTTTTTGCGTGGTTGTTGCATGCGAAATAAAATAATAAATGTGGTATATGTATATAGAGCGATGAAAATGCAATGTTATTCTGCCTGTAGCAATATCTATGATTGCAATATGGTGGATTTAGGACTTTATTGTGGCCAAGGAGGTTCGAAATCTTCAAAGGGGTTGGGCTTAGAGATAAACATAATCGAACGAGGAGACTTGGTCCCGTTGTTAAACTGCGGCTGCAGCATTTTCATTGCAGTTCCCAAGGTCCTGCGTGGTTGTAGATGGTTGATCACTACTTGTTTCAAGTTGCTTTCTACAGACCCTTTCGACGACGGCACAGGCAAACCCGTGACTCAAAATATTACTGGCCGCACGTACTCGATCACTGGAAAAAGAGGATCCTAATATATTTTATTATTCATCTACTGTTTTTTTTTCTTTCTTCTTCTTTTTGCCGACGAAGTCTATGTAAATAAAAATTAATAAAAATTAGTTGTCAATCCTTTTTATAACTCCTGTATTAGAGCAAATCTTAAACTATTACATACAGTGGGTTACTTAAATTATTCGCTCTTATAGAGGGAAAGACGGCGAGCAATTTACATATACGTGTGGGCACGACCTTTGGCGTACAAGCTAAAAAAAATGCCATAAGTGATAACAAATTTGAAGTTAACAAAGCGAAGAAATTCTCACAGCAGCCAGTCTACGGTGAATAACAGGCCGATGGTTTCGTCTGAGATAGGAATCTCCATTGCGCTGCAGACGATAACTAATAAAACCAGACTGCCGCTGGGGATGTCAGCCAGTGAGAGGGACAGCAATATAATGAGAAGGCTGAAAATACGTTTGTTAAGATACTTCATGGTATATTACCACTTCATAGGATAAGTGCCCTGATTTTATCGACAAATCGACTTCATAGGATAAAATGCGACTTCATCTCCAATAAGATATTGCCTGCGACTTCATGGGATAATGGTGAAAAACAGTGGAGGATTTAGAGGGGGGGGGGGTCGCATCCGCGTACCCCCCCTTCAAATAATCCTGGATCCGCCCCTGGTAAAAAAAGGGGCCTACTGTTGGTCCTGAGTTTTGGAAGATAATGTTTTTAGAAAGGCATGTTTTTGTACTGTAAATACTATTCAACAAAGGTAAACTGTACGGATGAATTATATTAACAAATATGTAGGCCTATGACTGCACAGGATATCTGTAGAAAGATTAGTAATACTGGGTGAATGTCTTAAGCAATTTAAGATACTCAGGCAGCACAGGCGCGGAGCCAGGATTTCTGAAAAGGGGGGGGGGGGTCCAGAGGCGTCGACATTTGGCAGGGGGGGCATACGCGCAGAGTATCGGTAGCCTATTGGATTATAAGATGAATAGATAATGTTTATTAGATAAATATTTAAAAAACATTAAGGTCATTAGAAGCATTGAATGTATATATCTGTATATTCCAATCATCTTGATCAATTCGATCGCTCTCTGAAAAGACATAATTTCCATGAGGCAAGACTTGCGCAAGTATAATGCCTATGTCGCGTCACTCTCAACATTTTAGTACAGAATGAAACATTATATCCAGTGCCGGATATATGGGGGGGGGGGGGGGTCCTGACCCCCCTTTTAGTCTCTAAAAAGATCAGACTCATTTCCCCCTCTTGGAATAAGAATTTTGACTGGCTGATTTACAGTTTTAAACATTACCAAATGGCTTCAGTGGGCCCCGAACCCCACGCCAACGGATGGAGGGGGACGGTTCGGCTTCGCGTCTGCGGACCCCCCTTCACATATTCCTGGATTCGCCCCTGATGTTGACCTTTTCGCCTAATTTCCTCACCAAACCAGACCTGAAACGCGGTCAGTACTTGCACAAGCGCGAACAAGTGGTACCAAGATGGACTTCTTTATTCTGCTGGCTATGATGCTCTTATTTGGAATGAAGGTAAGAAACATTTTTTCACATTTTTAATATAAATATTGTTTAAAATATTACGATGTGAAGGGTCACAATTTTTTTTTTTTTTTAATATCCAGATGCAAATTTTTAAAAGAGTTGGGATTTGCCTCTGTGAACCAAACAAGTATCTTATTGAAATTTGGTTATGTATTCAATGAACACATGAAAAATGTTTCAAGCCTAGGTCACATTTACACGGGAGCCGTGCCATCAATTGTCCGTACGATTTTTTAAAAAATATCGTAGGGGGCTACAGGCTACGCCGATTATGTCTACTTTACATGGCCTTAAATCAGTACGATCCCGTGCGATTTCGCACGGCTAACGTCTGCGACTTACGGAAAGGGTATTACGGCCCGTATACGTGCACCGTACGACTATATTAATTAAAAAACGCGAGAAAAACCCTTCATGTTCCTAGAATTGCAAAGAAGAATTGTCATTTTCCCCCGGGTTCCCCTCAACTGAAATCAAAGGTTTAATAAAAACACAATGTTCTCTTAATTTGATTTTTTTTATTTTGGATTTTTGGTAAGCTTTTGTTACCCTTTACTTATTCTTTTGGTATATTCTAAGTGGCGGTCCAAGGAACTTTGGCGGGGGCGGGCGGGGGGGGGGGGTGGTGTGTGGCATGGTCAGACCTATTACTGGAGGGATCCAAGTAACGGTTTAAGTCATTCCCATTTCATAGGCTCTATCGGTTTTAGCTTACTACATTTTTCTTATTTTGTCTCCTATACTCGCATCAGATATACTGCTCAAGTAAGGACATATTAAACATAAACTCAAATAAAAACAGAATCATAAATTATTTCATGTTAAAGTCACTTTCGGGTCACCCCCAGGGGATGGGTTAATCTGAAATGGGGAGTAACTTGAAATCGGCGGGGTATGCGTGCGTGATAGAGAACAGGGAGGGGCTAAAACTTCTCAACTTCCTTTATTTCACTATCCGTTTGTTAAGATCTTAACGTAAACTTCCACCTATTATCACCTCATTTGTCTTCATCTTGTCCTTGCCGCTGTCATAGGCCAGCCTTATCTATTTCTGACCTCTGCACAGCATTGACCAAGACCAAGACACGGAAAAATCAAGTACTGGATCAAAAGGGAGTTACGCGACAATGTGCAGTGTATAAAATCTAGTCTAAGATCATTCACAGTAAAAACATTGTAAAGTAATGAATAATAATAATAATAATAATAATAATAATAATAATAATAATAATACATCTAAAGTACTAAGTGTTCGGTCTATGCGTTTGTTCAATAATAAAAGTTAAACAACATTTTTTCTTAAAATCTATCAATCACACATGTAGATAATTGCACTCATTTGTATAGATATTAAACGATATATAAAATATATATTTCAATGAAAGCTTGTAGTGACAGCTTATTTCTTATATATTGATTCTCGATCGCAGCTCTTCACAACTATTTAATTTAAGTAAATTTATGACGTTTTTGTTTAACAGGACCAAATATCAAAGCAAACTGACAACAATGAGAATGCGGAGGAGGAGGGACTCCAAGAATACGACAGCCAGATGTCGGATTCATTGGTATGTTTTAATGGGTTTTGCTTCCTTCGTTTTCCTTTAGCCCTATCTGCAAGCCTTTATCACAGATTGAAACATATCTTTCCCAATGTGATAATTTTTATTGATCTCATCTGTGAAACTTTTTTCCAGTTTCCTAACTTCACAACTTGTACGGAGTTATCGGTATATGTTATATATTTTCTTTCTTTAAATAACTTTTTTTCTCTTTCTACTTGATTTCCCACTGTAGAATTTCAGCCACTTTTTAAAATATTTTTTTCCGAAATACGACCGTTAATATTTAATATTATCACAACTAAAAAAACGAACTTACAAATACAGTAACATGCAAATTTACAATGCTGCCCCCTTACGTAACATTTTTTGTTTCGGGACATACATGTACTTTTGGTGAAGCTTTGCTGCCTTGTTAAACAGACCTTGATTGTATCTCATCAGAGATAACGAGCCATGTGTTTACAAAAATGGGAACATCTTTTTTTTTTTAACTTGGATGACTTTCAATTATTCTTCATTGTAATAATGGTTTTTTGGTTCATTTCAGGGTAACAACGCACAGGGGAATATGCAGTTGTCGAGAAAGACCCGAGTTGGTGTTAGCCATGAACGGATGCCGAGACTGACCGATGAAGAATACACAGCAATACAGCTGTTGCTTAACAGTAATGTCCCTGTCCGAAATAGGACTGCCGCACAGCGTAATATGTACAAAAAGATTTACCTTCTGCAACTGGCAGAACATTCCGTATATGATCCATATTGTGAACAGACTCTCTCACGGATCTTGATAGACGGCAGGATTTTGCTTCCTCTTTCAGAGGTTAATGAATGTATTAAATATTTTTATGATAAAAGTAAAGGTGATGGCGCAAGAAATTGAGGTATCGACTGAGATCTGTTTACTATGGAATCGGCGAGAAAACAATTCAGAAATGCATAAATTCGATCCCTCTTCAACAGAGAAGAAGGCCTAAATTTCAAAATAAACCTGCCCTGAAACCAATTACTGAAAAGACAATTCAACAACGAATACAAATAGACATAATAGACATGTCATCTGTGGCAGTAAAGCATAAGGGTATAAAGTACAAGTACATTTTGTCTATTATTGATGTTTTTAGTCGGTATTTGTGGCTGAGGCCTCTCAAGACCAAAGAAGCACAAGAGGTGGCCGCCAGCGCCGAGAACATTTTTCAGGAATGGGGAACGCCAACCAGAGTGCAAACAGACCAGGGAAATGAATTTAAAGGACAGTTCAAAGAATTATGCGACAAATTAAGAATCAAAATGATTAAGAGTAGCCCTCACCACCCGCAAAGTCAAGGCAAGGACGAACGATCCCACCAAACTATAAAAGCAAAAATAAAATATGACCTTATAAACGGAAAGAATGACTGGGTAGAGAATCTAATGAACTACCAAATGGCATATAATAACGGCTTTCATTCTGCTTTAGGCATGACGCCACATGAATGCCATTTTGGACTGAAAAAGAATACCCTAGATGGAAATGGCAGTGACGATATTAGACAGAAAGCAGTTAATATTTCAGAGGCTGCATCAAAGAAAATGATACAAAGATCATTAACAAAATATCCCCCGTCTGTATACAATATAGGTGATCATCTCCTTCTCAAAACCTTGACAAAAGACCGCAGAGTAAGCCGAGGGGGCAAGTCAATCAATAAGATTCAAGCCCAGAATTGCACTGTAGTTGAGCGAGATCTCATCACAGACAGATATAAGGTACAGACCCAGTGTCCTGATACTGGTGACACTCAACAATATTGGGTTTCTGTGGCCGACTTAACGTCAAAGATACACAGCCACGAACAACTACGACAAAGAAAAGTTGTCACGAAGTCTATGTTGGAGAGGGCATTGGAAGTGTTAAAGCATCGTTCAACTAAAAGGAACATTGGGACTTATTTTGGCCTTTCACAGATAGCATCTCTTTACAGCCTACAAATTGAACAAGATAACCCTGGTGAAGGGAACTGTATGTTCCATGCCATATCCCAACAACTCTCCAGATATGGCATAATTATAAGCCATCGAGAAGTTAGGAGAAGGGTCGTACACTTTATGCTAAACAACAGAAATATCTATAACGACGGGGGGTTCATTCACCTTGAAGACTTTATAGATGAAGAGTCATGGGAGGGATACGTCGAACGAATGTCTAGGGATGGCGAGTGGGGTGACCACATTACTTTGATTGTTGCTTCGTCTGTGTTCCGTGTTAGCATTACGATCATATCCACGGTGTCAGATCAACCAGTTATTATTACCCCTAGTGAGACACCGATAGGCAGCATCTTTCTTGGGCATATATCTGAAATGCACTATGTCGGTTTATGCCAAGAAGAAAACAACTTAGAGGAGACCATAATTTTATGTGAGCGGTGTGGTGAATCTGAAGCACCAGCATATCACTTCTGCCAGTTTGATGACTCCGGTATCATTTCCTTTGGAAAAATAATTGATCTTCAAGCAACCAATCTCAATGACACAATACCGTTTGCTCCCTCACCGGCAGCCAGGAGGAATTCATCGCAAGTGGATGGCATGGCCCAAGGCTTATATGGTCCGGTCAAGAACTATATACCAGACCAGTACCATAAGTTTATACCAGACGACATACTAGATGCCTGCCTGGTCGACAACATCGAGGACATGGATTTTATCCTAAGATCGAAAGAACTGAATTACACGACAGTTATTGTACAGAGATTCAGAAACGAAGCATACGATATTGAAATGAACGATGAGGGACAGGCAGCTCGTTTCACAATAGATCCCAACATTTTTAATATGCTAGTAGATCAATGCTCTTTTGAAGACAATTTTCCGCCTTCAAAATACTCTGTAAAGAAAGACGGTCAAACATATAATGAAAGAAGTAAAAAAGAATGACTTTTATTATTATAGTGTATGATAAGATTTATTGGTATTGTTTGTTTCATTTCACAAATTTGATATTTTGTATTAATGTATTTTTTCTGTAGGAAACTGTTTGCTAAGATAAAAGAAGAACTTGCGCACAAGATCATACCGATATAATTGTAGTACTATTACCACCATTTTTTGTTACGTTGTTCCCGGTGGTAATATATTGATTGATCAACACAAGTCCAGAGTCCGGTTAAATATGGTGCTTTATTATTTCCTGTAAAATGATTTCTTTACACATGTATTCTGGAGGGATCTAGAACACGCGGATAAAGTAAAACTGTGTTTTCTCAGATTTAGCCTTTCTTCTATGCTTCTTCTTGAATAGCTGTGAGAAATATCATGTATCTCTCTTGATGTTATTGCTATTACTTTTTTTCTGTGCTTCTTGAATAGCTGAGAGAAATAGGATGTATCTCTACTGATGTTACTGCTTTTACTTTTTATTGGCGGGTTTGGACTTTACATACCCACATATTACATGTACGTGTTGTTAAGATGGATTTCCTTAAAAGTCACTTACAAGAAACTTACACTAATATTTACTTATAGATTCAGCTTTCATATAACATATACAGAATATATAGTTTAATACTTGATACGGGCGTGTATCATGTGAGAGTGAAGGTTTACTTCATATTTACTTTATTATATAACGTTAATCTACAAAAAGAAAGACTGCCCGAGAAAACGATGTCATACAACAATCAAAAAAATTAAGAACCAAAACAGAACTTCACTACAGTTTGAACAGGGTATTATATCGTTATACACAGCATAGTATAGTATAGTATAGTATAGTATAGTATAGTATAGTATAGTATAGTATAGTATAGTAGGCCCTATAGGGCAAAATTTTTGATGTAATAGATGCTTTTCATATTTAATATTGCATGTAATCATTCAGATTAAATTCTGTAACACTGTATTTTAATGCTGCACTGTCAAACATGTATAGATGGATGCGTTGAGCTCACTNTTCATATTTACTTTATTATATAACGCTAATCTACAAAAAGAAAGACTGACCGAGAAAACGATGTCATACAACAATCAAAAAAATTAAGAACCAAAACAGAACTTCACTACAGTTTGAACAGGGTATTATATCGTTATACACAGTATAGTATAGTATAGTATAGTATAGTATAGTATAGTATAGTATAGTATAGTATAGTATAGTATAGTATAGTAGGCCCTATAGGGCAAAATTTTTGATCTAATAGATGCTTTTCATATTTAATATTGCATGTAATCATTCAGATAAAATTCTGTAACACTGTATTTTAATGCTGCACTGTCAAACATGTATAGATGGATGCGTTGAGCTCACCAATATGTATATTATAGACTCCCCAGTTGGAAAATCTTTTCATGGACTTACCTTTTTAGTCATAGAAGGGAAGAATTTAGTGGATTGCTTTTCATTTTCACCGGTTTTAATGGCCAAAATAATGCCTTTATTAAAAATACTAAGTGTATTGGTCAAGTACACACTAGTTAATTGATCTATGTAATAAGTGGGGCTTTGCATATTTAATAAAAAAATCTATGTCTTAGATATTTATTATTTTGGTACATAGATTAAGTAAAATTTCAGTATTTAATTCCTTTTATTACTAAAATTTCCACTATAAAGATATTATCTTCCAAGAATCACTCAACATCATTTGAGCTGTCCGTGTACTTGTGTTTTCCATTAAGTATAATGCTAATTATAGAAAGTAGTTCTTTTAAGAAATACTTCTGAAAAAGGCAGACTCCTTACATGTAAACCTGCGTGTTGTTAAACGAACCACAGCGATCATTAAGTGAATATCGCTCTATATCTTGTATTTCTTTGACCATACATTTAATTGGAAAATTACCCCTATGCTCTTAAACAGTTCAGTAAGCGTTTATCATAACATATATGGTTACTGCATTTTTTAATCTGAAAAATATAGAAAAGAAGTCACATAGACAGACAGAGCTTAATTTTGCTAAATTGAAAAGAACGACTTTAAAGTATGTATGTTTGAAACAGAATAAACAGTTGTGTATCAATAAATACACTCTGCTTTTGGTGCAGTGGACAGGCGTTCGCATTGATATTAAAATATCATCAGACAAAAAATTCCTCGTATTCACTAATCAGCAAATGTTATATTAGGCTGTCCAAACCATTACGTTTGGTGTGTTGGAATGCTTCCCGGTTATATATTTCATAAAAGTAAAATGAACTACAGCATCCTATTCCATAACCACCTTTAGCAAGAGACTTGAAATAGTATTTTAAAATAGAAATAATAGAATGGAGAGATGGAACGTTTTGATACTAAAAAATTTCAAGAAGATAGTTAAAGATTTCTCAAAGCTTAACAGAGAAGACACTATTCAGATTATCTAAGATCTTGAACATCTAAAGTCTTGATTTATTTTAGGTCTTAGATCTTTACATTCGCATAAATGACTACTATGACCGAAGATAAAAAAGAACCCAAGTGGAATAGCGCAAGTATATGTAAGGATTGTAAATAATTGTTATTTATATCTAAAATGCAAGAAAAGATTATATTTATTACTATTATATGTTTGGATACAAATGTCCTATGGAGTGGTAAATATCGCGAAGTCGCCTGAGGGTCCTGACTTTTTAACCAATGAAGTCGCCTTCTATCATGAAGTAGTAATACTTATCCCACGAAGTGGTAATATACTATGAAGTCTCCTAAGGGTCCTTATTTTTTAACCAATGAAGTCGCCTTCTATCATGAAGTAGTAATGCTTATCCCACGAAGTGGTAATATACCATGAAGTATCTTAACATACGTTGGTTTATGAAACCTTATGGTAATTTCTTGAAAAGAAGTTTTGACACCCTTGCATTTGACAATTGACTTAATCTATAATAGTAACATGTTAATACAAATATCAACCGCTACAATGGTCTTTACTGCGGCTGGGACCCACTACTTTTTAATGCGGAATATATCTAAAGAAGCTAGATGTGCACACACTAACAAAGATCTCACCTGGCTATGGCCACCTCTCCAGCCCCAATCGTCACTCCATAACTTTGTGTGATGGACATGGCGGCAATCATTATAAACATAACGGAGCCATCTAGGTTTAGGGTCACAGAAATCGGAAGGACAAATTTAGTGACTCTTTTGTCGATGTTGCACTTGTCTTCGCAACATTTGAACAAGAAGGACATAGCCGCAAAGCTGAAAGAAATAAAAAATGCCATCTCATTGGTTTCAAGGAGTTTAAACTTTTTTTCTTTTGGAATGTTCTGGTATGTGGAAATCATGGAATACGCTCCGATTCAATCATAACATAACATAACATAACATAACATAACATCCTACCACAAAGATATGGCGCTTCTTTGAAAAGAAAAACATAAATTTAGGGTGACACTTGACAAATACTTAAACCAAGTACACGGTAGAATGAACTGTTTGTTCCTTAAACGATCTAAAATGTATATACTTAAGTTAAAACAAAATTGGATAGCTCTACCCGCTTGGTGGCACTATTCCGACCAGCAGTGCTTCCAGGAGGTTAAACATGTACTTGTAGGGGTTCTTGCGCACAAAGGCGAAGTAAATAAACGGTTAAACTACCAACATATGAAACAGGTTACCAACAACGACGCTAAGAACGAGTAGACCAAGTGACAGGAAGGCCGTTGAGATGTCTTCAACACGAAGAATGGAGGCCGCTATCAAACTGGCAATTCCCAGTGGAGCATACCTGCCAGTGACAACATGCAAGTAAATAAGTTATTTGAAGCTATCTAAAAAAAAAAGGATCACAAAAGGGGCGATGATATGGAAGCGTGTAAAATCTGAATCCACCAGTGAAAAGTAAATATTTGGCCTAGAGGAAGTCGAGAAACTAATTTACAAAAAAAAATTAATAGACAGAATTTGATGACAATGAGATACAATGTGCATTTGATTTTGTGTAATCAATAGTGTTATTTTTAAATCATTTACCAGAAGATTAGAGTCAACATCTTGAATATGACCACTGAGACACCGACAAAGAAGTTGTAAACGGGCTTTCCAACTTCACCGGCAGCGTGAACTCTCCAACCAAACACCAAACTGAATACTACTATCCCTTGAAAAAGAAAAGTAAATGCTTAGATACTAGACGTTAAAGCGCCGCTTTGTTAACCAATTTTTTAATAGTAAGCGTAAAATTTTAAATTTTGTGGCATAACTATAGAAATAAACAAAAATCTATTTTTATTCTCACTGCTTAGATAAATCTTTCATATTAAGCGCAAGATGGTTTGAGTGTGTGTGTGTGTGTGTGTGTTTAAAATGGACAGACCTAATAAGTTTGTTCCATCTTTATAAATCACCAATTTTGATGGTTTGGTCAAGTTCGTGGCAAAACCGGCATTTTTCTTGCTTGTGTTTGAGGAAACCTCGGTCCCCACATGTTGCAAGCATGCCTGAACCACGTTTTCTGGGAAGAGGTTTCTATCGAAAAGAAAGACTAGATTATTATCTGATCTCAGCACACATGTAATTGAAGAAGTCTAAAACACAAGTTACATTTTCTCTGGTGTCAGGCCAGTACACTGTAGGTACCTGGGGATACCCTTAGAGGTGTTTGAAAAATTAAAATGTTTTGGGGATCCTTCGCCTTATTTCTTTTCTCATAGTCGATCACACTTACTTTTCCTTAAGTCAGCATCTAGATAAGTACCACGGACGGTATTGACAGACCTAATAAGTTTGTTCCACACACAAGTATTGCAGTCTTTCAACCCCCCTCCTCCCCCCCCCCAAAAAAAAAAAGGAATTGTTCGAAACCTACGGACCTGAATGCTTTATTTTTTCGATGCATTTAGCATACAGTCAACGGCAAATGAGTCGTATATTTTTTCCACACACAGACACACACACACACCTTAACATATCTGCAAATGTATCCCCATATTCTGTGCTACTGGCAGTTCCAAATTGAGCTTCATCGCCCAAATTAGTTCCTGGTCTGATAGAAACTGCCAGCATAATACCAATCATGACCCCAATAATCTGGGTAACAATTATGTACACCAGAGTTGCAATTCCAAGACGACCACTGGCCTTGTCTTCTAAAGCTCCGACACCTGAAGTATAACATAATATTGTACTGTATCTGTGTGTGTGTGTGTGGGGGGGTCCTTTTCATGGTTTCTTTTGCCTGCCTCTGCCTCACACTCTTAACCGTGCCTTGAGGCATTATTTTTGGTACTGTATATATGAAACTGATTCCCCCCATCACTTACTTATAACACATGTTACCAATTAAAGACAATGTATTACCCTGTATATAATTACCATAATTTATATAAATAAGAAAAATGGGGCCTACATTTTCAACCTTGTTTCAAAGTGCAAATTTGCATTCTACTATGCAAGTGATAAAAACGTATAAAACGTGCTAGCGTAGAGCTACTGAATCCGTCTGACAATTTACCTTTTTTTCACTGTACAAAAATCAGGAAAAAAACTCGGTTACCTGTAACGAGACAAGCTATTATCAGCGGAATGATGATCATTTTGAGCATGCGCAGAAATAACTCTCCCCAAATACCTATCCACATTATGGTGGATTCCGAGAGGGAAGCTGGTCGAAGCCCTAAGCCAAGGGTGATACCTAAACATATCCCAATCATCGAAACGATCAGTAATCTGTTCTTAATAAGGCATCCTTTGGTCGATTTTGGGTCACACTTTTTGCAGGATGAAGTGGGCATTTTGCTGCTGTTTCTCCTCACCTACTATACAAGAATATTCGCTTGGCGGTACGAATATATGTGCATGTAGGCCCTATCCTTAAGTGATAAACAAGATTTATTTTGTCAACCTCACGAAAATAATGTCCTTACACCATAATATGACATCACTTATAATGCATCACTTACCCTTTTGATACATTTAATACTTTCTTGCTCAGTGTGTAGTTATAGGAGACCAAAATAGTGACACTAGAGCTGGCGGGTTATAATATGTGCTATGAAAAGCTGAATAAGATGTTGGAAGATATTATAACACGAATTAGACCTATAAGGAGCTAGATAAAGTAAAATTATAAAACGACTGGAAATTTATGGAAAGATGAATAAGTATAATAATTATTAGAAACGAACTGCCGTAACATAAATATTCTGTGAGCTGACGGAATTTCTGTCCATAAATAAATTGAAATTCTCTAACAAACATTTTAAAGCTACAAACAGATATATACTGAAATTCAGAAGTTAGATAGTTTTTTCTACACGACAGACATGTGTGAACAATAAAATTTAAAAATCATGAAGAATTATTATTCAAAACATTGTACCCCTATACAACATTTATTGTTGCACCGGTAGTTATACACCAGCTTCTTACAAAATCTTACGCACACCTAAAAACTATTATTTAACCCCTTAAATATATTTTTGGACCGTACCTGATGTTGATACTTTCATTGGAGCTTATGGGGAAATGATCGCTGTTAATATGACTTGCCGCTCATTTTAAGCTAAAATCAACCCTTATAAATTTTATCAGAGGAATACATGTAGATAAATGATTCGTGAGTACAAGAAAATTGCTTATTTTCCCAGGTAAATCTCATGGTGTGTACCTTTAAATGTAAAATAGGAAACAGTAATTCAATATCTATGAGAGTAAAGAAAATATAAAGCATTTCCACAAGAAATGTTGCTACATTGTCTTAAGTATTTTAACCGACAAAACTTTATTACTATTACTGTATTACTTATGAACCACTAGATTTTCTGCAATACGTTTCTCATCATCGATATATCTCAATCAATATGCCCAAATACTTCCCCATTCTCAAGAGTATTAGACGTCTGTTATCTCGCCTGATCTCTGTTGTCAATTTGCAAACAGGACTTATACCACGACAATTATAAACAAAACTTTACATGGACTTCATGATAACGGTAACCATACGCTTATCTTGGGAGAAATATCATGCATAGGGCACGTTTCTTAAAAATGCAGGGGATAACTGTATTTCATTGTTTGAACAAAGTATTTTCAGTGAATATGCTAATTTTGGATTATTATAAGTACTATTTCGTTTCTCTGATTAAAGGAGACCGGGGCTAGTTGGACCCCGGGGTATGTTGCCCCCCCCCCCTCCATTAAGTCTCTTTAATAAAGTTACTTTAAGATGCTAAATTATTTCATTTGGGCTCACTGCCGACGCTTTCTTAGCACTATTGGATACATTCACAGATGTGATCAATTCTCGAAGGATACATTTATTTCTCTAGTTCAAGTCACGTGCTTGATATTTAGTCACATTTATTTCCTGTCATTACACTACCTATCTGTAAAGGAAAAATTCTTGGTTGTGAAGAAGTTAAGTGTTTCGAAATGGTTAGCCTCCGTGTGTCTTTGTGAGCCCCGAAAATAAAGGTTGGTATGAGCTATGTCAACAATAAGCAACTTTATCTTTTAAATTGCTCGGAACATGAAAGTGTGCTCTGTAGTAAAGCCTAATTGATTTGGTATGCGCGACACGGATTTCTATTAGGGGAATAAAAGTTGATGGGAGGAACGTGTATTTATTTCTATTTGGATAGCTGCGATATCTTTAAGTGCCCTAAGTCTTCATAAAACGAGGGGGGAGGTTATGTCGTACGGAATAAAGTCGCTTTAAATACTGTAGCTACGCCCAGCATTATTAGGTATTTAATCTGAGTGCTGTTTAGACGTTGAGACTTCCAGTGACTTTGGCAGCTGTCTCCAAATTTTGAACTTTTCTCTGTGGATGCAAAAGTCGAATAATAAAATAGGTTTCTGAAGACTCGAAGGTAAATTGAAATATTTATTTCAAGCATTCCATTGAAGGATGTCGTCATGTTGGTATACAGTGTAATAAGTGTGAACGAGTGCTCGACAGATGAACCACAGCTTTTCAAATATGGCAAAAAGAAAAAAAAAAGATTTTGGAACTATGCTTGGTATCATTCTTACTGTTTCCTTTTTATGGAGTAAAGTATTCTATTTTATCCTGATTTAAATTGTTTTGTAATATATATAATTGTCGGGCAAGTAGGTCTATCAAAATGTCATTCATGGAGGGATATTTAAATTCCAACAAAATTCATTCATGTTTATCCGTCTTTCAGTTTATGATGAAAAGGGCAATGAATTATATCTGGATCATCGCTTTTATCATTTTATTCCTTGATTATTCTAGGGCACAGGGTAAGTTTACCTTCATTGTTTTCTCTCTCTTTTTTTTTATGAATCAATTGAATTTCCCATATACAGTGTACTATAAAGTCTAGCAGGCTTGTGTTCCTCTTTATCATTATTGGCCAAGTATCCTTTTTGCTGCAGTGACAAATCTAATGAATCGTATCTTTTAATTAATTAGATAAGAGTTTAATGAATTCTGTGGTTGACGACTCATAGAAATATGAAACCTGTTTCTTTTGCTATAAAAAGGGGCAGAAACTGATAGAAGTTTATTGGCCTGCATTAAAAATCTTGACCTCTGTTTATCAAATCTTTTTTTCAGAGAAACCAAAGAACGGTATTGACGTTGCGAGTTGCTATAATAAAACAGATTGCCTAACAAAGGGCATATCACCAAATTCAGTCTGCATTGGTAGAATTTGTAGATGCGACCATGGCTATTATGGGGTGTTCGAGTCTACTGTTTGTGAAAAAAGCATGTATTCTCTTTCTTTATCTCTCTTTCTCGATATTCCCATGCTTACATTTAATACTGTGAGAAAATCGTTTTTTAAAATAAATGCACCCCTTCTCTCCCTCTTTCACACACATACACACACATTTATTGAAGGGCTTGGAACGAGTTGTGTGTTAAAATGTCTCTCTAACATTCCAGAGCACGTTATTGGGACGTCTTGTTTTAATGACAGTCACTGTGTAAACGGGACATCAGATTGGAAATGTCTTGGATATCGCTGTCGTTGTGCGCAGGAAGGGGAGTACACGCCAGACGGAACAGATGGTGTTTGCAGAAGTATGAAGCGCGTTATTATTTTGTATTCCAAAATGATTTTTTAACCTTTGTGACGTCTTTTTTTTTTACTTCAGAAACTTTAGTCTCTTCATTTGCTATGGCAATGATAATAAAAAATATAATAATTTTTTTCATCCAAACTTGTAAACAGATCAGCAAAAAGTTTTGTAAAGGGATTGAAGTATGAAGTGACTCTAAAACTGGTAATTCTAATAGGCACAAGAAAGTCAACATAATTATTTCAAATTTGGGTAAGTGGCTATCATTGCTTTCGTGGATTGACATGTTTTTATAAAAATTGTTATATTATTCGGACGGGTAAATACACTATTTTGCTCATTATTTAAGTTAATAATGATGCTGATACATGTACGAAACCATTCCGTAGCAATCGTGTATTACATTAACTGGTACCATTTCTAAATATCATACTTTTAGGAAGAAACCGAGTTGGCATGACCTGTCTAAGTGATCTGTTTTGTCAAGAAAACTTGCAACAAAGTATTTGCAGCAATGGAATTTGTCGATGTAAATCCCCTTACTACGGCGATTTGGGGGGATCTAGCTGTGTCATTGGTCAGTACGGAAGCCTTTGGAGAAAGTATTGTTTAAAAATAAAACGCAATTATTATCTCATAATTGAAGTTTGCTCATTTTATCAACTGTAAATCATACTAGGATGTTTTACATATTTGCAGACAAGAAAAATGTTGAAATGATGCCATTAACCCTTTTCTGTCCATACAAATGAAACGAGAGGAAAGTGAATGTTATTTCTTAGTTATCAGTACACAATTTGTTGAGAGTCTTGAGACATGTCCCTATAAAACTCACCAACTAATATTTGCTCATTAATTTTTTGCAATTTTCAGCTTCAGGAGTAGGATCTGTCTGTTTATCTAACGCTACATGCAATAGATATGCGACAGAAGACCTACTTGTATGTAACATACCTAGTGGCGCTTGGATAGGAATATGTAACTGTGCCAATGGCTACTTTGGTGCTCTTGGTTCTTCTACGTGTGAAAACAGTAAGTGGGGCGAGCAACAAGCACACACAAACATACACATTCATGCATACTTTTGATTAATCGCCAATATTTTGATTAATCGTTTGCAATGGAACCTTCATCTCCAGGTTTCAGCTAAAAATAGCCGAAAATATTTACAGTTAATTATGTCAAATGCAGTAAACCCAATATATTGTATATTTTTACAACTAATCAAGTTAACCTGTTTTGAACATGACATGCTATCAACGATTATTATTGCACTTTTTTGACGCCAAAATTCACCCTTCTTACTTTTTAATTCTTTAGAAACTGTGATTGGAACATATTGCGACAGCTCTAACCTATGTAACACCTCAATCCCAAACAGCCAGTGCACAAATGGCCAGTGCACGTGTGCAGATGGTTTCTACGGCGTGGAAGGCACAGCGTTATGTAATATATGTAAGGGAGTTTATTTGAATATATATATATATGATTGATTAAAATATGTTATGTTATATTATGTTATGTTAACTTTGGTATTTCTTCATAATTACTTAATTCTTAATTTTTAAAAAGTTCTTAATTTTTAAATAATTTGTCGTCACATGCTGATATTTCAAACCATAAGTGTTTTAGTACGATAGCTTATGATACTGTATTTTGTAAATGTTTCACCTTGGTCTTGCAAAAAAGGGGGGTTTACATGTACAGAAGTATTATCAAAAGAATACCTACAGTTCTTCATCCGCAACCCAATTCCTTAACATATCATGCTTCATTAGCTGGAGTTGTTGGAGCTGGGTGTACAAACAACAGTCAATGCGTAGATATATCCAACACCACCTGTACAGAAAGTACTTGCCAGTGTATTCCTGGTTACTTCGCCGACCACGGAGAAGTGGGTTGTTCCAAAAGTAAGTTTCATACTATGAACAATTTTAACTTTTCGGGAAAAGTCTTCTATCAAATTAACCAGTAAAAGTATTGAAAGCTTGTAATCTTTTCTTGACTAAAGTGTTGAAATAATCTATTGGCATAAACCACACTCATATATTTGCCCCATACCGGGAAACTGCGGACAGATTTTAGGTTAAGCTGTTGTATATACTAATAACTTATTTTTCTATTCATATTTTATGGTTTTATATTTAAGAATGACACTTTTATACTATGGGTATCAACACTTTCTTTTTTGAACAGTTCAGCTAGGTTCCACGTGCAAAATAGGTGTCCACGAGTTTTGTTCTGGCGCAGTGGAACACAGCTATTGCGATAGCAGCAGCACCTCCTGCCGCTGCCAGACAGGGTACTTTAATGCGTCTATGGACACCTGCAAGAAAGGTAATCAATTTTTTTTCTAAAGAAATTCAAGATTGGTCAGAAATTCGACAGTGGGTGATGACCGACTATTGCCAATCACAGAAGCATGATTTTCATTGTATAGTATTATCATCATTCGAAATTCTGATAATCTAATCCATTGTGCTGTATTCTCTGAAAGATTCCTCTTCTTCTTCTTCATGTGCGATCACCGATTCGGTGTGTGACGAACGATGATATTCTGCCAAAGGGTTCTATTTCTCGCCCATGACCAAAGGTGTCTTGTTGGTAATTCAAAATTGTCAAGAAAGGACTTTCGATGTCTGCCTTGGGCACTTTTGCCAGATATTCTTCCGCTCAGGCTAAGATCTTCTAATCCCTCTTTTCTGATGCAATGTCCCATAACTTCAGTTGTTTTTCTCTGACAGTGTTGAGAAACTGTCTTTTTTGATCAATCTGTTTAAGGACCTCTTCATTTGTAACTTGCTCAATGTAGGAGATTCGGAGCATTCGCCTGTAGAACCACATTTCAGCTGCTTCAGTGTTACGCTGAGTTTCTGCTGTCAAAGTCCAAGAATCACAGCCATACAGAAGAGTAGACCAGACATAGGTTTCAAGGAGGCAGATCTTTATCTTTAAGGACAGCCCACGATCCTTGAAGATTGGGCCGAGACGGGTGAATGCATTTTTCCCTTGGCCAATTCTTCTTTGGATTTCTGTCTTGCAACAGGCGTTGGATGTCACAAGTGCCCCGAGATAGTTGAATGAGGAGACCTGGTCGATGGGAGTGTTCCCATGAGGCAATCTGCAACGTGGTGTGAGCTCTGACTTTGAAACCACCATGGTTTTTGTTTTTTGCTGTTGACATGTAGTCCAAGCTTTGTGCTGGAGGCAACAGCAGCATCAAAGAGATTTTGGAGATCCTCCCTCGATGTAGCTAAAAGAACTGTATCATCGGCATAGCAGAGATTGTTTATCCTGACACCGTTGACTGTGATTCCTTCCGGACGATCCTCCAAATCTCTCAAGATCATTTCAGAGTATAAGTTAAAAAGGTCTGGAGACATGACACAGCCCTGACGCACTCATCTTTTGATGGGAAACCAGTTGGTCATGCCTACAGGAAGGCGGACTGCTGCAAGCTGATCACAGTAGACTGATCTTATAACCCGCATATCTTTGTCATCTATTTGAATTTTTGCAAGCATTTTGAAGAGCTCCTCATGTCGGATCTTATCAAAGGCTTTTTGATAGTCGATGAAGACCATGTACAGGCCTTGTTGATGTTGTAAGGTTCTCTCGCTGAGCATTCTGAGAACAAATATGGCATTTCTGGTGCCTCTGTCTTTCATGAAACCAAACTGGTAGGGTGGGATTTCTGGCAGAATTTTGCGTCTAATTCTTTGTAAGATGATTTTCAATAGGATTTTGAGAATGTGGGACATCACTGAACAGAAAAGTTTGTGGTTTTAAGAACACATAAAATCAAATGAAGTTTTGGCTGTGTTGCGTAAAAGAAGAACCCAAAGGTTATCTTTACTGATCTGTTTCAGTTACTTTGGGAAGTCCGTGCTCTTCTAATGCGACATGTGAGGACAATGTTAACAATAGTACCTGTCTGGATGATATTTGCGTCTGTCTACCAGGTTTCTACAACAAAAGTGAGCACGAATGCATGAAAAGTAAGTGATGTCATCTTGATCCTCAACGACCAGCGTGACAAAGAAGGTCATTGGTCTATTTCCCTAACTTTGAAAGTGTTAGACGATATAAAAAGAAAAATTACTGACTTTGTGCTTCTTGGAGTAGTTTTTAGGGATTATTATTCAGGTTGCTAAATTATTCATATGCAGTGAGCTCTTTGAATTGCATTTACTTTATCATCACGGAGTATTCCAAAAAATGTATCGGACTTTGTATCATTCATTTCAGTTGGACATGGAATGCCGTGTAGTTCTGAAAAGTTTTGTAACAGTTCTCTTCCGCTATCTACCTGTGTGCAAGGGCGCTGCGTATGCCAAGAGGAGGCGTTTTTAAATACGAGCTCCCATATATGCGGTAAGTATTTTTTCTTCCTCACCCAGGTTATACGTTCATTTTAAAGATACAAGGTCAGTTATATTCTGAGGTCAAAGGGGCCAGTACCCAAACTGGTTATAAACAATGGAAATTATTTGTGTCAGTTATGATAAGAATTATTCAGGGACAACGATTGCTGTCCTTGTGAAATGTTGCCGTACGAAAGAATAAAGGGAACACTTACCATACTTACCAGTTTCTAAACATTGGCAGACATAATTTGTATATAAATAAGACGGGTTTACATTATTTGTCAGAGAAAACCTCGGTCTCACATGATATGTGCATAGTTAACTAAAACATTTTCCTATAGCCGCTTTGCTTACCAGTGGCAAATTTGCAACGACCGTTTAAAGATGTCAGCTAATTGCTTGTATATGCTTTTCTTAAAAATGGTTTTTTCTTGGACCCATATACATTCAAGGTTTTTATCAGTTTCATATGTGAGTAAAAACTATAAATCATTTTGAATATAAGATAATAAAGTGATATTTACCTCGTTTTATTAACATGAATATATCTCCAATTTACTAGGTCAATATCACACACTGCCAATAAACCAAATTCTGTAACTAGTGTAAATCTAGAGAATTTTTTCATGTTATGTTGATTTCAAAAGAAATAATGCGCAAAAATCACGCTTTTATTATATTTTAGAGCCCAGGAAAAGGCTTCATAAGACATGTAGTGGGAATGTTCCCAACGAGTGCAGGACGGGAAATTCTACTTGTTCCGGAGGGAGGTGCTCCTGTTTACCGAGATTTTATCCCTATCAGCGAAACTCTTCATTATCGTGGAAGTGTTGTGAGTGTTATGTTTCTTGACAAAAATCTTATACGAAAACAGTGCACAAATTGTCTTCATTTTCCATACCCTAATTCATACATTTTGAAAAGAAATGCACTTTCGTTATTCAAAAGAAACCATCATCAGCGAGATAATCATAACATCTACATCACTTTTGTTGCCTCCCCAGTGCCAAAAGTTAATGTAAACGAGAGCTGTGACGAAAGTAGAGCTCCAGATGTTTGCCTGGACCCCCAGTCGACTTGCCTTCAAGGACGATGTCAATGTATATGGAACTTTGTGCAGAGAGGGACGGTTTGTGGTGCGTTTTTCATTGGCAGTCTTGAAGTAAAAATGTCTAGACCTGTATGTATGCAGTGCGCAAATGCGAATATTTTTAATGAAAATTTAATGACGATTATGTTCTTTATATACTTTATACATCTGTATGAATATTACGGTGAGTGAAGTTCATTTTCAGAGGAGCCTCAGGTTAAACCACTTTTATATGATAATATATAGTATTACACTACATGCAACAGTATTTTTTCCAGTACAGAACCCACGTATACTTTTTGCTGTTGATTACAGTTAGTTTAAATCTTATAGTTATACCGCGTACCCTCTTTACGAGAGCATCATGTGCCCTCGATTCCGTTTATCAGAGCAAAACGAGCACAAGTGGATAATAATGAATGTATAATTGTATAATCACACGTTGCAGTATCTAAAGCTGATATCGGTGAGAACTGTAACCAAACAGCAGAATGCCAGGATCCAGATTCTGTGTGCCGGGATTCGGTTTGTGACTGCAAGAATGGGACATACGTGGCAATACTTCCAACATACAGATTGTGCAGTAAGTTATATACAATAAGGGTCTTCAGTTTGCAATAAGGACCCGCTTTTTTCCTGATGTGAATAAGTCTTAAAAAACCGCTTGCTTATAATAAACCATTGAATTTTATCATTGGTTTATTATGTTATGTTTATACAATCACTTAATTCACTGAAAATTTCAGGCACCTGTTTTGTCGTTATTAATTTTACGTATCGATTGTGATTAGATCTCAGCAATACATTTTCTGATATTGTTTACTTTTTATTCAGAGACTTTAGAGTCCCTTGGAAGTCGCTGCTTATCTAACAGCAGTAGAGTCTGCAAAGATCTGAATGCAGAATGCCAGGCTGGAACTTGTCAATGCAAGAAGGAATATTATCAGAACATATCGGAATGTGGTAACAAATGTTTATGTTATGGATTCATGGTACTTTAGTCAAGTTTGGTCGACTTTGTTGATAGAATTTGATAAAAATATTTTGCAGGCTACATTTGTTCTCGCGATTATTCTACTTAATTAAGTTGTGTAATTCAAAGGGTATGTTTGTTTTTGAGACCATGAAAATTGTTTAAGTTTTATAATATATTGTTAAATGTAGATTAGGAATTTTTCTTGCCAATTACTCCAAATAAATTGCTTCATTTTCTGTTAGAAACCATAGAATCGGCATCCTGCTCAAATTCTGTATAAAATTCTAGAACAAAAAATGCCCCTCAACAGTCCTTGCCAAGGACCCGACCATTGTGCTACCGCAAACAGTGTTTGTGTCAGAAATGTATGCAAATGTGACGCCTCTTACATTGAAGACCACGGGTTTTGCTGTAAGATACTATAGATAACACACATTTTCTCATATGAATAGTAGCTTAAACCTTAAAAAATTGAAAAATGATAACAGTTCTCTGAACACAATCACTAAAAATACAATATTGCCTTAAATTCCCACTGCTTGTGTCTAGGAACTTCACATTGTGTAATACGTGCGTATAATGATAAATCTTTTTGTCATAGATCTATATTATTTATAATATGAAACTGGAATTTTGTTTCTAGATTACCAAGAACTATGAGATCATTGTTTTACACTTCAGTTTTACTTGATCGGCAGGCTGGTTTGGGTGAGCTATGCACCGAAAATTTTACTTGCAGTCCACAAAATTCAATTTGCAATTTAGACATAAACAAGTGTGTTTGCAGTGATGGATATTTCCAGAAACAAGACAGATGTGGTAAGCACCTCGTGGAACATCAGTCATGGTGAACTGAAGATCAAATGAAACTAAGTTTACAAGTGAATAAAAGGGAGCTCGTGATGGCATGGTCCATACTCGTAATCGTTCTCCAGCTCCATTCTCCGTTTTCCATGCCATTGCATTACTGTTGAACTCTACTAATCTAAACCTATGTATATCTTTACCAGTTACTATGTAACTGAAATTTGTCATTATTAAAATTTCTATAATAATAATAATAATAATAACAGAGAGGTTAATTATGTTTTAATTAAAGCAATTGTGATGAAAGGATATATTGAGTATTTTTACGATTTACTTTCAGAACCACAGAACGAATTGGGAGGGCCATGTGACCCGTCTCTCACTGACACTGTACAATGTAAGGGGAACAAGGTGGTCTGCGCGGCCAGTTCAAATACATGTGAATGTATTTCTGATCATTCTGAGAGGAACGGAAAGTGCAGTAAGGAGCCTTTTCATAATACTTATTTACATGTGGTGACTCATTGGTACTGCTTCTTATACAAAATTGCTTAAACATACGTGAGTTGCCAATATTAGCGTTTTAATCCGTAAATTGTTAAGCAAACAATCACGGGTAATAAAATTTGATTTACTATTGTTATTGTTTCAGTTGAATTATTAAAATCACACCCAATGGACTAATTGATTTTTAGTTAAACTAGACCCATGCAAAAGTGAAGATGGTGTTGCTGCCTGCAAAAATTCGGGCACTTGTATAGCTGTGGACCAGTATGATTTTGTCTGCTCATGTTCTCTTGGCTACAGCGGAGAATACTGCGATATAGGTATGGCGTCAGATACGAAATATAAAATACTTAGGACAACGCCGCCGTCTTATAACCAGAACAATATGTAAACTTTGAGGGTTCTCAAAGAAACCGTTATGCAATGATGAATAAAAAATCCAGAGTTATATACATATCTGCTATTACAATAATAGCATTTTATTTGTGAAAACTTTTAACAAAAAATTAATTTTACGAATTCTTTTTCACAAGCGGGAAAAACTATGCCATTCATTTCCCTATTTTGTACTGCTTCTAGACTTTTGTTGGCCTCAGTGTGTCTCTTCTATACATATGATAAATGAAAGGGTTATATACTCGATCTGGAAAATGCATCCATGTACATATCTTAATATTTCAGTTATACCGGATCCATGTTCTACCAAACCTTGTCAGCATGGCGGAGTCTGTTTGCGAACCGATACGTCCTCGTATGAATGTGTATGCCCAACTGAGTTTGCTGGCATGAACTGTGATGACAGTAAGTAAACGGGAAAAAAACGAAATCTTGAGCAACGTGTTATTTATTAGTGAACATTACATACTGTGTAACATTTTTCATCTTATCTTCAGGTGCAATTCCGTATTGCAGCTTCACCAGATAAGAATCTGATTTGCTTTCATAGCTCTCAAACACGAAGTGTGTAATGAACCTTTGTTTGGCATAGGCGTTTGGTTCAGGACACTGTCTAAACTATTGAGGTTACGTAAATCTAATGTTTCTTTCTTTTTTTTTTTTTTTTTTTTGCACAATGTTAATCATAATGATTTTTAAAGCCTCTCAAACATTGTCGATACAGCTTCTCAAGTGTTCAATAGCACGCTGGTCATATACGTGTCGTCGGACAGTCCCCTGCGCTGGACGCCGGTGTTAGGTGACAGGAATTCCACGGCATTCAAAAATGCCTCAAGAACAATCTGTGATGCGGTACGTACATGTACTCATTGAAATACCTATTGCCTATGAATTCTCTTACAGTGATATTAGCACTATATTTTTTGCATCAAATTTCAAGGAATTGTTAAACTTTGTCAATGCTCCAAAAATCTGTTGCATCATATTTGATTATTTCTATTGGATTTTAATCAAAGTAGTGTTTTAAATTACTAGGTAAGTTGAATTGATAATGCTTTTACATTGAAGACTCATTTTATAGACACTCCTGGAACCAGGCTGTGTTCCTACATTGATTGCATCGATCATCATAAAATGACAACGTATATGTTATCTTTATTCCAGGTGGATGAGGCTTACACAGGAGGACCTCTCAGAGAAGTGTATGAACGCTGTGAAGTAACTGAATTCTCAAAGGTTTCAGAAGATAGAATTTCAGCTAATTATAGAATAATTTTCAAATCCAGCGCGGAGCATTTCACTCCCGATTTCGTTCAGACACATTTTAATATAACGGCATTGAATGAGGCAAATGGTTTAAACTTTAGCGAGACAGCAATGGCAGCTTTCCAGGGTAAGTAGAGCTCTGTTTTTTTACGGTGGCTGATTCGGGACATCGTAATATCGATTCGTTTAATGGGACGCGATATTGCGATATCACGATAGCACGATGCGATACCACGATGTCCCGAATCAGCCACCATAATTTTTGAAAAAAAAAACTTCGTGCTTCTCAGCCACACTTTCGACCAAATAAATTATGGATACATTAATGGTGCGTAAGCACATGTTTGCGATGTGCAATGATTCATTCATTCATTCCTCTTCGTCCCGTGTGAGACATAAGGCACAGTCACTTCTTTCCATTTGGTCCTATCTCTGGCTACGTGCTGGGCCTGTCCCATGTGACGTCCCCCTCCCTCAGCTCTGCCATCACTGTTCGATTAAAACGTTATTTATCGTTGAGCAATAAATAACGTTTTAATTTACATATTTTGTTGAGTACACGTATGGATAACGATAATCTAATTTGTAATATGTATTTTGTCAAATTAACATTTTGTTACAGCATTTGATTTCTGTGCTTCTGGTCTTGACAAGTGTTCTAAACATGGCATCTGCAGTCCCACTGAAAACGGGGCTTACACTTGTCACTGTAAGGAAGGGTTCGTCGACGAAAGTGTCGGAGGTCTAGAGGGACGAGTTTGTACAGGTAATAAACAGCACTTATAGTTCGTGGTACCTTTTCGTTCCAATAAAAAGATCGTCTATAGAGTGTCAGGGGCCATTCAAGCTGATGGTTCATTATTTAATTGAACAATTTTTGGTTTAAAAAAAAATTAATGTAAAAATAAGAGATTACGTGAATGATATTGGTCCTATTTAATTTTAGGGAAATGTCCAGAATGTCTTAATGGAGGGGTGTGTCAGAAAAATGAAGGGGATTTGGCATTTTGCAGGTATGATACACCCACTTGTGCCCTAGTCTTGGTATCATCAAAGTGAATTCATTTTGATATCTTTCTTCATGTTTCATCTAATTTGATTGCAAAAGCAACGAGTTTTGATTGTTGCTTTAATACAAATAACACGGAGATTCACTTTTCATATTTATTTATTTTCCTTTTTATGAATAGGTGCATTGATGAGTTTACCGGTCCCGACTGTAGTGGGCCACAAGGTAAAACAGTTTTTTCGGAAAAATTAATTTGTTATAAGATGGACATTATAATCTTTTCTTTACTAATTGATCTATTTCAGTAAGCAAGAGCCAATATATCAATAAAAAAATGAGTCTCTTGTCCTTCGAGTGCGTTTTAATATTTCCCAACTGATGTTTTCATGAAGCTTTTACCGGTTGGCGACTGGCGTCTGTGTCTGCTGGAGGAGCGGTTGGTGCCGTTCTGGTCATAATCATCATCGTCATCGCATGCTTCACTCAACGTACTCGGCGCAGCCTGAAGAAATACAAAAACATGGTGGCCACTCCCCTTGTATCTTCACCTTCCCCACACCAAACTTATTCTGATACCCCAGCTGCTGGTGGAAGAGCGAACGAGACAACACAGCACTCTCTCGGTCGTGATAATCAACTGGGAAATTACCCTGAGGAAGATTATGAATACTTGGAAGATCGATTAGCAAAAATACAGAGTGCAGTAGACGCCACTCCGCCTATTGTAAGTTCAAAGTATAATAAAACACCGACATTTTAAAAGTTTTTAAAAAGCCAAGCACGTTTGTCTACATTTTATATACTAGCTATATTTGGAGGATAGGCCTTAGAAACATGAGGATTGTTTAATCTTATTCATCCAAAATTAATATATAAATGTATTAATAATTTTGATAAAAACAAAAATATTAATAATAAGTGTGTATTTTTGTATGTTTTTTTTCCAGAATTGGAACTTTGCCCGTAACATTCATCGAAGTTCCAGGTACGCAGTTGAACCGGGCACGTCAAGGAACCCTCGAGATGATGTCCCCTTCCGAGAAGAGGTAGTCGTCCTTATCTACACAAATTATCCTTAAAAGTCCCCAGGTCTTCCTTTCTATACGAGTTTGCTGAAAACTAAAAGATAACTTACGAATGTGGAATTGTATGACAGTTTTACGTGTCTGAATCACACGTAGATATCTTATTTTACTGGTATATTTTGCAGGCCTATACAAATTTCACGACAGCACAAGTTCCGTTTAGACAGTACGAAACAACAGAAGGCAGAAGTGGTGGAGATCGCCTTCTCCCTAGAAACGGGCAGAACTCTACTTTCTACAATCCAGCGTACAGTTCATAGGACCGAACATCCATTAGCATCAGAACAAAGACATTTTCTTCAGAATTCCAGCAAAGAAATCTTCAGAAATTACGCTTTGTTAAAGTTTTTTTAACAAAAAGAAAAACATATGGCCAAATTTCTTGTTATGTCATTTTGGATATAAAGTGTAATCTCAGTGACAATAAAGTAACTTAAATTCAATCATCAAAAACACAAAAAATCATATTTTATTAATATAATAGTTCTTTCATGAACTTTTAACATTTTTATTAACGTGCTGCAAAAGCATCTGCTCAGACGTGTTCATAAAAATAACGTAACATGGCAATATATTGACAACCAGGCAAGAATTGCTCGATTTGAAAAACACCAAATTCTTACTTAATAAACGAATGTCTCAAACTGCATATGTTTTGCAGTTTCAATCTAAACAGCTTATGGATTCCGGTTAGATTTATATGCAAGGTCATGAATATAAATTTATCATTTATCGTAAGGTTTTCCTAGATCACCATTTCAATCCTTTTAGGACAAGCCTTTGACATAAATTGCAAATTTACCCTTTTTTTTGTTTATCAAATATAACTCTTCATCCAATATCAAACTTGATATGCTGGTAAAGATAAAAAACACACACCTTTCTATTTATAATAAAAGGTCATTAAAAATTGGACAGGATAACAATGTATACACATTACTTATTGAACCAGTTCATTTTCATATGGGTTCAGTTCATATTCAGCTGTGAGTTGGTAATACGTTGTATCGTTTAAGGGCCATACGAACTGATCCAAGTTCACGGTCAATTTGGTCAAGCTGATTTTCTAGTTCCTCCTAAAAGACAAGAGAACGACAATTTGATAATATTCATCTTTGGATTTTTCAACACAATTTCTGCTGTGATGGAAATGTAATGGACTTAAGGGTCTTATTAATCAACAAATCTATGCATTTGATAGGCATTCCCTTTAAAAATAAGCAATATTGCTTGTTCAGAAAAAAACCTAAATGTAGGCATTTTTTAATTTGTCCTCCTCCTCCTGTCATCTCATTTCATCATAACAAGTCCACAGAATGACCTCAAGCTGAAAATTCTCATATCTAAGTGAAGACATTGTTCTCAAATTAACAATATTTTGATGCATTTCACAACAGATCCAGAAATCAATTTACAAAAACACTGCTGACCTTGTTATGGCGATTTTTCACACCAGTCCTGCCACCTGTAGATGGAAGGTGACTGAGTTGTGTCTCTACTTGTCGCTTTTCCAGCAGAAGCTCATCAAACCTTTTCTCCATATCAGCAACTATTTTCTGTCTCTCAGATACTGTAGAAGACAAGGCTGGTACCTGGAAATATCATAATTTTTTTTATTTAGTAGTCTAAACTAGTAGTCCTATTCAATATTAATCCCAATCTTAACATGCACACAATGACCTTGCAAAAATTCCATTTCATCATATTTCACAACAAATGTAAGTGTATTCACATCTGTGTTTAATACCAATTACTGCCAGTTACTACCATTTATTCCTCTACCATCACATTGAAAAGTTATTTCCCAAATATATTCTTTGCTGACAACATACCCTGTCTTGTTTCCTTTCTGTGCTTAAGTAGCTCTCCAATCCTGGTGAAAGTGGTGAAGGACTGCCCTTTGAAATTTTACTTAAATTTCTACCACTATCTGAAAACATAGGTGGAACTCACAACAAAAACTATTGAACCCAGAAGGTGAAAATCTAAACAGAAATTGAATTTCTAGCAGATGAATCAAAACTTAAGAAACAAACTTCAATTCTGAACCCAATCTAGTGTGAGCATAAGTAAATCACAGCAAAACTGATGTGAAACCAAAACCTTAAAAGATAGATCTGCCACCCAATGTCACACCTACTAGTTTAATAGCACCAACCTGAAGTTGTTTCCTAAGCAAAGTCAGCTGTTGAATAACTCCACATTTCGCTAACAGAACACTATTCAGGTATTAAACACTACAAATTAATATACCTTTAAGTTATAAATATACTTACCACTGAAACCATTCTGTATGTGTCTGCCAGACGTCTGTCCTCTGCTGAAAGTATTACCAACTGCTCCTGTTGGAGACGTAAAATTGTTCATGAGATTCTTTTTAGCATTTTCTTTATCAAGTCCCAGTGTATGCTTTGCAAACACATTTTGTCTCTCAGAGTTCACATCCACTTCCAGGAGGTCATAATTTGACGGTGCGAACCCCTCTGACCTTGGTGTGTCAGAAATGGCACTTTCGGACGCTCTAACCTCATTGGTGCTCCGCGGGTCACTTTGTTGTGGTCCTAGTGCAGCTTTAGGTTTTACACCTGAAGACTTTCCATCTGATTCATGCAGTACGTTGGCCCCTGCTCCTTCTGGCACTGAGCGACTGGAAGATGGAAGATTGCTTGTGCTAGAGGAGAAAATAAAGCAAGTACATCTATTACTATGGCATTGGCAAGAATACGCTCTGTATGATAATCCATAAAGTTTTCAAAAGTTTTAGAAGTTAATGCTAAAGATACATCAATTTGTAATTACCCATCTACCTATAATAGTTTCATAACTTATGAAAATATGTATAAAAATGTAAAAAAAAATTTTTTTCTATTGTTACTGTTCTACTTTCATCAGTATTGTAAATGAAAAGTAAATAAAAAGGTGTGTCTTATTCTTTTACCTAGAGTTCTTGTTGTTTAGGACCTGGCTATTTTGTCTATCAGCACGTCTACGTTTTTCTAATTCTCTCTCAGCTTTGACCAGAGGCGACACTGGGCGCCCATCATCACTGCCAGCTTCACTGTCATCTTGCCTAAAACACAATACAGATTACACGAGAATATTAGTAACAGCCCCAACCTCCCCACAAATAAGTATTAATGCCACCTATACTCAGACTAGTAAAATCTGCAATTCCAAATAGTTTGTAGTGTATATAAAACGTCTTTAGGACAAAATGCAAGTTCAATAGGTTTCATCTATTTTTTTTTGTTTCGTTGACAAGATCTTTACCAAAGTCTGTCAGAATTCTCCTGTGATTTTTTAACTGGAGAGGCACTGAGATATCTGCCTTTATCAGACACAGTGGTCATCAGATATGGGCTTGGCTCTGTCCTTGGGGTGACTGTAGGACTGGGGTAGCTCCTAGCAGAACTAGACAGTGTTAACCTGAAATTTGACAAAAGAGGTGAAAGACTTTAAGTGAATTCACACTACAGGACGTAGACTCTAGCATCAACGTGAAAGCACAAAGTGGGTTGCCTTCATCATGTAGACAGTGAACAGAGTGACTTTTCATTATACTTAAAATACAATCACAATATCTTATGATACACCTTTCTCGTTACAAATTTGAGAATAAAGGGGAATAACTCTATTTGTCTTTTAAGTATTCCCAAGAATTTATGATTGTTGTAAGTTAGTGATAACCAGTGAAACCACTTGCAAAATAGTTTGCTTACACAAGTCCAATAAAATGTCACCAGCGTTACTCATATTATGTAAAGGTTTCACATACAAGTTTAGCTTTTTCTCTTGAAACTAGAGGATCAGAGAGGCGATACCGCCTCCGGATATTGTACCACCAGCTGGAGTAAGCGCATTCGTATGGACCCCCCCCCTTCCAAAAAGGGACACCATCACCAGTCTTGTGCTTGACAAGCTCTATAAGATGCAATCAATAAGAGTTCTCAAAATATGCAAAAAAATATAACTAAATATGGTACAATCAAGCAGATTTTCGAATTGACTTACATTTTCCTACCCTTGANCTAGCATTAACGGTTCCCGAATTAGAGACAGTTTTCAGTTTCGGTATCTTATGGCCGCTTCTCCCGTGAAAATGCACCGATTGACCCCAAATTCACGGAGATGAAAGATGACCCAAAGGGTAACACTTTCCAATAATATTATTGGTTAAGTCTGTGTAGTGTCTGAATAACAGCGCAAATAATATTTTTTTTGTAAAAAATTTCATTTTTTTGAAAATTTTGGCCTGTTTGACCTTGAAATAAAGGTCAAAGGTCAAATCCAAGGGCATATTTGAAATCTACACATATGACTTTTGGAAAGCCGTCTGTAGAAATTTTTCCCATAATTCCTTCCGTAGGGTAGATAATTGGCATTGAATTTTCAAAAATTTTGACAAGGGTGCATTTCAACAAGCGTCACGCCCAGGTTAATGCACCGACTGAGACAAAAAAATCTGGGGGTTCAAGTTGAGGTTATATGTGACCTAAATCCAAGAGATGGGGACAGGGGTCCTTGCGGTCTAGGAGGAGAAGCGGTAACGGTGACTTGTATCCGGCGCCAGTATGCGGAGCCGGCGGAGCCGGACGAGATGGGTCGGGACTAAAACCATGAGTACCGCCAGCGTACACGCTGGTGGTACTTATTATAACCCTGTCAGCCTTTTGCTTACCCAAGCACCGGTGATATAGCTCTTCTCCTTAACTGGTCATTTTCTCTGGCCAGTCTCTGAACTTCTAGGTCCAGCTTGGAGGCATACCTGTATTAGTGAAAGGAAAATAATGGAGGCCTAAATAGTAGGCAGAAGGATACATTTCATGGTTGCATTGGAATAATAATTATTACATTATACTGGTAAACCTTTTCAAGAAATACATATAAGATTCAAATTAAAAGTTTTCATGTTAACTTCCTAAATCCAGACAAATTTTGAAAACATTTTTGAAAAACAAATTATATACATATCACCAAATGAATACAAAATTAGTGTGTTGCACCGATGGGATGCCTTACTTTCTGAGTTTTAAATTTTCCTCCTTGACATCATGAAGATTATTTTCAGCTGCATTAAGATTCTCCTGAAAATCAAAAATATTAATTTATAAAATATTCAATAAGAATACAAAAAATGGTTTACTCCTGCAATATAAAAAAGGACATAAGACTCATCTACTGGAATATTTTTGTTTAAAGATCTAAAATGATTAATCTAAATAATTCTCTTATATAATTTTCAGCACTTTTTATATTACCTTTACTCTCTCATGCTGCTTTCCCAGTGATTCATACTCCTTCAAAATCTACAAAATTAAAAAAGAAAACGATAAAATGATCTCAAGCATGTATCAGAAAGAAAAGAATTTAAACAAATAAAAACTCTCTTCTATACAAATATTCCACATTAACATAATTATAAATGTTTATTAGCAGTTGTAGAAGGGCATGGCTTTTTCATACCTTCTCCAGAATTTCTTGCTCTCTCTTGTAATTTTTATTCTTCATATCTTGCAACTGAAACAGAAAGCAAACTATATCAACAACAATGATTCTTTTCTTCTAATTTAATACATAGTATAGATGAAATTAATGTTAAATTCTACACAAAAAAAAATCCTGTTATCACTTTGATAATTTCTTCAATCAACAACTGAGATTAGACTAATTCTTCTCAAATACTTGTCATGTTTATTGTATGAATTGCTATTACTCTGTATGCCTCCTCTAGAGCAGCAGTCAGCTGTGTATTCTTAGTGGTAAGGGCTTGCACTGAAGCATCTTGCTGCCTGGCATACACAGTCAACTGGTCATACTTTAACTGCAAGGTTGTGGTGCTTTCCTGGGCCTTCTCATATTTTCTGTTCCACTCGAGCTAAGAATAAACAAGACTGCCTAAAACCATACAACATATACAGTGACTAGGCCCTAGTTAGGATTACCAACTTTTTGTATGACCGTACCTAGTGCGTTTTTGATTACCAAGTATTCTAAAGTTCTCATAATACTGACTTGAATATAACCCACTCGTATCTTATATCTTAATAGTATCTTATTCTTATCTACCTTCTGTGTGTTATGTACTTTGTTAGAGAAGAATGCTGATTTCATCCATTACAAAACTAAATTTATGGTAAGATGCAACCTTCTTAAACACTGTTTCTGGAGATAAGTTTACTCACTAATTTGGTCTCCACAGCTTCCAACTTTTGTTCCAGTGCAGTAATTTCTCTGAATAAAAAAAATTAGAGTTAAAATTGAAAAAAAAATCATAAACTGATGTGCCCAGTACAAAAACTAAAATTTCTCCACAATTATGAAATTGGATTCCATTTCAGATCATATCAATTTTACCCTTTGAATGACAAAATAAAGACAAAAACTGGGTTCTATGGTACAAACATATAACAATGTGCATTTTGCATAATGAAGACCTTCGAATACAAAACTCTATGTAATATTAATTCACCTTTTTCCCTCTGCCAGCTTGGCCTCATATTGCTCACACTGCCTCTGTAGTCTTTGGTTCTGTTCCACCAGTGACTTGTATGGTGACCTTGAAGCCAGGACAGTCGGAGATGACAGCTGCCTCTGTAACTCTTCTATTTCTCTTTCATAATACACTTTTAGGTCGGCCAAGTGACGCATGTGCTTTTCCTGGAGATTAACTCTCACAGTACTAAAGAAACAAAACAATGAATGTTAGCACATCATCAATATTTTGATTGCATAAATGGCTCAAGGTTTTTCAACTACAGTTATGGAAATTGAATTCATAGAAGGTTTTTGTTTCCCAAGGGAATCCTTCAAAATTCTTCCCACTTTCCAATGAAAATGTACCTCATTTAGTTTTAATCAAACTGGAAATAATACAATGGAATAAATGTACCAAAGCATAAATACATTAACATGTCCTTTATAGAAAACTGCATTTTTCACAACAAAAGCATTAATTTGTGTATTTTTCACCTTGGCCCCATTTGAGCTCCCTGCACAGAAGATGACACTTGCTCTTTTCCTGCCTCTCCTTCTAGGCGCGCCACTGCTTCCTTGTGCTCTTTAGAAAGTCTGTTCCACAACTGTTCACTCTGGTCCAGCTCACTCTTGGTGGGAGAGGGGAAATATGACATGGTGGTGGCTGGGGAGTTGGATCTAGCAGGTCCAGCTCTGGGCTAATGGTTTAAATAATAGAAATATGAAAAAATAATAATTTAAACTATTCAGCCAAATGTAGTAACAATAAATAAAATGGATAATCTTAAAAATACAACAAAATTTGTAAATACTTGAGTGTGTACTGTCTTAATACTTACTTTTAAATTTTTGTCATCTGACATCCTATAAGCATAATTTGATTGTGAAATGGAGGATGGACTAACTTCATACTGGCTGCCCACATCTGACCTTTGGTCAGCTCCAGGCTTAGATGGTGTGAGATACTGTGAGGGCAGTCTTTCAGCAGACCCCTGTCCACCTGAACTAGTGGACAGCACAGGTGTAATATTGCCCTGCTTGTGCCATGTGTCAGGTTGTCCCGGTGACTGCTTTGAAGAGTTTAAGCTTTGCTGAAGCATTTGGTGTTCAACTTGCTTCTGTAACAGCTGTATTCTTTGTTGATGTTGTTGATATTGTGCCATCATTTGCTCATGATGTTGTTTCTCTAATGTTTCCAGGAGCTCCATCCAGTTTTTCTAGATAGATACAAAGGTTGGTAGTTAATTACACCAACTTTTCCTACATGTACATATAAATATCAACATACGGCTAGTCATTTAAAACACAGAGTCAAATCTCAGCTGATAACTGTTTAAATGAAATCAAACTGCTGTCTTTGCTACATGAACCGAAGAACTAAATTTAAAGTAACTACACAACATTTTACTGACTGCTAATAAGCAAAGAAAAGATTGTGTTATGCCAACCTCTTCCTAAACTTACCTCTGGTAATGGAAGGTTTGAACTCTGCCCCTGAATAATTGTTTCTACCCAGGTAGTCTGAGGGAGAGGTGGGGGATTGAAATACTGACCAGCTGAATACATCTGTGGGTTACCCAATGGCAAGTTGGACATATCTGGAAAAATTAGAAAAAGTCACCATCATGCTTTTTTATACAAAAGCTACTGCAGTTTTACAGAAATAACACAACATTTTAGCTGTTTGGTTTTTCTTTCACTTCAAAATAAATATTAAAAGTCATTTATAAATGAGATCAATTTTAAAGGACTAACCTTCTCCTATGCCTTTATTTCCACTTTCCACATCGGACAATACACTCTGTCCCTCAGATTCACTCTGCGCTGACTGTCCATTCCTCTCCATCATTTCTGTGTCATTTCCTCCAGTTCTCTGCTCCTGGCCACTCTCTCCAGTATCATCCTCTTGGTACCTTTTACCCTGTTTAGCATTGGCTGGTCTTTTGCCATCACTCCTCGGACTAGAGGGGATACTGACTGGTGTAACATACGGACCCTGTCCTGGCAAGGCAGGAGTGGACACAAGAAACTGACCTTGATACTGACCATACTGACTTGGTGACAGTGTGTAAGGTGGCTGAACAGGGTATGGCACATACATACCTGTACTGAACTGCATGTTCAAGAAATCTGGTCCCAAATCGTCCAAAGCCCCATTTTCTGCTCTCTCAGAGGCATAATATTCTCGTACAGTCTCATAATGAGCTGGACTGTACATATTGTACAGACCATCTGACCTCGGCTGATCGCCTGGAACATGAAATGTCCTCATTGCTTGCCCTTGCTCTCCGCCCTCTTTATGTCTGGGTGACTGTGGAAAATTTGACAATCTGTTTCTGGCATTTGAAAAGTCATCATCCGGTGGTGGCGTTCTTTGCTCAATAGGCGTGGAAGGTGGGGGCTTTGGTGGCTGCAACTTATTTCTTTTGAGCCATTCAGCTTCAATTTCAGCTTTGTGACTGTCAGTGTATGCTTTTAAATTAACAGGTACTTCACCGTTCTCATCATTTATGGCACTTTTGCTGTCATTTTTATCTTTTGAGGTTGATGGCTGCTGAGGCTTTTTCCCACAGGAAACCTGTTCACCTGTCTCTTTGTGCACACATTCATTAGCTGAAGATCCTTTTTTGTAAATATTTTTCTTTTGCTCCTTTGTGTATCCCATTTTACCTTCGGGTTTTGTCCCTTTATCCCTTTCTTGGTCAGTCTGTAGGTTTGTATTGCTTTGCAACGATTGCCCAACACCATCATTAGACAACTGTATGGCACCTTCTAACCTTACTCTGCTGAAAGAGTTACTGAGAGTGTCTGATACACTCTGAGTAAAGAACTCTCCACTTTGGGATGATTCTGAGGATGTAGACAATCTTTCGTTGGATGCTTGGTCAACTTTTTTACTTTCTCCGTCTTCAAGCATTTCTTCATTATTGTCTGTCAGCTCAGGTATTCTGCTATCATCTGTGTGGGTGGCATCTTCATCCTGGGACAGATACGATGAGTGTTCACCCTCGCTGCTGTTCCCATGCTCTGGGCTGAACAGCTGCACATCACCAATGTCGTAACTTCCCTTTCTCTGTCCTGCACCAAGTGAGCCCTCAGAAGAGGAGACTGAAGTTTGCCTCTGTTTCACAGCTGCACTGGATTTCCCTTCGTCAGCAGACATGTTGCCTTCATAAATAGAAAATTACACTGTTACAATCTGTTGAATCATATACACATCACAAAAATTATAATATTGATGTTTGGTTCTGATAATTACTTATTTTCTGATGTTTCCTGGGGTAGTGCTAGTAATTTTTGGGCTTAGCCAAATCACTACTTTTTCATCACCTTTTTTCTTAAATTTGACTGAAACAAATGAAATCAACTTTATTTTGTTTAGTCAATTTAAGTCAGTTTTAGTATTTGCTATTGCTATTTGCATGCTTATTGGACTGTAAATATTAGCAGCAATTCTGATTGAAGTCTACCATGCCACACAGAAACATGCTTGGTTACCCTGATTTCAAGGTTCCATAGGACATGTGTGGCAGTTGATAGATCAGTACTTACATCAATGACTGATATGTTAAACTTCAATCAAATGACACTGAATTTCAGATTTTAAAAGTAATTACTAGTATGTGTATATATTTTGACATATTTTATTTGAAGTATGAAAAAAAAGCAATGTTCAGATGCCCCTATGAAATACATGAAAACACAATGTAAGAGGCTCATAGCTTAGAATTTTTCTTTGCCAGAGTCCACTCAGTCTCTTGAAAATGTGACAAGATGCCAAAAATCATACAACGCAAATCTGAAGAAAATCTTATTTGAGTTTTCAAATTAACATCTGGATAGACTCATTTTTCAACCTTACAAGCGGGGTATTTACCGCCTGTATGCGTATATGTAGACGGAATTGGTATGTAAGATTTTCATTGATATTATGGATCCTCCATATGAACCCTTATCTCTGCGGTTACAGGTCATAAAAACCTTTAAAATTAGATTAAAACTGGGTCGAGTTTCCGCCGAGTGCAGCGTCAACTATCAACTCGATGAAACTGAAATTGCTTTTGATGTGAATCAAGTTTGAATTTGATGTTTGATCAATTACCAAAGTAGCTATAACAGAGAAGTACGTTTCTTTAGCTAAAGAGCAAACTGTCAAGACTATGAACGCAATACTTACTGAATTTGCACTTAAGTCGAAAAACGATCTCAAAATTTCTCTGTTGACTTCCAGCGGGAAGCTTCCATCTTGAAAGTGCCAGTATACGGGTCAAGGCCACAGCATCGTTGGAAAAATTTTTAACCTGTCCTTGGCAAGTAAGTTAAACAATTGAAAATCCAAATATGGGAATTCCGCTGTTTTGTTGTATTTAAGAAAAAATGTATGTATTTTAATCCCAAAAATATCCATAAATAATCCATATTTTCTTTTTCGAAAATGTATTTCAGGCCTCAATTAACTCTACTTGTGTAGCAGCGGGCAAGTTGAAGCAGGCTCGGTGAAAGAGGCTGGTACCTTCTTTCTGGCCTCTCTTGAAAGTCGTGTCCTAAATCAGTAAAATCAGTGGAGCTCTACTGTTAAGTGTTGTTTTTTTATAAGTATTAACAATACTCGTAAATGTTTTCGAACATAATGATCATTCTGACACCTGAGTTTCAGTGACGGAGCCAGTCTCGCCAGCCTCCGAGCCTGTGCACAGTGTGACCGTCTTTCAATATCTTCATCTTTCATGATTTTATATACACCTGGTAATTTGAATTGCCTTTGGTGTCAAGCAATCTTGAAAAACGTATCTTCTTTGGTATTTGCTGAACGTTGCCTCACTTGAACTTATGTAAATTTTTCGGGTTACAGAGAGACTTCTGTGTTGTTTTGCAAGCTAGCTGTTTGCATGCAGTTTATTATATATTTCATTTGTATTAGAACTTACCTTTTGAATGTCAGCAAAGACAAATTTGCAAACTCTGACAAAGTGAAACAGGTTTGTGCATTTTTCAAACAGCTGGTATCTTTTTCAAATTCCTTCTGGCATCTTATTTGTGACTTACCTCATGTAATGTCGTTCAGCATGAAACCTAAATAAGCTGCCAGTGTAGAATATTTATTTATTGTCATTCTGTTAACTTAGTACTAATATTTTTGTTTTCATAGTGTCAGAAAATGCACCATAGATGAAGACAGGTGGCGTAGCAAAGAATACTAGTACACAGTTGAATTCTAACAGTGGGAAGAAAGATGGTTCCAAAATGGGTCAAAAGAAAGAGACAGAAAAGAGTAGTAATAACAGTTTCACTATACCAGCAATGTTCAAAATGCAGAGAAAGCGTAACATAGAAGCATTACAGCAAAGTGAAGACATTGAAATCATTAAAGAAGTCTCTCCTTCAAAGTATTTCAAACAAGAAGCAGGTGTAAGTAACCAAATGGCCAGAAATCAAACCATGGCAAAGTGTGAAAGCCCTGCAAAAAGAATATCTTTAAGGCTTAAAATGAAAAGAGGACATGATTGCAACTTTGAGAAAGTCGACAGTTCTTTGGACGACCAGAACAAGATTAGCAGTCATGATGTTAAAGCATCGTCTTTGTTCAAACCCGAAGTCAAAAACAGGAAAGTAAACAAAGACAAGCTTTCTTTGAAAAGGAGAAAACTAGAGCAAAATGATGAACAGCCTGTAAGTACATCTTCAAACCACTCTGTGATCTTAAATTCTGAAACTGAGTTGAGCAAAAAACCTCCGCCCAAGAGTGAAGGCAAAGTATCAACTTTAAGAGTTTGTGATACAAAAGAGACAAACATTATTCACAGTATTGGCAATAGATCCGAAAATGACCAGAAAAATATAACAGGAAAACAACAGGATTCCGTGAATACCACGCCAACCAGATTGGATAGCAGTTGTGATGATGAAGGCTCTGCAGTTGTAGACGAAAACAGAAGAAAAATGGACAAGTCGTCAAATACCAGTGATAGCCCAGGTCCACAAATGTCTGTTATAAGTAAAGATGAATCGCACCAAACTGAAGACCAAGAGAAAGACCAAGAGTTCCACATGCCATATTACCTGGAAAACTTTAAACTTATAATTGAAGCAGTGCTTTCTGATAGTTTTTACAATCACCTGTTTATTGAAGAGGAATTCGGAATTGTAGAAAAATTTAGAACTCTTGAAGGTAAAGTTATTAACAAAACTTAAATGAAAATAATTATAAATTTGTTATTCTTTGATGTTACAAAACTCTGTATGTTTTATTCAAACTCTATAAGACTGCCGAGTTAGATTGAAGAAGCAAATCTTTAGAAACCTTATATCATTTGTTTAAGTGTTATTTTAAATCTGTATAATTTTCTTTTCTTAGTACAATGCACTCTTCTACCCATTTTCAGAGTCGGAGCAAAAATTGTTTGTACGCCTTTATGGGAGAAGGCACAAATGGATCCGCCAAGCCAAAATTGTCTATCCTAAAATTGAAAAGGACCTAAGTAATGTTCTGCAAGGATTGGTCAATGCTGGATTCATATTAGATGGTAAGACCTGCAAGTGATTTAAAGACAGAATGTCAAAACGAATCTTATACTTAAATAATAATCTTATACTGAAATAATGATCCACTTTTAATTGCTTTTATTACTTTGGGTAAGAATTTATATAGTGTTGAAGAAGTCTGAATAGATGTTATGCTGGGGTAGCGCTAGCAATTTTTTTTGCCTAGCCATATCAACACATCTTTGTCAATTTGTTATCAAAATGGTTATAATTTGGCTAAAACGTCAAATCAAGCCCCTTTTCTTTAGCCAATTTAAGTCAGTTTTAGCATTTGGCTAAATGGGCGAGTGTCAGCGCTACCCCAGGTTATGTACTAAATGATAAACTGCTGCAACATATACTTTATCAGGAATTGCATTTTTTTTATCATTTTTTATTGTTTTTCTTCTCAAAAAGAAACCCATCTTACTGATGCTGAAGAGACACTGCATAATCTCCCTGCCCCAGAACTCAGAGAATTGGCAAAATCATTTAAACTCAACTTTAGCAACCAACACAGACAGCAGATTGTGCAGCAGCTTCTCCAACATGGCAAGCAGAATACAATAATGAATATGTTTGGAGGGAACAAGGGAGGTACTGCAGCCACAGTTGTAAAAAGGTAAAAAAAAATGTAATTTAATGGACCTTCACCTTAGATTGCTAATACTGGCATTCTAAAATTGAAATGTGAGCAAAATTATTGTTGTAAACTCAAATGGCATGTACAATATATCTCAGTTATTTTAAAACAAAGGTGTGAATATTATTTCACAACATTTTGATCCATTGTAAAGCTTTCAATATAATACATGTTGAATTCCCTTTTTTTTTTGGATTCAGGGCTAAAAGCTTCCTTGGCAAGTGTTACAAGGTCACCCCAGAGGTGAGAGCAGTTTTCAACCGTATCCTGACTTTGTTTTCTCTGACCACCTCAGCTACAGTACAGGATGAGGATTCCCAAGGTGCACAGCAACAATTGTAAGTATGATATTATGGGTATTTTTGCCATTTTTGCTGAGATTGATTTGTTTAGATAGAAAAAATTGTGATGAACATTTGATAAGTAGAGATTTGTCCAGAAAATTTAGTATGGCTGAATGTATCAGACTGTTTTGAACCCTGGTATGCTAAATTTAAAATTAGCATTTTCCATCTGAACAATAGTCATTAACCTTTAAGTCAAAAATTGATGAGAAGAAAATGTAATTTGTTATCAAGTATAAGAAATTGAATATATATTTGATATAACTTTGATTTATAAAGATACGTTTTTTTATTTTATTTGTTTTTAATTTTTTAGGTTTCAGTTACTTATGACAAACATAGGGAAGATTGTTTATCCATCATACACTGTAAATAGGACAACAACTGTGTTCAAGACCCGAACAGAACTTCTTTGGTACAGTACTCAAGTGTCTAATCAGACTTTTATAAATTATGGTAATATAGCATAAAAGATGTCATCTATATAATCAGTAAGACAGTCATATCATTGGGATTTTTTCTTTATACCCTTTTCAGAAGTTTGAACGATAATTTTAAAAAACACTTTTTTGAATCTCTGTAGAGAAGTGTTTGAGTTTTTTAGTATGAATATTGCTGTTCTTAAAATGTCAATTAAGAACCATTATATAAAAGAAATGTGGAAACCATTATTGATTGCCAAAATCTATTGTTTTTTCTTGCTATCGACAGGTATGAGGAAGCTTTGCAATATGAAAATGACATTTTTAACGCTATGGAACAGAAAGATTACACTGCTGCTAGAGATATCTACCTCTCTGCAAAAGATGTTTTTCACAAACAATCTGAGGACCTGAAGAGGTAAAATGATGATAGATTTCTATAGAGGCATGTACAGCAAACGACTTCTACTACAAATAGTATATATATAAAGTTTGCTTGATAAAATTCACTTGGTTTTCATGTCTTATTTGGTTTCAATGAGACCTACTTATATTAGTCAAACTAATCCTGTCTTAATCCAATCCAGTAAAATCCAAATATATTTTGTTAGATACTCTAACCATTGAAAAAATAATTTTTTCCAAGATGACCAGAAATTGTCTTTTATAAAGATTATACATGAAAGTGTTTGATTAATGTAAATTACCCTTTGTTCCGAAATTAGGCAATTGGTAAAGTTGGCATAAGAATTGCATAACTTATTTAAATAGATTATTTTAAAAGAAAAAAAAAGATTAATCGTGTTGCACTTCATTGTTGATGTGTGTTTGACTTGGGATGATTGTCACCATCTAAAACTGTCTCTTATGAACCATGTGATTTCTTTGCATTTTTTAGGCATATTCAATCCTTGCCAAGTCACTTGAAAAATTTCAGTGCTGGTTACTTGTATACACGGGTGCTTTCCTATGGTGTTGAAGCCTTGCAGAAGCTGAGGTTATACTCTGATGCTGTCGACCTGTTGGAGGCTCTGCTGGGGCAGGAGGAGTACTGTCAGGCATACAGGGGACGGTGGTATGACAGACTGGCACTTAATTTGGGACAGCATCTGAAAAACCCAGGCAAGGTGAGTTGGGTGCACAGTATTCAGCTAACAAGTATCCAGTAATCCCTGGATAGGAATAAGGTACAAGTTTTTTATTTATTGTATTCCATATTTGGTGCTGACTTCCAAGGCATGAACTTTTTCTTTTCTGTTTAAAGATACAATTTCCACCAACATAAAATGTAGAATAGTACATTTGAGTGTCATTTTGGAAAGAACAACTTTGGTTGGGTGATAAATGATTTGATGGTTTTGAGGAGGTTCATACTACTGTATATGCATTTTAATTTCAGTCCTTGGATGTAATTGCAAAGGGGCTAGCAGACCCATTGGTGAGAACAGGACATCGGTATGCCTTGTACCAACGTGCATACAGAATATGTACTTCACCAAGTGGTAAACAGATGAAGAGAAGGCTGGAGGAGTTCCAGCATGATCATGTAAAGGAAGCACCCAAGGTAAAACTACAAAGTTAAGACTTATGTTGCCATTACTAGAAGTTTGGACTTGGGCTTCTTTCTTCACATTTTCTGTGAAGTAGATGCTTACAGACTCCATACTACAGGTTTAAATGGTTTGATCAGAGTACATGTTTAAGATTTTGCATTAGGACATCTTTTTTTTTTTTCTTGACTTGTTTTTACTGACATCTTTTTAAAGATGCACCAGATTTCACATTTTTATGAAGAATTATAGACCAAAAAAAGCATAGCCTAAATGAGTATTGATTTCTTACATTGTGCTCTCTAGGTATATTTTGAAGGTGTTATGATGCCTTATGCCAAAGTTGGCACAGGAAACTACTTCATCAGTCAAGAATCTGGGGCTGAAGGTCACCCCGAGGATGTTGTGCTTTGCAGAGTCGAACAACTAGCTCTGCAGCACTATTCTTCTAAGGGCTATGAAGAAGGTAAATCAGACACAAAATGATGATAAGCTTTCATCTTTTAAGATTATCTGTAATGAGAGTCTCTCTGTCAAAATTTACAAAAATACATTTTCATTGCACAAGAAAAATTCTATTGAAAGGTCTCCAAGTTTGGAAGTGATAATAATGATCCATTTTCATATTAAAGAGATAATAACTGTGTATGGGATCTATATTTCACAATAAAAACATTGTACACAACTCACAGAAATATAATATATTCTGTTTTACCATAAAAACAGCAGTTATAGCTATTATTCTGATACATGTATCTGAGCTTGTCATCAGACCACGTGACCTCCATAGATGGCTATTCTCTCTTAAGAGATTATTACAAAAAAAACAATGACTAACTTTGAATGTAGAAATGGATTCATTAACCATTGGTAAGTATGGAAAAACTTGTTTACTCCAGGAAAATTAATTTTTTGGCCAAAACAAACAGTTATTATCCCTTTAACATCAGTATTTTAAAGATGTGATATGAGCTGCACACCTATCAAATTGCTGTCATTGTCATTTTTCAAACAGGAATCCATGGTGAAATGTCTACAATGCTGACACTACTAGGGTTGTTTCTTTGGGAGGAAATATTCATGAATGTTACGGATGTCTTTCATTGTCCATATCAGTCTTTTCCTCTGGACCTTAATACAGACAGTTTCTATCACAACAGAAAGGAAGCAATAGATGGCAAACTTTGTAGAATAAGAGGTGCCACTTTGGAGGTAATGTTAGACTTTTATGACATTTGTTGTGATGACATTTGTTGTGGTCACTAATGTGTGGTATAATCTACCCAGCGACTGAAGTATAATTATCAATTTTTTCACATATAAATTTTACTTTTATCAAAGCCTGATTTTGAATTTCTGTCAATAAAACTTGGTTTGGAAACATCTTATTTGCACATTTGTCTTGTAGTTGCAAGATGAAATGGTTTTTTTTTTCATTATTTTGAAATCATTTTTTTTTTTGTTTTAGACATTACATAACATGTTACAAAACACCTGGGATGACCAGTATGGTAAGAGAGCTGCCCATGTAAACTGGGAGATATTCAAGGATGTGGACCATGCCAAGGTACACAGCATCAACCTGTTGCTATGCTGTAATCACCCCACCATGCTAAATTTTAGTCAAATGCTAAACTTAGTTTAATTTACCAAGTGATTTTTTTTTGCAAAGTTTATAATTATGTAAGTTTAAAACTGTTGCCCTTTTTTTGAGAATTTTCAAAATATAATTTGCGTCACAACATCAGACATATTTTAACAAGGGATATTAGGAGATGCTGTTTCATCAAATAATGTTGGCATCCTTCATTTCTTAATTTATGGAAGCTATAAATTATAGTTAGGATATTTTTGTCTGATGCCAAATTACATTATTAATTTATGGGGACCAGGTATTGTTTGCAAACAGTATTATGAGACTGATTTTGCCTCAGTTTTCAATTTTGTTAAAAGAAAAAATCTTGGAAAAGAAATGGTGAAGGAAATGAATGGTGTTTTTAATGAAAAATTTAGGTTATGATAAACAAAAGAAGGATGAGAGTTAACGTGCACAGGTTATTTATAAGAATTGCATAATGAAAACAGGCTGTGATGTTAATCACTTTTATGTCTTTATTATTATTATTATTTATTTATTTATAAGTTGCAAAGGAATTGGTGTGTGCTCGTAACAATGATTATACAACAGTGTAACTTTTAAGTTACAATTTAATAATTGAACATATTCACTCTCATTTACCCTACGGATGCTTTTTTCCAAATTATTTATCCTTATCCTATTAGTTGTTTCAAATGAGTTTGAAGAAAATACATTCTATATTAAGTTTATTTTAGTGTTCCAGACATGCTGAAACTGTCTGTTCAAATGGTCATGACCGGGAAAATTTGTCTGGACCAGCAAAAAATTGGACTTTTAAGAACCACAATTTTGAATTTACTGTCATCATTCGACATAATTGACTAATGAAATTATATAAAACCCAAAGCGTTTTTCCCCTCCATTTCAAATCTATCACATTCACAAACAAAGTAAGTGACCTAATCGTGCTGGTAGTATCTGTCTCAAATGAATAGGGTGATTTTCGGTCTGACAATTATCCATTTGGTCCAGCAAATTTTTCAATACTGCCGGTCCAAATGTCCGGCCATTTTGAAAAGTTTTCAGCATGTCTGGTGTTCTCAAAACAACATAAAGCATGATTATAATATGCAGGATCCCTGATAGTGGAAGTTCCCAAAGATCCTTTCCCTATCCCAGCAACAATTTGCAAAAATGAGTTATTGTCTATAGACTTTTTCTTTATTTCACATTACAGGGGCTTGTGTCTTGTATAGGTGGTGAAATTCTAGCAGGTATATTTCAGCGAATAGTCAGAGATATCCGTAATACAACTTCAGGATTTCCAGATCTGACAGTGTGGAGTCCTGCTTCCAACAAATTCAAGGTACGAGATATATTTCAATATTGTTTACTGATTCAGAACTGAATATTCACTACATTTTTTTTTCTGTTAACCTCCATCAAAAAATGATCTGATTCTAGCTATGACCACCCCGAGTTTCACAGGTCCCTAGAGGTCCCTCTAAAATAGCCCCTCTGACACTCAGGGTAGTTCTGGCCCATTTCCACTCTACACAGAAATTGCTCAGGAATCCATATAAGCACATCCCAGAGAACTTTATTTCCAATAGGTTGTTTGGCATGAGTTCAAAATAGCAGGCAATAACAGGCCAGGCCTTATTTGTGAATTATTATGGTTTTGTTCTGTACAGGGCTTCTTCTTATGCTTCAGTAAAACTGAACACTGCATGATGTGAAATGATTCATAGACTTCAGAAGACTGAAAAAAAAGCAGTTTTCTATCAATGAATATATATGGAAAAGATTGTTATTTATTGCTAAATGCTTTTTGTGGAAGGATGAAAGGTGGTTTAATTATTAATAGACAGTAGCAAATAACACACTTTTATTGCTTTTAGGAGAGCTTGGGTGCGTTCAGTTTTTCATGAATGAATCATTAGTTTGAGTTGTTTGTTGATGTGTAATTATGGCTTTATTATGTCTGTTTGTCAGATGAATTGGAATTTATACTTGTTTATCACTGCAAAAAGTATGTCAAATATTATGTACATTTCATTCTTAATTGATTAATGTAATAACATATGCATCCCATAGGTTATTTGTATGATGAACTAATGAATAATCCTCTGAATAGTTATTGTCTATTAAATTTTAGTGTTGTTTTGCCATAGGAGCTCTTTGATTGAAAATAGTCATGTAAGAAATAAAAGTATTTTATGATGACATACCTTTTCTAGGTTGAATTATTTTTTTCTTACTCAGATAAATAATGAGCTTTTTTCCTTACCCAGATAAATAGTGAGCTTTTTAACCTGCACATTATTTGTGCTTTCAGTTATTAATTGATGATGAATTTGATACGCCATATTGCCTATTTCAGATAGTAGAGGTAAAAGGGCCAAATGACAGGCTGTCTGTGAAACAGATCCTGTGGTTGGATTATCTGCTGAGGTTGGGAGTAGAAGCTGAAGTTTGCCATGTGTCTGGTAAATATGTTCATTTCAGTATTTGCTAAAAGTGTGATTGTTGCACATTTTTGTGTAAATGTTTTAAAAAATAAAAAATCCATTGTGTTTGTTAAGTTCAGTAGAATTAGCAAAGCAAGCATATCTTTATGTTACACTTTTTACTTAAAGATTTAGTAGTGATTTTACATTTGCAGACCTTTTCTTGAAAAGTGCAAGCAGGCCAATTTCTCCTAGATTAAAAATACCATCAGCACAATTTTCATTTACATTATTGTAAAATTGGTTGATAGTAACTTTATATGTATATTTATTTATCTTCATTTTTATTTTGGAGTCAGTTGGAAACAAGGAAAAAGCAACATGGTCTTAGACTGCAAACAGTAGTTCTATTTAAAAAGTCATTTCTTATAACAACATTGAGTGTTGCTAAGGATAATAACATTTTTAGCTTCTGCATTGTGCATTGAGATTTTCACAGATCCCAAAGGAATGCTTTTTCTGTGTATACCAATATGTGGGTATGTGATTAGGGACATGTACTTCGTATTGATTTGTGTACATTGTGCATATTAGATGAAGTCACTGATTATTGTTAATAACATTCATTTCATTTTTTTTTTATTTCAGCTGTAGGTGCTAAGAGATTACAGAAACCAGAGAGAGCAGATACTGAAAAACCAGAATGTGAGAAGTTTGACTAATCGTATTTTCATATATCTACATACAGCAATTTGAATTTATTTTCCATGACTGTGCAATTATCTTGTAAACAGGCAACAGTATGTATTGTTTGGTGCCTATAAATATCATCCTTGTGGAAGTCCTCAGTAATGACTCTGAAAATGTAGCCATATAATGAAGGACTTTTATATTTATACTTCATTAAACTCTATATATGTGACTATTTAATGGTTGTGATATTTAAATTCTGTAAAAGTGAAGTTAACTATCTTCCTTACAAGCAATTATTGAATGCAATATCCTAGAATTTCCTTTTGTAGCAAAAATAAAAATGTCTATAGATCAAATGTCAAAATGTCTAGTGCCATCAATAATGTAATCCCCTTTGCTTTTTCTGTCTATAGAATAATTACTTGATTTGGGTCTACATTTAATGGATCTGTTTTCTAGAACAGTTCAAGGAGTGGTGTCACTGGAGGTTTGTGTGTACTATTACACACTTAATGATTTATAACTCCTACGTGCTAATGAAGAGAATTGAAGCATTAATCAGCCACTTGTTGATAAGCTGTTGCTGTAATGAAATATATGCTTCTGATTAATGCATATCCATTCAACAAAATCATGTTGATGCAGTAAAGGGATGTTATTGAAAGTATATTTTTTATTAGAAAAAATTATTGCAAATGCCTATGTATTGTTTTGAAAAAAATATATTAACTGCTAAAACCCCAAAAACAAACAAACCAAAAAAAAACCCCTAGCTCCTATATAAAATCCAGCTCTGAACTTCACTTATTATTCAATTAATGTGTAACTTACTTAGAAAGATAAATATTACCTTTCCCCTGAAATGAATCCTGATATCCTCACCAATAAAAAAAAATGTATCGAGTCTTGGCAGAAAATTAGAATGTTTGAGTTGAGGTCGTATGGGTGATGAGTTTCATTATATAATGGATAGCGATTTACTCATAAATGATAGAAAAAAGTTGGTACCTGACTATTTTATAAACAGACCTAACACCTACAATTCACAATCTTTTTGCTTCCAAGAATATCAATATATTGAAAAACCTGTGTATATTCATAAAAATAATCAATGAGAGAGTGAACCCTCCAGGTTAAATGATATTGTTATATGTTCTCAATGTGAAAACAAGAGAAATAAATAAATAAAATGAAAAAAGAAAGAACAAGGAAATTCAAATGCATCCGAATATCTCAGCACGTCTTCTTACTTGGACTTCTATGGGGAATCGCATGACACTGATTTTGAAAGAACTTCACAGGCTACCTGTAAATGGGCAGATTTTATCTAAATTTTTAACGTATGCCCCTGCTGCTTTTTATGAAGTTTCACCAGATTGTCACTGTGAACTTGCATCCTAATACACACCAAATCGCATCTAAGGACCAATTATTTATTATAAAAGCCTCAATGGGCAAGGATCAAAATATTTGGAGTGAATTATTTTGTATACAAGGGCCCCACACGTAGCTCAGCAGATGATTGTAATAGAAAACTGAAAACTTATCTTTTGAGTGGATATACTTTACAGAACATTATAATTATACATATTTCTCTTTACTTTTAATACTAATACTTTTCAATTTAAATTACTCTTTTTAACTTTGTATTTTATTTTTGAAGTTTACAGAACATGGATTTTAGTTATTATTTTAACTTCATATAATTATTTTGTGTCCATTTAAAAAATAATTTTTGAACTAAGTTTAGTTGCATTTAGCACTTAACAGTAGAGTACACATCTGAGACAAACCTTTTTCGCAACATATGCTTTTGCAGGACGCGTAGATTGAGAATTCATAATGTTTTATTACTACAAATGTATATTTATCATTAAAAAAATATTTCGAATACATTTTCTTAGTCATGGAAAAACACAGTTAATTTTTTAATAACAAAAAGCGAGTTAAAATGAAATAAGTATTTTTCAAACAGCAACATCATTCATATGCCAAAATTATTAGGTTATCGGTCGTAATTCATAGAGATATGGACTGTCAAACTGACAGCGACACTAGCGACACGGTGTAAACAAGGCACTACCTCTTTTATATAAGGAGGTCGGAAAATTAATAAGATAAAAATAGACCCAAGATGGCGACAAGTCCCAGGAAGGAAATCTGCAAAATATTTTCCTGAAAGTAATATAAAAGGTAAGTTCAACTTAAAGTCTTGGCATCAAAATGTGTACATAAATATATCACCTACAGTTCAAGGCACTTATTTCACATTGCCCTCACCATGGACGCCGGGTTTTCAAGGTATCTCAGAATACTTCACTTGAACTTTATCCACAGAGCTGTCAGAGCAGGGATTATAAAAGCAGGTGTCCACTAATTTATCTGTGATTCATCTGACCTGTGACTTCATTCTGAGAAATGTTTAGTCAGCAGTAATAAGCACCAGGTAAATAAATGAACTTACGTTTATGAAATACTGACTAGATCAGTCTTTACATCGTCCTTAGAACTGTGCCCGATTTAAAGTGCCAGATTTAAAGGGACAAACAAAGGAGTGGATTGTACAGATTGGGTGAGTCGATTTTTTGGTCTGTCTTTTAAAAAGATAACTTTATGATATTCTGTTGTTCAGATATTATATTGATATTTTTTAAAGTAATTTCTAATTTTATAATGGTACACACTTGTGTGCACGCACACACACACTCACTCACACTCACACACACACACACACACACACACACACACATGCCTACTGTTGGCTTCTGTTTATTAAAAGTATCATTATCTGTTGTTACTGCAGTGAAAAGCTAAAATGGACATAAGCAAATATTCATTTTTTTAAAGATTGGCATATATTTGGTTTAATTCAATAGTATGTTTTCATAAAAAATATTAATTCAGTGTATACTGTTGGTTAATCAGAATTTTACATATTGAATAATATCACTGTATACAATGAAAATGTTTCTTGACATTTAAAACCTTATTTCTCCCTCATAATTGGAACTCTACACCAGTTTTAGAATCTTGCTCTTGTTCTGTTGTTTTGGGTTTTCAAGTAATCTGATTTTTTAATGTGTATCAATGCTACTTAATCAGGAATAATTTGTATTTTTAGTAATTACACATTGAAGTTAAGAAAAAAGCGGAGAACATAATAATATAGCATCATTTTGAAATTGTCTGCTCCTAATGGGCTTAAGTAATTTATCTAATGGCCTTGCGAAATAGACATTTTATTCAGACATTTATTTTGACACAAAAGGAGGATTTTGGTGGACATAAATAATTTCAAGTTTACAAAAACTCGGTCTGATGTTTACTGTTAGTTTTAATGTGTTTTTCATGAATAGTTTAAATGGATTGCTTGATATATATATATATATATATATATATATATATATATATATAGAAAAAACTTACAGCTTGAATGCTGCAGAATAATAAATATTCATTTTTCAACTTTGTTTGGATCTGTTAAAGGCAGCAAGCCAAGTTGATGTGTAAGAAATCCAGGAGAAAAAAATGTACTTATCACTTAATGACTTGAATTCTGTTTCTTCTTAAAATGTGAGATGGTTCAATGTATGATGTGTGCTTCACTTCAAAGGAGGAACTGAGGATTGCAATTAACAAAATTAAATCAGTCCCCATATTTGTTTAACTGGGGCGCATTAAACAATCGATTGATATCTATCTTATAAATGTTTGTGAGCTAATTTTTTTCCAAAGGCAATATGATTGATGATGTTTGTAGATCTTGATATCCCTGAGCTAATTACAAATTGCTTTTTGCACAGTTCCAAGCAGTGGTTACCAAGGCACATTTGACAGCAACCAGTAGCAGAAGAGTAATTGAATGTGGAGTGCCTGTTGTCCATGAAAACCCTGCAGTATTTTGATGTTTAGCATAGGTGAGAATGACAACTTTAGCATATTAGATGAATCAGGTAGATGAATTATTTAATTTGGAATTGAGGACAAAGCAGGTTAATTGTATTCAGTAATTGTTGAAGATGTATCATTACTGCAGCCAATGGGTTTTAATTAAGTCATTAGCATGGCACCAGCGTGTTAGTATACATGACAGATGCAAATTTTACTTCTGTGGATATTAACAAGCTGGGTTAACTTTTGACTCCCTATCCAAAGTATACAGACTTCTGTCATTGTAATTATGCATGGTGGGGCTATATTGGCCATCTCTGCACAGTAGGACCCACAGTTAATTTATTAGCCAATTTACATATATTGTCAATTAGGAGTCTTTTCATTAAGGGTGTCCCCGTGGGATAAGGGGAAAGTCATATTAGGTAGGTTTAATCAGGTGGGAATTACCTGACCAGTAGCTTATGACCATTAATTTACTTGTTTGTTTTGTCCACTTGATTGCCTTGAACCATTTTCTATGATTAACCAGATTACTTATTACATAAGCAATAAGATTGCTAGGGCAAATATATTATTTTGGTATTGGTGTATTTTGGTAGTTTGGTCATTTACTTTTGTTAATCAAACTCCTTATGAAAAAAAAACTACCAATATCCTTCAAAAGCCAATATCCTACAAAACTAAAATAGTAAAAGTTTGGTCATACTTTCAAAAGCTCAAAACAATGCCATAATCCTTTTATCTGAAGTGCATAATACTGAAAAAAAAATTTTTTAAAGGTTCAGATTTTGACAATAGATTTATATTAGCACGCCTGAACATCCTGTCATAAGCAATGTTTTACAATAGTTTTTTTAAGGTTTATATTGGTTGGTGTATTTGGAATTATAGTGTAAAAATATATAAATTCTGGGGTAGCGCTAGCAATTTTTTTTTTGCTTAGCCAAATCACCACATTTTTGTCAATTTGTTATCAAAATGGTTAGAATTTGGTTAAAACAAGTCAAATCAGGCCCTTTTTCTTTAGCCAATTGAAGTCAGTTTTAGCATTTGGCTAAATTGGCGAGTGTTAGCGCTACCCCAGAAATTACTGTCAGTATTAAAAATGTCACAATGTATTTGGTTCAATGGTAAGGTTCTCATATTGTAATTGTCATGGTGGAAAAGCTTCTCAACATTTCATAGTTAGCCACTCATTTTTTGGTTTATCATTCTTTACAAAGGAATTGAAATCATTGCACTTTTAATACACATATAATTTGTCATGACATGTAGATTTTGCCATACCCCATATGCTTTTTGTCATCACCAAGTATCATCAGCAAAACAGATATGTCAAGCTTCATAAACCTGAGAAGATGCTTACTCATGCTGAATGCTAAATAGCCTAGCTTGTTATATTTTTAGGTTTTAGAACAATATATTCTGTTGTTGTAAGGAATTTGATAAGTTTTGTTGGTTGTATGATCTGCCAACAGCAGGTTGTGTGTTCCTTCATTGAACTGGGAAGAAACAACACTGATTGGTATCAATGTCAACCTTGTTGTAAAGTACACAATTTTTATGTTAACATAAGTCACATACAGCCACCAGGAAATGCAACCATTTCATGCTAGAAAGAGTGATTTATCATCGAGTTGAGTTGATGATTATTCATTTTTTTTTAAACAAGAAAGTGTATATTGAGAATAAAACTATGGACCTTTGTATAGTAGAATGCCTAAAAACAGAATAGAACATACATGATTGTCAAATGGTGTTTGTTTTATCAGCTGGATGAAAGTGGAGGATCAAATTATATTGGCTTGGGTTTGTTTTCCCTCTTCAAAGGTAATAGTGCCCTACCAGTCATTTTAACACAAAGGTGACTGTTACAGCTATTTTTTCATGTGTGTGAGTGGATGAGCTGATAACATAAGAGTTTTCCCCCAATCTGTTTGTTGATTCATAGTTTTCACAGAGAGATTGAAATGTCTTCTCCCCTTAGCTTGAGCCACCCCTTAGCTTGAGGAAAGACCTTGTTATCTTATAAAACTTGTCTTTATATGTGCAACATGTTCTGTGCCCAGGTTTATCTTCCCTACAATCAGCAGGTGGACAGAGACCTAATAGATCCAGCCCCGAGATGGCATCTTAATGACTAAAACTACACAGGTGATAATATGGCCAGCAGTGGGAAATAGCCTGGTCAAATTTTTTTGGGTAAAATCATTTGGAAAGTGACTTATGGTATGTTGCCTGGATAATATTTGTTTGTCCATTTTGAAAAGGAGCATACTGATATGTAACAGGTGCATATGTGGTTGTGTCCTTTTTTTTATCTGTTGAGCAAATAAGAAAATAGCTTGTGTATGTTTGGGGGTGCTATATGTGCTTTATATAACACATTGGAAGTAAGGCATGGAAAAATAAGGATTTGAAATTGAAGGAACATATTTCTTATATAAGTTATGCACTATGTCATAACATCAAGGAAGATTTACTGTTTTTGAAATATCCTCACTATCTCCTCACTCAGCCATTTGGTAAATCAGCCATTTGCATTGCAGAGACTGGAAGGAGAAATGGGGAAATCATCTAATTTTGTATCTAGTTAATTTTTCTCTTTGTCAAAGTTGTTTAACTACAAAAGTCTTCTTACACTTATTCTGTGCCTGTTGACATTTATGTGGCAGATATTTACAGAGTAAATGTTACTGCTGAATGATGAAGCATTTTCTGTGACACATTTCAGGCAATTTTGTGGTCCAATTTTCCACATCTCTTCATGGAAGAAATATGATTCCATTGTTTTGTATTTGTAAAGAATACATGTAGTATTTAAATATAATGTGATATGTTTATAAAAAAATTTGATGGATATAATGTTATTTAAATTTAGTTTGGGTATTTTTTACCATGTTAATTTAATAAACAAAACTGCCGCAAGTTATTTGAAGTTGCTTGTTTAGTTGAAATGAAAATCATTAAAATGGTTTTGTGAGATTGCAAATATGTTTTGATACATTGGGGAAAACAGATATTACTCTAATTATACCAGAACAACCTTATGAATTTTGCTTGCCAGGATATCAATTGCAAAAAGTGAGATGTAAACAAAATGTGTGGTATAAAAGAACTTGACCTTTCCATCAGGGTGGAATCTAGAGTTGTTCTTAAAAAGGGTTCTTGCTGCTCCAAATATGCTTTGATGTTGCAAAAACTTGTATTATGTCAACCACTGCAGATTCTAGACTAGTTTTGATCTTGAATTGTTTAAGCAGCAACTTGTTAATTATTTTCTAGTTTTTAACTGTTTTATTTGCTTTAAAAAAAAAGAAGAAAAAAATGCACATCCCAGCAAAGCCCTGATTTATGCTTATGCATGTATTAAACTGACTAAATTTTCAGTCTTATGAAATGACATGCAGTATATGATTTATTTGGCTGTTGATTCTTGGAAAAAATATCATTCGTTGTAAATAAAAAACAGTAATATAAAGGTCAGAGCTATCACACATTTGCTTTATCATTAACAAAGCTGACCACAAAGGGGAAGGATGAAATAGTTGAGGTAAACAATGTTATGTTAATGATATATAATCATGAAAATCATTATCACCAGTGTAGTTGAATTTGGTAATCGAGTTATAAATTAAAACCATAAAGAGTGGTCAATAAAAATAGAACAAGAAATCGTTGGATATAAACTTATGTTGCAGAAATCGGATATAGGTACCCATAAAAGTGTAATCTTTGACAAGCACTTTAGTTTATGTACATGCAACATCTTGCATTTGATAACCTTGTAATGAAGTTGTTGTTTTTAGTACTTGTGATTCATGCCAGTCCTCATTACACTCAATATCTGTGCACTGAATTTAAACAGGGCTCACTATCAATTAATTATCGCCTTACATAAGTATTGTAAGTGTTGTAATTCAGCTGTAATGTCTCCCATTGCCTACTTGTGCCTGTAATAATGTCAGCTGCACCTGTGGGGTTTCAGAAGTTTGGGCCTCTTGTATCTCTTTATAATGGCCACTGTCCTCCATTTGTTTATCACCTGTAGACCTATATGGGAACTGACTGGGTTATGCAACTCACCACAGATGGTATGCACTGTAATTCCACATAGATGTAAAGCTCAGTCATCATTGTGGAAAAAGGGAGAGAATGACTTGTTATTGCCTGGCCTTGATCCAAGGCTGTTTGTTATTAAACACAAGTCCCTGAATTGGTTGCACAGCCTTATTTGTTGATTGGCTGTGAACACACTGGGACCATATTGTAATAATGTATTGTAATAATGTGGGCTCAGCCCATGTCAAGGCTACCATTCAACCCATTAAAATCAGTATTATGTAGCAAGATCCTGTCTCAGTCATCTTTTTTGTTTTAAGGTAATTGCTGTGTTCAGTTAAATAGTATTTGTTTTTATCTTTGCTACCATATAGCCACCTGTTTCAACCCACGATAAGTTTAAAATGCTCCAGCTATATTTATATCCTCCCCGAAGAGGCTATTTACTGTAAATGTCACCATTATTTATACATGCTGCTTAGATTATGACATTATTTTTCCTGTCCCAATATGGAGTGGCAGGTGGCAACCTGACCAAATTCTATTTCATATCATGGGGACACAACCATTTCATTTACCCAGGTGACTAGCTCACACTGAATGACTAGTATTTTTATTATCTTTTAATGTACATTTATAATCTGAGTGTTTTGGTAATCAACTAGAGCTATTGAAATCAATATGGAATGTTATGCTTTTAAGCCATTTATTTAAAGAGGCACATATTGCTGTTTGAATAAATTTGTTAAGGTTTTTGTTGCAGGAATTGCCATTTTTTGTATGTAATTCTATTAATGGTGTTTATTTTTTTCTTTTTATGTTCTCATTAAAGAGCCATAGGAAGTCAACTGCTGTTGAGTATTGAAGTCTCTATACTGTGCTCAGATCATTAAGAAAAGGTAAAAAGTTTCCCTTTTTTAATTGCTGTACAATTTTCCAGAGCAACATTGTGTATTTTGGTGTAATAACTTGAATTTCAAAGCACTAGTCCTTTGGTTTTCTTAAATTATTTTTAGTGAAAAAATTACTCTTAGTCACAAAGCATTGAGTATAAGTTAACATGCGGGTAGAAGTATGATCTGATGAACAGCTGACTTTTCTAAAAAAAAAAAAAAAAAAAAAAAAGCAAGTAATACATTTTGTTATTCACAATTTGTTTCACTCAAGTAACCTAAAACATGAAAGAAATGAAATCACTTCGTTTTTGTTGCTTTTTTTTATTTTTAACAAAACCAGCAGGATGTTTTGAACCTGGTTGTTTATGAGAGAAGAACCTCCCACACACTCCAGTTTCTGTGGGACTGGTGTGGCAAGAGGCTGGGCTTGTTGACATGATTATCGGTGACCTGTTGTAGCTTTTTGTCAGAAGCACTTATAATTCAATTAGACATGTATTTTATAACACAGGTCACAATGCACAGGCCATTTCTCTTTAGTGGAAAACAACCACAGGTTTGAAGTATAGATGTTTGTGTGTGTTTAGAGATAAAAGAAAAGTCTTAAATAGAAGGCTAATGTGTAATATATTGGTGCAGGTGTTTGCTGGATATTGTTTCCTCTCAGTGACAAGAAGGATAAAGAGTTATGGTCTAGGTATACATATGAGTTATGTTTTATGATATCATTCATATCAGATTCGAGAAAAAATATTGACACTCACAACCCAAAAATAGGGAAAAGGGAAATTCTAGCAGTCATCACAATGGCCATATTGTGCCCTTCAGTGATTCAATATCAAAAACTGATACCACCTCACAAAGGTAGTTTAAGTACTTAATTGAGTGAAAGGAAAAACTTCAATATTTTTTTCCTTGCCTATATGAAAATCTAAATTGTCTGGCTAAAGGTTAATCAAATAATATCCTAAGAGGCCCAGCATTAATATATATTGATATACATGTAAGCAAACTACTAGGTCAGGTCAAATAAATAGTGCCATTTAACTATTAATCCATCACATCTTTTATGTCCCAAATCTGTAGGACACTGGCATATGTCACCTCTCATGTCATATACACTATGCTCATACTGCCAGTATTCTGTATTAAATTATAAGATAGCAAGCCTGATGGAATGGATTATGGGCAGTAAATTAATGGTGGACATTTCTGATATGTAGGGACATATAATTAGTCAGATAAGCTGGAATTTGAGTACATAAGGAGTAGCCTAAGAGTATGTTACTAGTGAGCTTCTTAACCTGTGGAACATACAAAAGAGAGATGTAATCCAACACAAATTCAACAGCAGGTGCACTCAGTATAGAATGGCTTGTCAATATGTCAAAATTATGTCAGAAACATAGAGGAGGTGAAGGAAGGGGAAAATATGGTATGGTTTCAATCACAGTTCAAGTACATTTTCAGTTTATTACATTTTTTAGGTATGGTAAATATAAAAATGAATTGACAATACTCTGTGTGTATATAATACAGTCATTGGTATATATTTAACCAGTATTTTTTTTTCAGTTTTTTTATGTTACTGTTGAGCACAAAAAAAAGAAAAGAAAAGAAAAAAACAATATAGAAAGACTTTGTTTCTTTGTAATCTAGTTGGGCTTGTTTTTTTGTAACCCAAATTAAGATGTTTGTTAAATTTATTTTTTTTAACAAATTGCATATATATATATATATATATATATATATATATATATATATATATATATATATATATATATAACAGCTTCTCTTTGGAGTCCAAACTTAATTTAGCATTCCTTTCCTGTTGCATCCTGTATTCTAAGTACAAATAATTGTTCAGGAAACTCATTTTATTTTACTGCAATATTAAAGTAAATTTCCTGCTCCAAACATTTTTACTGAGCCATGCATTCTTTCATGTGATGCTAGTTGCATTTTTCAGCTTGTGAATGGACTCTTCCTGGTTGGCAACAATTGCTTTCTCTCTCATAATAATTTGATAGCTTTTTTATTAATTGAAAGCAAATCAGCTGTTTATTGATTTGTTATTCGGATATACTTCTTAAACATTCTATTCAAAATGAAAATATTTCATCTTCCTCTGTGGAAATCTTATTTGTTGCAGGGAAAGTAAAATATAGCTGAGTAGGAAGGTGAAAATAAAACAAAATAAAGTACTAGGGATGATTTGTGTATAATCATGTTGGTGAGTTAAGTATTACATGATTATTCTAACAGTAATGTTCCCATTTCTGTTGTTATGGGTTATATGGTTGTTTAGCATTTTGATTCAAAAACAGTGACTATATTTCATTTGGAAAATAAAGAAAAAGATAGGGAAAATAAACTGCAATTCTTGGCACTAAATCAAAATTATATTTGTAGATAATAACAAACATTTTTTTAAATATGATACGCTTATTTCAGATGAACTAGATTTCCTATCATGCTGCTGGAATATTGTTTAATGAAACATTTTTAGCAAAAAATTTGAACATGGCATTATTGACCCACAATGGAAGAACGGATTATAGATTGTCTTGATTTTTTAGACCTTCCATTACATTGTAGTTTTAGTAGCCCAAGGTTAGGTTTGCTGATTTATAGCATAGCCCACAGCAGTGATGCAACCTTCTGACTGTAATTGCTTAATACAAATGATTACACTAAATTTCCATATCAGAAATAATTATGCATAATTGCGCTGAATCACAAAAACCATCTGTTGTTCAAGGCAAATTTATACCATTCAGATATTGAGACAAGTGTTCAGCTAGGTTTCAATAGTGGCTGTACTGCCTTTCTTAACCTAGAGTGCATCTAAGCAGTGAGCCATGTGGCATAATGTATCCTCTATGTATACACATGGTCCCATGTGAGAACCTCTATAACTGGAGCTGGCTTCTGTTCAGGGCATGCAGTGTACTGCCGCCTTCTGTAGGTGAACACATGCTCCATTCAGATAAAGTGACTTGTCGGATTTTCAGTGTGGGGCCACAGTTCTGGGTTTAGATTGTATCATGCATATATCTCAGGTAGTATACTTTTTTTTTTCTCTTTCTCTCTTTCTCTCCCTCTCTCTTTTTCTTCATGAAAGTGTTTTTACACAGCTGCGGTTTGTTAAGTAGCTACAGGAACTTCAAAAGGAAAATATGGTAGCTTTGATAGTTCAGACAGTGAAATTATGTATGGTATGTTTCTGCATTGTTTGGACACATGCGAGTTCTTGGGAAAGGATGGCCAAAAATGGATCTTGGCATTCTTGTAGTTAAATAAAAATTTTAGTCTGTGTTTTTTTCATTATGAATGTTTTGTGCTTTGAATTTGCCAGTAATACATTATAATCATATATTTGTATTGATTGCTATCTCTGTTAATAATGGTACAATTTTCATAAGTGATCTCGCAGGAAAATGATTGATATAGATACTAAGCATATTGTCTTTGGATGAAGTAGACTCTTGTCAAACATCCTTCAGGTATTAGATGAAAGTCAAGACAGATTTTTTCTATGTGGTTGTAGGCATTAAAGGCTATGTGATGGGAGTTATGTCCAATTACAGATGGCCTATATTATACTTGTAATGCTTCTAAGTTTAGGGTTGAATTAGTTTCCTGAAATTATATTTTTAGTATTTTGTCTACAGGGGTTTCATATTGTTCTTTTTTAAGTATGTCACAAAGAGCTACTTATATTTTAATGGTTCCTTTTAGATAAAGAAGTGTGTAAGTTGTTGTTTCATGGTATATTTTTGGTAGATAATGAAGCTTGTTTGATTAATTTTTATTTTATTATTATTTTTTTTTTGTCCCATACCTGTCTGGGATAGCTTACATGAAGTTATATGATGCATTGTAATTTTCTTCTTCAGTGTGATGTGAACCTTGTTGACAAGACCATACCCCCAATACCCACTGCAAGAATGAGTTCCCCAGACAAGCCTGGAGAGCACGTGAAGAAACGACGTACCCGCTGTGGACAGTGTGGACCTTGTCAAATCAAGAATGACTGTGGACAGTGCAAACACTGCCTAAACAAAGCAGTTCTAAAACAATCCTGCATTTACAGAAAGTGCTTGTACCTGCGCTGTAAACCAAGTCCTGGCTCAGACTTTTTACGTGCTAAATCAGGTAGCAATGCCAGGGAACAATCAGAATATGGCCAGCATGAGTACATGTCTCCTCAGTCCAGTTCAGAATATTTAGCTAGACAGTCCAGCTCTGATGACTCTCAGAATATAGAGAGTCCAGGGACTCCACGTCAGGTGGACTATCCTGTGCCCCCCTCGCCTATCTACAGAGTGGAACCCCCTTCACTTCCACAGCAGCAACAGCAGCAGCAGCAGCAGCATATGCAGCAACCACAGTCACCAGCTTATCCACAGACTCCTAACTCTACGGCCACTTCGCCAACATGGAGTGGTCAGTATAATAACAATAACAATGCATACCTTGCTGGGGGGATGCCAGACTTTTCTAGGGTGGCCTATGATCCGAATTTCATACGGCATAGCCCGGGATATGCTGTGCCAAGTTTTGTGTGGGATTGGCAGGTGGAAAATTTCAGGGCAAATTTTAATTTAGGCAATCAAGCCCCACATAATACAAGAGACAAAGTGCGGAACTTTCTGTTTAATAAACCTCCAGGTGTAAATCCACAAGACTTTAACACTGGCACGGCGGCATTTCAAGTTCCTAGGGTAAGAGACCCCTTAATTGGGGGCAATCTGGCCCCAGAGCCTTTCCCAGCACAGGGGTTTGTGTTTAATCGTGCTAATGGACTCCACACCCCTAACTCAGGGTACGTTACAGCAGAGAGGGGGGGACCAATGGAGCAGCCCCATGTGACCCAAGAGGAATGTTTAATCTCTGTGGATGATACACCAATACAGGCTTTTGTACAGTCTGATGGGTTTAACACCATTGAAATTACCACTTTGACTGAGCCAGATATGCTGGGCTTTGGATCTGCACCAGATTTCCACCCTGATGCCAAAGGGGAGGTTCTGGAAAATGGCTACGGCTGCTACCACCAGGTACAAAATAAAATCTCCAGTAATATCATCCTACGGCAGGATCTGGGTGAGGAGGGGGAAATACAGATCAACCTACCACCCACAGGTATTACCATTCAAGACATCACATTAGATGATGAGTTGTCCAAGTTTGCAGCAAACACTGCTGACATATTCAAGGTCAGTGATACTCTGTACAGCCAGATATCATAAACCACACAGAAACATCCAGTGTAACCAATATATCTTGGCTGCTGCAACGACTTTGGACACACAAAATATATAATGTTGGTTACAAAGATGTATAAGAATCCGTTAAATAATTATATCTATATTTTTGTATGCCTCATCCGTGGTAAAGATAATTGATGTTAAGCATATCTTTAAATATTTCTATGTAGTTTTCTTATAATAATATTAACCATATATGTTCTCTTTATAAAGCATAATCAAATTTAGTTCCTGGCATGTGGTAAATCTTATGTGTCTAGTCTTCATCTGCATACAGCTAATGTGTTCAAGTGCTGTGTATTTGTGCAAGCTTCTATGGCCACAGTACTTATATCACGTTGGAAAATACATCTAGATTGCTGGGAAACAAGTGTAAGTGATGGGTAAATGGCATGTGTGTTAATAGTCGGACATGTTAAATATGTAGCTTGTGGAGAGTGCTGCCTTAAAAATGAATAATATTTCAATGTTCGGAGACCCCCAGGGAGTAGCGGGTAACATTTTCTCTAGTGTGCCCTGAGGGAAAAAATAAAAGGTTTTAGAAGTCCCCTTTTTTTATTCCTCACAGGCAGCTAGTTTTCAAGAGCATCTGGTTGGAGGTTATATATTATTGCAACCACCAGATGTACACTTTGGTATTTTTCTTCTTGCCAGGGATCAAAGCACTGTAAGGTCCAGCTGTTTTCCCCCACCTTTATTTTTAAAACTTGAGCACACATTTATGCTGCATATCTGGGAATGGGCCATCCATATGCCATCTCTTCTGGGTATGGCTTTGAGAAAAACATTAAAAAACTACAGGAATCTGCCACTTTCTACAACTGACACATAGAAAAAAAACAAAGTAGCCTCAGAACTTGAGAGGTTTACTGTATTTTGGCAAATGTGAAACAGCTCTGGGTAGCAAGCCAAATTGTGTTTTTCTTTCCACTTCCCTGATTAAATTATACTGAGAATGCAGCAATCTGCAGGTTCTCAACAGTCAGGATATTTTTTTGTCAAAAATGTGCCAATGAAATTTTAGAAATGCAGATTAAAAAAAAAAAGAGAAAACAAATGTAACAGAAGAATTCTACAGGTTTATGTCTCACATTTGCTTACTTTTTTAAAAAAAATTTGGGGGGAAACTATAGGTGTTATTGTGAACCTGATTTCCCAGCCTAGTTAAGTGCAATGTAGATTGTATACACAGCTGTAGCAGATGAAAGAGACTGGTCAGCCATGTTTTCATCCCTGTGTAGTTCTATGTCAGCTTATGCTGTGAGCCAAATATTCAATTATGATCCAATTTAAAGCAAGTAGATGTATCCAATTCATACAATAGATCTTGTTTATTGAATTCTCATCAGCTCTTTGCATTTCATTCCCTCTCATCAGTGCCATAGGCTAATGATTAAAAAGTAGTCTTTCTCTAGCATATTTCCCGAACCCATAAATCTGTCTTGTTTTTTTATGAAGGATGTTTCAGAAAATGACACATCTCTCCTTGTTATTTCTGTGATGATGGAAACCCACACCTTCATATTAAATTGACATATTCTTGGAAATAGCCTTTTCAGTGGTTTCCTGGTATAGGAGATGATTGTATACTGGTTATTGAACTAAAATAGCCTAGGCTTTAATGTATACCTGTATTCTTTGAAAAAGTACCTTGTGCAAAGACTCCAAATGTTGCAATTAAGCATTTTTGCCGTAGTGCTTTTGGGTTGATTTGAGTTGTGAAGTGGTCTTGAAGCTGTAGCTTTGAGAAAAAGTAGCTGTATGTTTGTGCCACATGACAGCTTGTGTGCAGGTGAATGGCAGGACAAAAGCTGTATTGAGAAGAGCCTCATAGCTTGACCCAGACTGCCACAGCAGGTGCTACTTTTATGCCGAATCTTATACAGGTTAAGGGGCCAATTTGGAAAAAAATTCTGATGGCAGAGAGGATAGCAAACCAGGTTTTCTGTCTGCTCCAAACTTCAGTCCTCCTCTTATAAAAGTAACTTGATGACATGAGTCACCTTTTATATTATAACCATAAGCTGACCAATCTGGCATGTCTGGAGAATGCTAATAGAGAACTGTTTTTTCCTTTATCAGATTTTAACATATAGAAAAGTGCTATGTTTTTTCCTGACTGCCAAACAGTATAGTTCAAGAAACCTTTTTATAGAAAAAATAATGACTTATTTTCTGTTTTGTTTGTCAGTGGAATCCCTGTTCCTCTGTCATTTAATGGGCGTGGGATCTGTGTTTTGAAACAGTTATTTTTGTCTCTTGCATATCAGTTGCCATCTCATGTACTCACAGTGACAGGTTGTTATTATTATGAGAAATAAAGGATAATTCTCTTTGTGATTTGGAAGTAGAAAAAAAAAGGCCTTCATTTGCCTAGTTACTGTGACTGATCAAAATGGCCCTGGCATTGAATGATACATGTATAGTCAGTTTTTTGACAAGTTCAGCCTTGGTAATTACTTAGTTTGCCATGTACCACCTTGTCACTCATTATTCATATTCAATAAAGGAAAATGGACAAACAGCAAGAGTGGGCCCATAAAAAACAGCACACTGACACTGATTTGACAGGCGAGAGAGATCAGGTAAAATCAGACCAACAAATTAATAACTTGGGCTGCATTTAGACCAGGACTGTTTAGATGGGGTTTGGGGATCAAGTGAATCATAGCAGCACCAAACCAAAGTTCCTATTGCATCCTAAGCAAATGCATTATTATTATTATTATTATTATTATTATTATTATTATTATTATTATTTCATTCAAGTAAGGCTGATTATTAGTCTAAAATAGTCCTGGTCTGAATGCAGCTAAGCAGATGTGACTTGACCATGACATTGATATGTGCAGGTGGTTGATTTGTCAGTTGGGGTTCTGACTGCTTATGAATTACCTGTCATAAAGATATTGATACAATCCCTTTGATTTGTCCCAGCGAAAATCAGAAAACTATAATCCCTTCTTAGTTCTTAGACTAATCACGAGGAAGGTTAACAAAGCATGCTGCAAGGGATTAGATTGTGTTTAGTCTCTGACACTGGAGAATAACTAAATGCAACTATTGAAACCTAATCCCTTTTATAGAGCAATCAAAAGCAAGGAGCCTTGGTATGGCGGACTACATTGGTCTGTGAATTACACTGATTATCTCGTCCTGTTTCAAGTTATTGATTTGGTACATGCATATTAAGAGTTGATCTTGGCACTGGTGCAGAGGCAAGGGTTTACGTCTTTACATTTACTGGATGGTTCACTGGATTGTGGCTATTTCTCAATCATCCTGATCTCATGCCCTGATTAGACAGGATATATAATGGTATTTGATTGAACTAGTAGGAAGGATAGAGTTTGCCTGAGTGGAGTTTCTATCCATCCTGTGCAAACACACGACTTTGTGTTGGGTCGTCTTATGTTTGCATTATATGCAGGAAAGAGAAAAATTGAAAATTGATTTTTGTGTTTCTCTAGTCAACAAGTGGTTGATGAATTGTGAGATTGGCTAAGACAGATGGATGGTTTGGATTGTGTGGGTTTTGTTCTGAAAATAGAGCTGTAATAGACTGCGGTTTATTCACTAAGAAAATAGCCCCCACCTTCTTTTCTCATCCTCTGATATGTTTGACAAATTGATCTCAGAAAATGTATCTTTTAATTTTGTTCCAATTATATCCTGCAAACAGTGCAATTAATCATGAGACTGGAGAAAGTATTACATACCTGTTCTAGGAGGAAGACCTGTATGTGACACTGATTGTCTTTTCCCAGAAATTCTAATTATTTTATGATGGGCAATCCTTTGGGACCAAGCTGTGATAAAAGAGAGCTGGCTTTGAAGTTGATTATTCTCATGTTCATGCTTCTCCAACAACACTTGTCTTTTTTCTACTCACTCCACATTATCCAGAATTGGGACAGGGCATCATTTACTTGGTTCTAGTTTTAAGACTTCATAGGTCGAGTTGATTTAATTCTTTAGAGATATATCCTGCTTGACACATTTTATTTTCCGCTTAATGTTTAAGTCAGCTTTTCAACTATCCTCTTCCTGGAACATGTAATAGACATCTGTTTCTAATAAGTCAGTGTTTTAAAGAAAGTGTTGGAATTTGTAGAAGTATTGTTGAAACCCTTTTTACTTTCCCACCAAAATATCCTACATTGGATGCGACATGCCCATCTGTCATCAGTAACAAGAGGACAATGATAAGAGATAATAAGCTTGCTGTCAGCATGAGAACTCAAACACACTTGAATTTCATTAACATGGGAAGATTGCTATATCTTTATTAAGTAGGCCATTAGTAAGTGCAGGGCACCCTAATGAACAATTCAAATGAATCACCCATAGCACCCATTTATTAGAGAAAAAAAGGCAGAGATCTTTATTTCTTTATTGTTGATGTTATTATTATTATTGTAGATTTTTCTCCTTTCAGACTTGGTGCTCTGTTTTTGATCTTTATTCCAAAGAAGCTGCATGATCCTAACTGTTATTGTATGAATGGTATGATTGATGTTTGAATTCTGTAAATGTGCATACACATCATTGTTTAAGGCTATGAAATAAAGACATTACAAGACTGTTTTTAATAACATGGATTGCAGACCTGAAGCTACAGGGCAAAGGGGAAGTAACATAAAAAGATCAAAAGACTTATTGAATTATGTGGATTGTTCATGTTTGGGATATTTCTGTTTATATTACAAAAGCCTCTTTTTTTTCAGTCAAAAGGCTGTTTTTAAAATGATCTGAAAAGTCTTGGATACTACACCTGGTATTAAATTAGCATGTAGTGAAGACGTTTGTAAAATTTTCTTTGACACTTAGCAATCTGCCATCCAAGTTATGAAAAAAAAAAAGGAAAGTGGGTTGATGTAGGGTATTTAAGTTGTGATGAAATGTCAAACCTTGCTTCAGATAGGCCCTGTCTCTTAACCAGGTATTGTTATGAATATTTACTGTTTATACTAGTTGGTCAATTGAAGGTCTGTCATTCTTTGATGACCTAGTTTTCTGTTTGCTGTATTATATGACAATAACAGACACATGTGGGAAGGTAACTCTGTTGTACTTGTTTTATCACTATTTAAAAGATGCATGTTTAATATTAGTGCACAGGCACACAATCTGATGTAATCTTTATGGGCCACAATCATGAAACTGCACTTACTGTATGAATTATATTTGGTTGTGGCAAGTCTGTCTGCCGTTTGGTGTGTATACCGTCCTTGTTTTCAGTTATGAAATATTTTTAACTTCTTTGTAAAAAAATTAACAAAACTTTGACATCTCTCTCTTTTTTTTTAACACTTTCTTAGAAAAAGAAAGAATTATATGGGGGAAAAGTAAGTTATATTTCTAAATAACATCAGCTCACTAATTTGCATGTTAGTAAGCACAAGATTAAGTTAGGCTGATGAAGACTGTCAGGTGAAAAAAAAAGAGAAAAAATGGCAGTCTAATTTTGTCTGTGGCCTCTTCGAATATAATAATGGACATGTTGGAGACTATTGTAATAGTTAGTATTCCTATTGAGATTTATTGTGATGTATAGTAATTGCCAGAAGCTGCATTTTGTAGAATTTATTCCGACTTGAGTGCCTGTAAAAATCCAATGACTTTCACATCATGGCATAAAGTGCTTAATCTAGTCAATCTACCTAGATCACATTTGTAATGTTCTTCAGGAAAAATGTAATGTTTATACACTTATACACACACATCATTGGTATGTCATGTACAGATGTTTTAAAAGTTGTGGGTAATGTTTGTATCCTTAACAAAATGTGAAAAGATCATGGATATATAATTTCATGTATGTTTAAAGCTAGTGCATATTTGTACATTTAAAGTCACTGTACATATATTAAGATAGAAAGAATAGGGATTAATATTTTTTACCATTCTAGAGTTATGAAAAAAAGGCATGGTAAATTGTACATTATAACATATTTGTTGCAGATATTACATTTAAGTTAATGTTACTATATCACAGAAAGAGTTACTGAATTTCTACTAGTAAAACTGTTCAATCTGCCAAAATATTCTGTGTCACTGTGCATTGATATTGTTAAAATTTATTCTAAATATTGTATAGTTCTGTAATGTACATATGCCAAGAATTTATTAAATCTTGTAATATTAATCTTGAATTCACTGTTTGTATATTTCATATTCATGGAGAAATATAGAACACAACTTTTTACTCCTTCAGCAATAAATATAATGTATATCAAGTCATATGTGTCTATATTAATAGTGGGGTGATAACAGTCTGAAGTGTAGAAATGAATTGGATTTGTGTCAGAGAGATGTAAGATATGCAAATATCTCTTGAATTAGTTGCACAGCAGAGCCGTTTGTATTGTCAACCTGTGCCAGAATTAAAACTTTTTTCTTTCTTTTTCTTCTTTTTTTTCACAATTAAAAACTGAATTTTCCCTTTTTTTTTTTTTCACCTGTATGGCAATTTAACGTTATCATTTTCTGCACATTTATATTGTGCTTAATTTTATCCTGGTTAATGTTTTTACTTGATTTGATTTGCCAAGTGTATAATTAGAAAAAAAGATGAGTGTGCCAATCTTTTTGAAACTATTTTTGTCCACACATCCAAATCAAATAACATGAAAGAAAAGGACGGAATAATTCCCCACAAATACATCATTGATAACTTCTCAAGCACAAAGATGTCTTCAAAACCACTTCATCTGTCTTCAGAAGGCCTATTCTTCTCCAACATTGACAGATTCAGCCATTGCAATATTATCATTAATGACAAATCCATGTTGCATTAAAATCCTATTCTGAAAGAAATCGATAAAAACCCTTGATCTGACATTTGTTGTCAGTTCCGTACAGTTTCCTAATGGTGACTTGACATTTTCCATTCTGTGCCAGCCTCTCTGTTCTATTGTAATAAAGATCGTCCTGCTGGGAATTTAGGTGATTCACGTTTTGATGCATATAGAATCTATTCCATTTCGTTTTGATTACATAAGTTTAACAATAGATCCCTGGCATATGTTTTTTTCCTAAATATAGATTTGACTTTCAATAATTTTTCTATAAAATTGATCTAAATAATTTAAAGATTTTAAAAGGTGTCATAGTGGAATATTAACATTTATTAAATCTTATCTACAATCAACTTTGTTGATGAAGTAATTGCAATAATTAGAGAAAGCTTTTCACCGATTCTTAAGAAACTCTTAGAGAAAAGTCATGATTTAAAGAAATGACAAGATTTGATAAATGACCTTCATAAAAATTTACTCTGCCACCTATTGGAAGAAACTGGAGTTAAAGACAATCGTGAATTGTGTTATTGAGCAAACGTTTATTAGATATTTCCGACTGGCTTTGAAAGATATTTATAACATGGCTGTTTCTCTCAAAAGAAGCTGATACAAATAAGTAAAATTATTTCAAGACTTTGACGAGACAATCTTTATTTTCTGTTACATGAGGTAAACACGACTTGGATATTTAAATCCAAAAAGAGCATGGAACTCAAATTAGCGTAATAAATATTTTAATGTAGAATTTTAAAATTGGCAGTATAATATGCCCATGGTTCAGGCACATAAAAAAATCCTGGATATTTCTGTCTCATCACTCTGTCTGACCATAACCAGCCTATCCACAATGCGACAAGTAACAAAGTGACAGTGAATGTGTACATCAAAAACCTCCCGTTGACGTCAAGAAAGCATTCTCCCCTCGCTTTTTCGTACAGGATGAGTGCAATGCTTAACCCGTAGTAAATCAAGAATAATGGAAATATCTGCCCTTCTGTGACAAGGTACCTAGAAACATAAAATAAAAATAATAATCGCAAAATGCTTTTCAAAACGTATAAAAATGCAAAAAAAATGAAAGAAATTAATTTTTGACAAATCCCGTTAACTGGTGTTTGTGTTTTAATAATGTAAAGAACCATACCATTAGAGGTCAGTAAAAAAATACGGCTCCTAGTAAATAACTGACCGATTAGGATTGCACAAAAAATAACACGGAGTTCAGTGTAAAATGAAAGGGGGCAGTAGTTGCTTGACAAAATACCTTAGTTATTTGGAGTTAAAAGATGAACGCAGCTGTCTAACACGTATCTAGTATCCAGTATGCTAATGCAGGTCTGGGAGATGTGTAATTGCAAGCTTTAAATGACGACTATTTTTCAGTCAAGTCTAAGAGTCATTGACTCACCAATAGTACAGCGCACTGGGTAACACGAGCAGACATGCAGTAATGTTCATCCCAGTGTTCCTCGCCTCACATTTCATGGTCTTTTTGGCAAAGCAGCCAATGAAGTAAAGGTAGAGGGCGACGAAAAACGGCACATACCTACAACGACAAATATTTCAGAATTCTCAAACAATTATTGGATATTAAATCATCTGCAATTTATGCTTTACCAACACGTATCTTAGCACGAAAATATAATACGTTAACACTCCTTTTTACGCTTTTCAACATGTATTATGTTAGCGCATATACATGTAGTTGCAAGTCAAAAAGAGTAAATAGGAGTGCTAACTCATAAATGTTCATGCTTCGCCCATGCTATCTTTTGCAGGCCATGTAGATCAACAAATCAGAAAAAAATAATTGTTTTGCATCTTATTACAATTACAGAACACATCTTACCACATCCAGTGCCCAATTTCTTCATCATACATATAAAGCAGTTCGAATGAGTCGATCTGAAAGATGTAACTTTAGAAATAAAATAGACATATAACTGGACATGAAGAAAAATAGTGCGCCCATTTTCTCAAAGTTAAAGTGCACCGATGTAATTTGTTACTAAACATATTAAATGGTTAGAGTGAAAATGTGTAGGTATGTTGTTATCGATGTTTGGAAAATAACTAATAACACCAATAACAAAAATATAAGAATAAGATTTGGCATCATCGTAACTTCTAAGACATAAAGTAATACCAGTGACTTTGGCTCCAGTTTCTGCATAATAGGATTATCCCTGACCGACAAGTGGAGTTGGTAGCCACTGTGAATAAGCCTGTGGTTAATGGAATCTCCAACTAAGTGGATACTAGCTCCCATAACGAACACTATGACAGTAAGGTAACTGAAGCTTGTCGGGATTTTACGGTGACTTCGTTCTAAAAGCTGAAAACAGTTTAATAATTTCATCGTCTGCGTTATATACTTTAAGTTACACAATAATGGACGTAACTCTGAATTTTAACTGTTTGTTTAAAAAAAACATTTTTTTACTTTGAAAAACACTTTTTAACATCGGTTCTGGAGTAAGGACATGACTAAAAATTATTCCTTCAAAATTATAAGGTAAGTAAGTATTCTTTTTCAAAGTTATCATGAAACCGTTAAAGAGAGCACAAGTCAAAGTTTCACCTCCTATAAATATGTCATATCACAGCTAACATAGTGCTACACACTTCTTAATGAAATAGCCTAACAGTGGGAACAAGATCTGAAATGTGTTAGTTGATCCAACTCCTGTCTTACGGATAACAATTATGTGCGTGTATTGTCAGTGTGTATTGTGATAGTTTATCTCGTTTATTTTATGAGGTATCCTTTTTGCCAAAAAAATAATATTAAAAATGAATACTCAATTTCGAGGAAATATACTTCTGGAATCGCAATCAGCGCCTCAATCAAACACCGAGATAAAAAAGATATTTCCCCGGTATATTAACAATCAATCATGTATTTCATCATTTGTAAATTACGTGTGATGAGACAGATATTTTCGCACTTTGATGAAAAAGTGGAATTAGTGCATTTTTTTATAATGAAGGCTTACGCAATAACCGTTACTTTATATCTAAAATTGCGCTAATAGTATAAACCTTCCACAATTGCTGAACTTATGAACCACAAGAACATGTATACATCTAAAAGGGGTTGCGATTTCAAAATGCTCTTGAAAATAAATTTTTATATTACCTTTAATAGACAATATGGCGTAATCACGTTGTACGCCATGTGAAAGATGTCTCCAATGCTTGGCTGATTCAGCGGAGACAATTCTAACGGCACCCACGTCTGTAAAATGGATGAAATTCCTCTTAGCAACTGAAGCTTTGAATAATTACCATACATCCATTCAGTGGCATTTAAGTTAACAAGCGAGATAAATACTGCTCAAACTATACTTCGGTGTCACTAAGCTCAAACAAGTGTTTATTGACGCTATGTTTATTTCAGTAAATGGTGCCCCCCCCCAAAAAAAAAAAAAAAAGCCCATAAAAATTTAATAAATTCTACTTTGCTAGACTTTAACTTCAATATGTGCATGATCATTCTCAAAAGTTTCAGTTTTCTTGATCGCTTCCGAGGCATTGATGCAGACTCGCAAAAAATTTTTAATTTCTCAAACACATTCCTCCTTCGGAATTTCGCTGGTTTTTGCTGTGATTGCTCCTCACAGTTCACCCATCATTTGAGGATTGTTCTGGTACAAATTGTCTCAACGTCACACTTTCTGCTGAACAGCCACTTCTGACACCATTTTGAAAAATCGTACTATATTCGATAGCCATATTTAAAGTGAAAATAATATAAAAAGAATTATATTTCCATGTGCGCATTCTCTAATACAAAAGCGCAGAAGAAATTTATTTGTTATGTGCTTCAAGCGCCAACTTCAAATATGGCTATCGCCGATAGTAGGAATTTTCAAAATGGTGTCAGGCGCTGATATCTACAGATAACAACTATGCGAACTTGGTCACACTAATAGGTGAACACAGTTTCAGCTGATCAAATGTAAGAGTACCCGGTACGCTTTTTGATGATGATCAGTTCATCATAGGGAGCAAAACTAATCTGTCGGTTGTCCTGCCCATCACTATTGTATATTAAGGCTAGTCGCGGGTTGTTAAATAGACATCACGCGGTTAGGAAATGAAATCACACGGGATGCTGAGAAAGAACTCACTAGGTTAGGTCGACCCAACATGAATAGAAACGCACCCACAGCCACGCTATGCTTATCGATGTGAGTTCAGGTTGCCGCAATTATACAGTAGGCCTACTATCTGCATTACAACGTAACTAAAGGGAATTTAAAGGTCAAGATATATCAATCACTTTACGTTGATAAACCCCTTGAACATGAAATAATAGGTATGGGTTTTTACCATCGCAATGGGCCTTCCAAAATCCAAGATCCAATTCTCTATCATAAGGATTAACCAGATGTCAGTGTGAAAGCCATTTTTGCCACTGTGAACCTTGACAGTCTTCTCATGTGACAGCGTATTTTCGTTTTTGACAAAACTGTAATAAGCGTTAAGTCATAAATTAATATTCTAAGTATGCAGGCAAAACTTTCAAGTTTGAAATCAAAATCACACCATTTACACAACTCGTCTGATAATGCCCTCAGGTTCAGGTTTAACACTTGTGACTGACCATTAATATAAAATGTGACAGAAAAGCTCACCATCTGCTTGTTGAATTGGATAAGATATAGCACCCATGTAGGGATGCATTCGTATAGTGTAAGGTGAAACATTAAAAAGATATACTGTTACCAACACATGAAATAAAACATTTGAATATCATTAAGGAATGGTATACCTGACACGATTGCCTAACCCTTGTTTCCTTGATCTAACTGAAGCCATGACTAAATGTGCACCCCTGTGCTTACGTTTGCAATAAGATAGGCCCTATGCATAACACTTTAGAGATATGCGATAAGCATTTGAAGGTGATTTTCCTACTGTACAAATTACCTTATTATATAACAGCGACGCAAAAAGCAACGAACAGATGAACTTACTAGCTAAATTTCGCTTGAAACAGTGGCATATAACCAGTTAAACCCCTTTTTATCATTCTCTCCCATTTCGAAAGCAATGAATTCATGGGCGCGAACTTGGAGACTTCAGGGAAAATACGTTCTTTTTCGTGCAGGACGTTTCAATAAAGACAGGTCACGAGTTGTAGCAATGGCTTTTCACTGGTTGCATTAGCTTACTACTACTCGATTATTATAATTAGAATACCTTTATAAAACTTGAGCTCTTCCTTTTTGTTCTAATTCATCTATTCATAAGCCAGCCGTAGCAAAACGTGCTAGAGCCCAGTAAATTTTATTGTAAAAATAAAACTGAAGTTAAGCATACACTTATGCAAATCAAAAATTAATGGTCAACATACACTGTAAACGTTTGCTATACGGTGACTCTTGGGTGAATGAACAAGAACTTCTAACGTTCTCTTATATAAGAAGACCTCATTTGAATGGTCCCATTTGAATAAATGAATAGTACTGTACATGTGGGCCTACCTTACACTCCTGAAATTATCATTGGCCTACACCTGTAAAAACTATTCGTCTACCAGCCTAGTCACAATATTTTAATCAACCGTGAACCTTATGCAAATAAATTTCCTCTCACTTGACCCAAGCCAGTACACTGTATAGTAGTCTCGAGGGTGTTTTCTGTACTTTATTAAAAAGTGTCTGGTAAAATTGAACGATTAAAGTTAATAAAAACATTTCAAAACCAATTTTTTCAACAATTTTTTTAGATTTAGTCTTTTCATTCACTTGTTTATGTTGTTTATAATTTTAGTAAAAGTGTGGTTACTGGGCAATTAGCAGGACTACTGGCCACGGGACATAATGTTTTAAATTCCCGCAGAGGGGATTCCGAGTCTCGTGTTGAATTCATTGTGCCTCGTTCCCAAGCGACGTGCGCTTGCGCAGAATGCCAATCAAATTTCACTGACTGATGACAGAGATGTAGGAATTATAGTTTAAATCAAGCAACCAGATTTGGTGTAATATGGACACTGGGGGGACTTTACGTGAACGGGTATATGCTGCAGCCAGAGATGGCATGGCAATCTCTATGTTCGCTATCCTGTGCAGCAAAAACATGGATGAGATAAAGGATGCACTAGAACATGTTACGGAGGAAGATGGACAGCGGGTGACTCCCCTTATTATTGCAGCTAAAAATGGACATGATAAAGTGATCAAGACGATTCTTAGCCATTTCCAGGTTGATCTAGAACAAGCAGGTATGATGCTCTTCACGTATCAGCAATTGAGAAAAACAAGACAATTACAGTTCTATGAATAAGCATGTTATGTGGGATCGTACGCTTTAAATAGGAATAGAAATATAGGAACTCACCTGCTGTTAGGAGACATTGACTTATAAACTTGGTATACATATAGAAATAATTTGCTGTTGTTAAGCTCCCCTGAAATGACTAGATCTATGTGTATTTCAAAATGTTCCACATAGCATTTGGAAATATCTGTATATGAATGATGAATTATACCGCTTTCTGATATTTGACACACCAATTACCAGCAAAATAATTAGTCTATAACAATAAATAAATTAATTTTGTAGGTATTAAACTAATTCCTGCCAGATTTTAACATTAATAAGGAGACAGTGCCCATTATGTAAAGAAAACAGACCCACTACATATATTAAATCTTGTGCCTGCTTCATTCAAACTATAAAAAATTTTGTGCCTTTTTTTAGGTACAGTGAAATTTGATGGCTATGTAATAGAAAGTGCCACAGCCTTATGGTGTGCCGCAGGTGCTGGGAAATTTGATGTTGTTCAAACCCTGATAGAGGCAGGCACTGATGTCAACCACCCCACTCTCACCAATTCTACACCACTGAGAGCTGCCTGTTTTGATGGGAGGCTGGACATAGTCAAATACCTGGTGGAACACCAAGCCAACATTCATGTGGCCAATAAGTACAACAATACCTGTCTCATGATTGCCTCTTATAAAGGTCACAAAGATGTGGTCACTTATCTCCTAGAGCAAAAAGCAGATCCTGATTGCAGAGCCCACTGTGGGGCCACAGCGCTTCACTTTGCTGCAGAAATGGGGCATCTAGAGATAGTAAAAGAGTTATTGCGATTTAAAGCAGTTCAGGTAAAAAATGACCACGGAATGACCCCCTTGATGGTGTCTGCTGAAAGCTGCCAAAATGCTGTAGTTGAGTTTCTTGTCAGTCATGAAGACTGTTCCAAGCTAGAACGTATTGAGGCATTAGAACTCCTTGGAGCTTCTTATGCTAATGATAAAGACAGTTATGATCTGAGGAAAGCCTACAGTTACATGTGGCATGCTATGACGGAAAGACATAGTGATCCTGAAAACATTATCTTTAAATTTGTCATGCCACCTATCGAAGCCTATGAAAACCACAAAGAATGTCAAACCATGAAGCAGTTACAAGAAATTCAGTATGATCACAATGAGCTTCATATGGAGGCATTGGTTCTTAGGGAGAGAATCTTGGGCTCAGATAATCCAGACATCCCACACCCAGTGATATTTAGGGGTGCAGTATTTGCAGATTCCGCGCGGTTTGACAGGTGCATTGCACTCTGGATGCATGCTATGAGACTACGCAAGAAAAACAATAGAACAATTAGCAAAGACTTGTTACGATTTGCCCAAGTATTTTCGCAAATGATTCATGTGGGAGTGAATCTCGATTTTCCTAGTGTTCAAGTCGTGTTAGAATATGCTATCTCAGAACTGAAGCACAACTATGACATGTTCAATACAGCAACAGAAGATGAGAAAGCTGCTGTTCGTGACTTGATTGATTGCAATATCCACACAACACTGTATCTGCTGGTCATTGTCACTAAAGTCAGTCTTACTAAAGAGCAAGATTTTCAACTGTGCAGCCTGGTGTACTCTTTCAACCAACTTGATGTCTCCTTAAAGAATGGATACAGGCCATTACACATGGTTGCAGATCATGGCACACTAGTTGATGACTTTCACGTTAACGATGTGGTGAAGTTTCCCAATGCAGGCCTACTTCGCCTTTTACTCAAATGTGGCAGCCAGGTGGATGCAGTTGACAACCAAGGCAACACAGCACTTCATGTCATTGTGAGGTATAATCGTCCCATTAGTCATTTCATTACATTGCACAGTATTATTACCTCATTACTGGAGTATGGAGCGCACATTGACAGAGTGAATGGAAGAGGTTTAACTGCTGAGGACTACTCTACCACTGGGGTTGCTGAGATTATACTGAAGACACAGAGGTCTCTTAGTTTGAAGTGTCTTGCCGCGAAAGCAATCAAAGAAAAGAAAATTCCATACAAAGGAAATGTGCCTGCAACTCTTTTAGACTTTATAGATATGCATTAATTTTAAGTATATTATGGAACTGCCAGATTGTGACACCTCTTTGGCTATTGAGACAAATTTTAAAATGCATTGTTTTTTTAAGAGAAATTTTAGAAGCATGCTTGTTGTACATTCAAGTTAACTCTGCTTATGTGCCCTGCTGATTTATGTTATGGAATTCATCGGAAAATAAATTTTTATAAGCATCTGGCAGTGCTGCAGTTGCTTCTTAGAACACCATCTGTTACAATTGTTTACTGTTATGCTTTTCATCAGACGCTCAAGTTCTCACCCTCCATATTATTAACTTTAAAATTCTAGGAAATCATAATTGTTAATCTTTTTAGATAGCAGTAACGTACATATAAACATCTATATGTACATAAAGCACATTTGGTCAGCATACACTTTTCCTGGAGTCCTAGTGTGTATAATTAACAAAAACTCGGCTGGTACAATTGATAAAAAATAAAAATAAATAATGCCATCAACAGTATTATTTCAACTAATGTGGATGCCGTATTTATAATACTAATTTTTTTTATTCTATAGCAAAATAAGGACAATCTTGCAAAAAAGTTTAAAACCAGCAATATAGAAGTTTGAACCAGTGACTCAAACAAATGCACACCAACTCTCCCTCTTTCCCTCAGTATAAGTAAATATAAATATAACAGTACACGTAACATACAAAATAAAGATGCCTATTTTTAACCTATACTAAAATGACAAGATTAAGTAGATTGTTTTTTCTAAATACACGTTTTAGCTTTAATAAATACAAATAAAAATAAATTCACTTCGGGCAGTGGAAGCATCTGTATTTTGGGCGGAATTCAAATTGGTGCCATATAATTCCAGCTCAAACTAAAAAAAAAAAAAAACATTAGAAGCAATACCTTGCCACTTTAGAGCCCTAGCAGTAGCCAGATGAGGCCAGACACATCACTGACCGTTACTGTAACTAGACTTTGATAGGAGCATCTTTTGTGAAACATAACACTTTCACAGATGATCATTTTGAAAATGTGGAGATTGAAATAATGCTTTCATTGGTTGTTGTACGAATTACAATTAGCCATGTATTTTTGTTTGCTCAATTATGTGAATTCCATTAAACAGCTGATGTCACAATTAAACTGCATTCATTATTTTAGGTTATTAAAACAATGTTTTAATTCTTGTTTTCATTTATAAGTCAGAAAAGGAGGTAAAAATTAAGGAAAAAAAGACTGAAAAAATACTCCATATTAAATGTCAAGTCTGTATTTAAAATATATCGAGACAACTGTGTAGCAATGTAGCATTATATTAATGAAATATACATTTTTGGCAACAAAAAGAAAGACAAAAATTATTTAAAATCTTGTAATTATCTAATATTGCACATTCTGAATACTATGTATATTGCCTGCATTTATGCAATTTATGGATATCACAAGTTGGACATTCAATGTTCTTGTTGTTTTGTAAGCTTGAGCCATTCTCCTAACACAAACTTTGTCCCTGTACTGACTCTTTCAATGTCACTTCCATCCTCAGGGACTACAGCTAGAAGATTAGATGTGGGGAATGTCTGATGTGCTGTATGCCCATCCTGTATCACAGATGCACTGAAATAAAGGTTTGAAAATGATGAAATCATCCAAACTAATGTTATTGGGTTTTGTTAGCATTACTTCAGGGGCAACACTGACAAGAAAGGTTGTTTTACACAAAGAGTACTTATAAATTTGACTTCAAAGAGTGCATTCTTAATGTCTTTGCACATCTGAGACTATTAAGCAAGAATACTAGGTCATCCTAGAGTCATTACATTGTTATCCTCTAAGTAAAATAAAATTAAGCGCCATGTAACCTTCTTCAGAAATATTCATGTGATTTTTATCTTCTTTTTTTTTTCTATATCTATTTTTTCATAACATACTGGAAAGTTTCTGGAACATTTGCAATTTTTTCTGATAGGTTATCTTCCCCTTCATTTGTAGCGACAATCCCTTCAATAATTTGCCGATTGAGCCATGCGTATGCCCCCACTTCTTTATCGTCAACAGCAATTTGACCCTGTAAAATCTCTGCAGTATAAGGCTGGACCAACTTGGCATGTAAGTATACAACTACATGGTGGCGCTTTGGTGAACCTCTTGATAATCTTGGTGGGAATACTGACTGGAAAAACAGATCATACATAAATGGAAAATCATGAAGTTATGTTCTTAAAATGTTTAATGTCTCACAAAAGATTGGACATGATACAAAACTGATAATTTTCACTTATGTGTGTCTGCATATGAAAATCTCTAAACATACCTCCCATGCAGCCAACGCAGTCAGTTGTTTAGACTCACAAATTGAGGGGTTTATATCTAAGCCAGTTTCTTCTTTCAGTTCCCGAAGACCTGCCTCCTGAAACTGCAATGAAGTTTTCAACATGAAACGACAAAACTCTTAAGTTTAAAAATGATGTTTTTTCATCAATTTAGAAAAACTATTTCAATGTTTCTCTTTTTCACTAAATCATGAGTTTCATTAAATTATCCATACTACATTAATGTCAGAGATACAGATCTTTTACTTCTAATAAAGTAAAATATAATACCTGTTCACCAACTTCTATGTGACCACCTGAAAAAATGTTGTTTTCAGTTTGAAAAAAAATCACTTATAAAAAGCAAACACCTGATGGAAAAAGCAGAAAATCATCTTATCAAAAGACAAACAAAACGAATGGATTTCTGGATATAAAATATTAATGTTTATCTTCATCATTGAAACTAAATCAGATACTTTAATTTCTATGCAAAAGTCAAACTGCAAAAAGTACTCCAGGTGAGGGTGTTATCATGAAGCACCAACTGTAAAGAAATGGAAAATATATATAGATTGTACCTTACCAGGGGGCACCCATACACCTGGAAATGTTCTCATATGGTAGGCTCTCCTTGTCAACAAGATCTTATTGTCTGCAGATTCCACAATTACTGCTGCTCCAACATCTATGCCTCGATTTAAAATATCTGGGCTGAGACAGGATTCCTCATCAGCAGACAGTTTTTGCACTGGGCAAAATGGGGGATGCTGAAAAAGTTAAATTGCCATGTCAGTCATTGTGCAAACTGTGTTAAAATTCTTATTGTAGGGTAACACCAATCCGCAAGCATGTTCTACTGGTATTTTTAAAACAATTTATAAATCATCCATCCTAACCTAGGAACGATATAAATATAAGACACCCTTTTAGTTTCATACATCATTTAGATATAGGTGCCAGTGAGCTCAGAAAAGAAACACTTCTGATCCCCAAGTTATTGCTTGCATATGCTTACATGACTTAAACAATACCAATGTTTCCAGTGTAAATGCTTTCACGCCATTTTGCATAGCTCATGTCTTTTAAGTAGATTCAACCAAACTGAGGTGCAGGTTTTCAGAAGATTATCCTTAGCACAGTAGACCGCTGGCAAGTTGCTACGCATGTAAAAAGGTCTACACAGGTACATGGACTTGAAAAGCAACCACACTGTTTTTCATGTGTATAGTGGTTTACCTTAATTCTTATACAATTTTTGCCATCTGAATACTTTGAGTCAGTTATGATTAGATGATCTTCATTCATATCAACGGATATTTCCATTGTTGGTGTTGTTGTGCCAAAACAGTCCAAAACACACTGAAATGGTCAATATAAAGTTATTTTACAATGTATAAATACAGTAAAAAGGTGAACTTTGAAGACCCTGTATAAAAGTAATGGAGAGAGAATCTCACAAGTTCTATTCTAAATAATGCTAAAACATTTCCCCTTTGCATGTATCATGTATGACAAATTAATGGACTGCCAACCACTTGCCCAATATACACGACAGCAGTGCTAGTGCATGCTGTCGTGTTCAATGTATATTAGGCTCGTGAGCAGTGCATTAATGTTAATTAGGACATGTAATTCTCAAGGCTGGTGCTTCAAACAACAGGATAATTGCAACTGTTGACTTCAAAATAATTTAAAATACATAGTTAAGAAGTTTTTAATGCCAAATCTTCTAATGTCAGAACACCTTGTGTGAATATAGTCCTTAGTGTAAAAATCAATGAATGTTTTTTGACATATATACTGTATGTGTGGGTATATTAAACAGTAAAACTTACACCCAAGTAACTTCTCATTAAAAATAAATAAATAAATAAATAAATAAATAAATAAATAAATAAATAAATAATAAAATAAAAAAGTAACTTTAAAACCAGAATGTGAAGTCATTAAACTGTTCCCATACACTAATACAGGGCCACCGTTTCCTTCTATATTTAGTGGATGTTACTCGTTGGCGCTGAAGGGTCCATACATTTATGTATAATTATAATAATAATAATAATAATAATTATTATTATTATTATAAGAGGTGTACATTCCCGTTATTGGATCTAGCTTGTGTGCATGGAATTTATTTAATCATTTATTAAATTATTGTTTTAAACTCTTATTTCTTTATATTTATTTATTTATTTATTTATTTACTTATTTTTTCTATTTATTCATTTGATCTTATAATATATCTTTCTTTTGAGACATTATCCTTTTTAGTACTGTGCAAAGTATCAGCCGTAGGATAGTTCATCTCGTGGCATGAAACCCACAATCCATAATGTAAATCACTCCTGATCAATTTCACCTGTGTAAATTTAGCAGGTGTTGGAGTAACATCATTCGGTTTCTGTAGGTGTACCAAGACTCGCCGCATCATGGAGGTCGCCATATTGGACTTTTCACTTAAATAAAATTATAGCGCTCGTTAGTAACAAAGGTTCCTGGGACATCATGAAGTTAAATAAAATATGAAACATTAATATTAAATATGTTCTTAAAAGAAATAGTATGATTCTGTGTTCGTATGATATTAAGTGGTATATTATGTAGGACCATCTGCGAACATTTTTTTGTCAGCTGAACTTCCTGTCATCAGATGGGTGTTCCAAGGCACTTCAGGTCTTGGCATCCACACGATGTCCAGCTCAGCAACTCGTTTATGTTTTCTTATTTTAAAAGAAAGATATGGAGAGGTTGTGGCCTCCGTTGCTTGCTGCCTTGCCAAGAAAAATTACTGTCCATTGAGAATGCTCTCACAAGACTCTGGCCTTAAATTAGACCAGGTGAGACAGTGAATGCGTTTGCATGCGTGTTTATTTTGGCCGTCTGTAATCCTAATTAGCAGCACCTTGTACTTTTGTTTATGTTTTTAAAATATGTTGACTCTAGCGTCCGGGTCTGAAAGATAAAGGCGAAATAAAGTTGAAAACATTTCAGTATTCGTCTCCACTTCGGGTGGGGGATCAACGATGCGGGTACGTAAAGAGACGACCGGCCCCTCAGTCCCTTTGGTCGGTTAAGAAGATAGCCACGTTCCTGACACCCTCTACCCCGTCTACACCCTTAATTTTCACATGTGTGTGTGTATGTGTGTGTGTTTATATATAGAAAGTTATTTGAGTAATGTGAATACTGACAGTTGTAGTGAGGGGTCATCTCTTTATGTCCCCGCACTGTCACCCCCTCGCCCGAAGTGGACGCCAATACTAAAATATTTTCATCGTAATTCTGCCTTCATTTTTCAGACCCAAGTGCTAGAGTTGACAAATGTTTAAAACGTAAACAGAATTAGAATAACAGATGAAAACTCATATTGCCTAATGCACTTGACTTATAATGAGAATATAATGATACTTAAACTAAAGATCCACTGCAGTTGAAACTACATTAAATAATATCACTATAAAGCATAACATTTTTCTTTGGTTTAGTTTATTTCAAAAACTATTTCCAGGTCAAGAAAGCACTTTGTACACTTATTCAGCACAATCTAGTAACCTTCCAACAGAATAAGAAGGGGTTTATAGAGTATGTCATCCATGCTGAAAAGGTCTTGCAGCAGACAAGGTTTCCAAGGTATATTTATTGTGCAAAGACACTATATGGAGACCCAGCAGAATTAATAATTGAAGAATTATTGCAACATGGCCAGATGACATTGGAAAAGGTTGTTCAGAGAACAATTGACAGATTGACAGAAGCTATGGAAGGTTTGTACCAATGTTGTGTAAATGAAATTTAACATTGCGCTACTTTGTTAAAACATAAGACATGCAACCTGATGTGGTATAACAAAATGTTTTTTTCTAAATTGTAGATCAGGGTTTTGTGTATTTTTTTTTTCAGGTAAACAAAATGTTTCTTCAACATTGGTTAAAGAGAAATTTGTGAACCTTGTTCAGACACATTTTGTACAGAGGTGTACCTCACCTGATGGCAATGCAGAAAATAAAGAAGTTGCTTCTATGCCAGTCCTGTCAGTTTCACCAGAAGAGCTGTATGTTGTGCCAAAGCTGGAGCTAGATGGTAAGCACAGGTACTAGGAGTATTACTCGGACAATTTATGCATTCCATCATTTTTCTTCAAAGCAAGTTTGTCATTTGACATAACAGTGGTGACAGAAATAGAAATATTAAGTTTTTATTGAGGTTAAGGGGATTTTTTAAAAAAAATATTGAAGTAACATAACAGTTGAATGAAATCTTTTCCAACTTTGCTCAATAGGTTTTGAATCTAGAAAAAGAAAGAGATCTGGGGAAGGTTCTGAGGCAGCATCAAAAAGAATAAAAACAGATGAGTCAGAGGTAAACCAATATGAAATGTTAAAATACTTAAATGCTCTTTGAACATAGGTGTGTTTTCATGTCTTTTTGAGTACATTATCAAAGTGACTTGATCATTTGTTATTTGACTTTGTTTTGCTTATTTATATTTATTTAAATATTTTATTTATTTGTTTATTCAATTTCAGTCATCTGAGTCTAGTATCTTTTGGAGAGTCAATGTCAGCCGTTTCCATCAATATCTTCGAGATCAGGCCATAGTCCAGGCAGTGGCTAGCAAAATAGATAAAGTAAGTAAAAAACAATAAAGAATGCTAAAACTTTTGAAAAAATTTTAACTTACTGCATTTATTATAAATTTTATAATCACTATTTTAAATTAACGATTTAGATTTGAACACTCACTGTGAAAGTGTCTGATAACAAGATAGCTCCCCTCTTGAAGAAATGCATATATTGTTGTGATAATGTTAACGTTCAATTTAAGTTTTAAAGTCATTGCTCTTAGTCTGGGTTGTTATGTTTTAGAATGCAGCAGAGGTGGTCAGGGCAATGCTAAGACTCAGTGAAGTAAAAACTGATGAAGGTGCATTGGTTGCCAGTGCTGTGACTGTGACTGAGGTTTGTGATACTTTTTGGATTATTTTTTACATTAAGTTAATTAATATGAACATTGTGAATATATGTTTTAGGCTTTTAGTTTTTCCATATTGATTTTTTTTACCTTGTTACAGGTATTTCAGAATCTCCCCAGAGAATTTGGAATTTCAAAGCAGACTATTGAACAGTATATGAAGCTTCTCTCAGAGGACTCTGTAAGAAATCTTGTTTAAAAAAGAAATTAGAAATAAGCATCCCACTTACTTGTAATTTTTTTATTTATGAAAGAGAAATATTTTTCTTTCTCAAATTATTTAATGAAAAATATATTCTGACAAAAAATATGAATATGTGTAATTTAAGTTGATAAAATAACTTAAAAGAACTTAATTTTGAATGTTAAAAATTATCATCAAACATTTCAGTCAGTACTTATATTAAGATGTTTGCTCCTCAACATACAAATACTTTCAGAGTGAATTTGTGAGCAAGGTTTCTGACAGTGGAGGTGGCATGTATGTTATAAGTATCCTTTATAGTGGCATCAAACTTGAGTGATATATATATATATATATATATATATATATATATTTAAGCTGAATAATAAACTTTAAAATGAGACAATGGCTGTAAATCTGCATTGCACAACCATTGCAATCAACATGTTTAAAATATTGAAGAACTTTCTTTTTATAGCTTGAAATGTGAAATTCCATCGTTTAGTCTTAACCACATATCACAGATTTTAAAAAACTAATAACAGTACTGTGCAGAGCACATATAGAATCAGCTGTGCAAGAAAGGTAAAATACTTCAATACTGCACTTATTTCTGAGTTTTTTTTTTAAATAAAAACTGTACTTACATCCAATCAAATTTTTATGTACAAACACAGTGGGCATGTACATACCACCTGACACCACCACTTGAGTCAGTACTTCTTTCCACCCAGCATAGAGTAATACAGAAAAACATTTCAATTTCAAATAACAGCATTTTTTTTTTTTTTTTTGCAACTTCAGAATTTTTTATTTTCAGCATCCTATCCTTTTCAATGCTATTAATAAAAAAATTTAAGTGAATTATTTTCATTGAACTGATGTGATACATACCACTTTAGTAAAGGTCAACCAGGAATATCATTTTATCTCACAGTAGAGAAAAAATAGCATGAATAAATCATTCTCTTTATCTTTTATTATTATTTTTATGTGTGTGTGTGTGTGCATATATTTTCCATGTTATATCATCATTATTATCTTTAATATCAACATCTCAACTAAACAAAGTGGATATTTAATGTGAAAAAGAAAAAATATAAGAAAATAATTTGTATATTTTTTCAATTTCAGGTTTGGGTCAAAATGTTTCAGGATATTCCGCTTACTACTTATGAAAAAGAATTTGGAGCAGAAACAGGTAAGTATTCATTAAAGTCCTCATTAACTACCCAGGTATTATAATAAAATCTGTTCATAATATGTACATATTAGGAAAGTTATTTTTAAAAACACAAAAAAAAAAATTAAAACTGCAGCTATATTCTGCTCTAAAATGGAATTTTATAAGATCCCTTTCTTACTGAATTTGAATTTTTTTCTAGATTGAGGAGTATGCAATGATTCCATCCAAGGAAGCTAAGGAACTATTATACAGAATGTTTGAAGAAAAGTTTGTCTCCTTAACTGTAAGTTACCAGCAGTTGCTCAAAAAATTTCTAATTGCTTTCCTCAACTGTTATCATTCTTTTCTGTCAAATAGATACAAGTTTTAGTGTAATACGTCACAGACAGATAACAGTTTTTTTTTTTCACTGACACACTGTGAAAGCAACTCTTGAGATAATTGGTGCTATTTTATTTTGCAAATTTTGCATATTTTTAGTGTTAAATTTCATGCATGAATTACCATATTTCTAGGAGGTGCCAAAGACCCCTGATCATGCTCCTTCAAGAACATTCTATTTGTTTTCTGTCAATATTAATCAAGTTTCCAGGATGCTCCTTGAAAGATGTTACCAGGTATTTAAAAATATTCCACCAGTTTGCAGCATTACAACTACGTAGATGGGTTCGATCAAACCTTTATATCTTTTATTATGACATTTAGACACTCCTTTGATAAAAATCCAATTAATTATGCAATTTTAAGTCATGAATGAGCTGAGATTGATAGAACATGACAAAGTTTGAGATAATCACAACTTTAGCTCATTGATTTGACTTTAGGATGATTTGATTTTATTCTAGGTATGTGGAAATCTCATCATTCGCAGAGAACATGAAACAAAAGAAAACAGGTAAGTAAACAGTATTTTTGATTTACATGTCAGTTCAGGTGCATTCAGTTGGTTAAGGAAAATTGAAAAGAACTTGTTTTGGATACTATTTATACATAATAGATTGTTCTAAACAATTTTTNATTTTTTTTTATTCTATAGGAAAATAAGGACAATCTTGCAAAAAAGTTTAAAACCAGCAATATAGAAGTTTGAACCAGTGACTCAAACAAATGCACACCAACTCTCCCTCTTTCCCTCAGTATAAGTAAATATAAATATAGCAGTACACGTAACATACAAAATAAACATGCCTATTTTTTACCTATTCTAAAATGACAAGATTAAGTAGATTGTTTTTACTAAATACACGTTTTAGCTTTAATAAATACAAATAAAAATAAATTCACTTTGGGCAGTGGAAGCACCTGTATTTTGGGCGGAATTCATATTGGTGCCATATAATTCCAGTTCAAACTAAAAAAAAAAAAAAACATTAGAAGCAATACCTTGCCACTTTAGAGCCCTTGTAGTAGCCAGATGAGGCCAGACACATCACTGACCGTTACTGTAACTAGACTTTGATAGGAGCATCTTTTGTGAAACATAACGCTTTCACAGATGATCATTTTGGAAATATGGAGATTGAAATAATGCTTTCATTGGTTGTTGTACGAATTAGAATTAGCCATGTATTTTTGTTTGCTCAATTAGGTGAATTCAATTAAATAGCTGATGTCACAATTACACTGCTTTCATTATTTTAGGTTATTAAAACAATGTTTTAATTCTTGTTTTCATTTATAAGTCAGAAAAGGAGGTAAAAATTAAAGAAAAAAAGACTTTGAAAAAATACTCCATATTAAATGTCACGTCTGTATTTAAAATATATCGAGACAACTGTGTAGCAATGTAGCATTATATTAATGAAATGTACATTTTTGGCAACAAAAAGAAATACAAAAAGAAATTAAAATCTTGTAATTATCTAATATTGCACATTCTGAATACCATGTATATTGCCTGCATTTATGCAATTTATGGATATCACAAGTTGGACATTCAATGTTCTTGTTGTTTTGTAAGCTTGAGCCATTCTCCTAACACAAACTTCGTCCCTGTACTGACTCTTTCAATGTCACTTCCATCCTCGGGGACTACAGCTAGAAGATTAGATGTGGGGAACGTCTGATGTGCTGTATGTCCATCCTGTATCACAGATGCACTGAAATAAAGGTTTGAAAATGATGAAATCATCCAAACTAATGTTATTGGGTTTTGTTAGCATTACTTCAGGGGCAACACTGACAAGAAAGGTTGTTTTACAGAAAGAGTACTTTAAAATTTGACTTCAAAGAGTGCACTCTTATTGTCTTGGTACATCTGAGACTAAGCGAGAATACTAGGTCATCCTGGAGTTATTCCATTGTTATCCTCTGAGTAAAATAAAATTAAGCGCCGTGTAACCTTCTTCAGAAATATTCATGTGATTTTTATCTTCTTTTTTTTTTTTCTATATCTATTTTTTCATAACATACTGGAAAGTTTCTGGGACATTTGCAATTTTTTCTGATAGGTTATCTTCCCCTTCATTTGTAGCAACAATCCCTTCAATAATTTGCCGATTGAGCCATGCATATGCCCCCACTTCTATATCGTCAACAGCAATTTGACCCTGTAAAAACTCCGCAGTATAAGGCTGGACCAACTTGGCATGTAAGTATACAACTACATGGTGCCGCTTTGGTGAACCTCTTGATAATCTTGGTGGGAATACTGACTGGAAAAACGGATCGTACATAGATGGAAAATCATGAAGTTATGTTCTTATAATGTTTAATGTCTCACTAAAGATTGGACATGATACAAAACTGATAATTTTCACTTATGTGTGTCTGCATATAAAAATCTCTAAACATACCTCCCATGCGGCCAATGCATTCAGTTGTTTAGACTCACAAATTGAGAGGTTTATATCTAAGCCAGTTTCTTCTTTCAGTTCCCGAAGACCTGCATCCTGAAACTGCAATGAAGTTTTCAACATGAAACGACAAAACTCTTAAGTTTAAAAATGATGTTTTTTCATCAATTTAGAAAAATTTTTAAACTATTTTAATGTTTCTCTTTTTTACTAAATCATGAGTTTAATTAAAATATCCATACTACATTAATGTCAGAGATACAGATCTTTTACTTCTAATAAAGTAAAATATAATACCTGTTCACCAACTTCTATGTGACCACCTGAAAAAATGTTGTTTTCAGTTTGAAAAAAATCACTTCTAAAAAGCAAACACCTGATGGAAAAAAGCAGAAAATCATCTTATCAAAAGACAAACAAAATGGATGGATTTCTGGATATAACATATTAATGTTTATCTTCATCATTGAAACTAAAACAGATACTTTCTATGCAAAAGTCAAACTGCAAAAAGTACTCCAGGTGAGGGTTTTATCATGAAGCACCAACTGTAAAGAAATGGAAAATATATATATATACATTGTACCTTACCAGGGGGCACCCATACACCTGGAAATGTTCTCATATGGTAGGCTCTCCTCGTCAACAAGATCTTATTGTCTGCAGATTCCACAATTACTGCTGCTCCAACATCTATGCCTCGATTTAAAATATCTGGGCTGAGACGTGATTCCTCATCAGCAGACAGTCTTTGCACTGGGCAAAATGGGGGATGCTGAAAAAGTTAAAATGCCATGTCATTTAATGTGCAAATTGTGTTAACATTCTTACTGTACATGTATGGTAATATCACTCCACAAGCACATTCTACTGGTATTTTTAAAACAAAGTAACAAATCATCCATCCTAACCTAGGAACGATATAAATATAAGACACCCTTTTAGTTTCATACATCATTTAGATATAGGTGCCAGTAAGCTCAGAAAAGAAACACTTCTGATCCCCCAGTTATTGCTTGCATATGCTTACATGACTTAAGCAATACCAATGTTTCCAGTGTAAATGCTTTCATGCCATTTTGTATAGCTCATGTCTTTCAAGCAGATTCAACCAAACTGAGGTGCTGGTTTCCATTTCTGAGAATATCCTCAGCACAGTAGACCACTGGCTGGCAAGTTGCTACTGTACACATGTAAAAAGGTCTACACATGTACATGGACTTGAAAAGCAACCACACTGTTTTTCATGTGTATAGTGGTTTACCTTGATTCTTATACAATTTTTGCCATCTGAATACTTTGAATCAGATATGATTAGATGATCTTCATTCATATCAACGGATATTTCCATTGTTGGTGTTGTTGTGCCAAAATAGTCCAAAACACACTGAAATGGTAAATATTAAGTTATCTTACAATGTATAAATAAAAAAGGTGAACTTTGAAGATCCTGTATAAAAGTAATGGAGAGAGAATCTCACAAGTTCTATTCTAAATAATGTTAAAACAATTCCCCTTTGCATGTATGACAAATTAATGGACTGCCATCCACATGCCCAGTATACAAAACAGCAGTGCTAGTGCATGCTGTTGTGTTCAATGTACTGTATATTACGCTCGTGAGCAGTGCATTAATGTTAATTATAATTAGTACTCAAGGCTGGTGCTTCAAACAACAGGATAATTGCAATTGTTGACTTCAAAATCATTCAAAATATATAGTTAAGAAGTTAAATTTTTAATGCCAAATCTTCTAATGTCAGAACACCTTGTGTGAATATAGTCCTTAGCGGAAAAAATGAATGAAAGTTTTTTGACATATATATGTATAGGTATATTGAACAGTAAAACTTACACCCAAGTACAATTTCTAAAAAAAATCGTTTCCAATGTAAGTAACTTTAGTCAGGGCCACCGTTTCCTTCTATATTTAGTGGACGTATTATTATTATTATTATTATTATTATTATTATTATTATTATTATTATTATTATTATAAGAGGTGTACATTCCCTGTATTTGACCTAGCTTGTGTGCACGGCATTTTTTTAATTATTTATTAAAATATTGTTTTAAACTCTTATTTCTTTATATTTCTTTATTTATTAATTTTATTATTTCTATTTATTCATTTGACACTGCCCTTTTTAGCACCAGCCGTAAGATAGTTTTTCTCGTGGCATGAAACCCACTGTCCATAATGTAAATCACTCCTGATTAATTTCACCTGTGTAAATTTAGCAGGTGTTGGAGTAACATCATTCGGTTTCTGTAGGTGTACCAAGACTCGCCGAACCATGGAGGTCGCCATATTGGACTTTTCACTTAAATAAAATTATAGCGCTCGTTGGTAACAAAGGTTCCTGGGACATCATGAAGTTAAATAAAATATTAAACAATAATATTAAATATTTTCTTTAAAGAAATAGTATGATTTTGTGTTCGTATGGTATGAAGTGGTATATTATGTAGGACCATCTGCGAACATTTTTTTGTCAGCTGAACTTCCTGTCATCAAATGGGTGTTCCAAGGCACTTCAGGTCTTGGCATCCACACGATGTCCAGCTCAGCAACTCGTTTATGTTTTCTTATTTTAAAAGAAAGATATGGAGAGGTTGTGGCCTCCGTTGCTTGCTGCCTTGCCAAGAAAAATTACTGTCCATTGAGAATGCTCTCACAAGACTCTGGCCTTAAATTAGACCAGGTGAGACAGTGAATGCGTTTGCATGCGTGTTTATTTTGGCCGTCTGTAATCCTAATTAGCAGCACCTAGTGCTTTTGTTTATGTTTTTAAAATTTGTTGACTCTAGCGTCCGGGTCTGAAAGATAAAGGCGAAATAAAGTTGAAAACATTTCAATATTCGTCTCCACTTCGGGTGGGGGATCAACGATGCGGATACGTAAAGAGACGACCCCTCAGTCACTTTGGTCGCTTAAGGAGATAGCCACGTTCCTGACACCCCCTACCCCGTCTACACCCTTAATTTTCACGTGTGTGTGTGTGTGTGTGTGTGTGTGTATAGAAAGTTATTTGAGTAATGTGAATACTGACAGTTGTAGTGTGGGGTCATCTCTATATGTCCCCGCACTGTCACCCCCTCGCCCGAAGTGGACGCCAATACTAAAATATTTTCATCTTAATTCTGCCTTCATTTTTCAGACCCAAGTGCTAGAGTTGACAAATGTTTAAAACGTAAACAGAATTAGAATAACAGATGAAAACTCATATTGCCTAATTTACATACTTTGGTCATACATTTTTTACATACTTACATACATAATTTACATACGTATAATGAGAATATAATGATACTTAAACTAAAGATCCACTGCAGTTGAAACTACATTAAATAATATCACTATAAAGCATAACATTTTTCTTTGGTTTAGTTTATTTCAAAAACTATTTCCAGGTCAAGAAAGCACTTTGTACACTTATTCAGCACAATCTAGTAACCTTCCAACAGAATAAGAAGGGGTTTATAGAGTATGTCATCCATGCTGAAAAGGTCTTGCAGCAGACAAGGTTTCCAAGGTATATTTATTGTGCAAAGACACTATATGGAGACCCAGCAGAATTAATAATTGAAGAATTGTTGCAACATGGCCAGATGACATTGGAAAAGGTTGTTCAGAGAACAATTGACAGATTGACAGAAGCTATGGAAGGTTTGTACCAATGTTGTGTAAATGAAAGTTAACATTGTGCCACATTGTTAACATAAGACATGCAACCTGATGTGGTATAACAAAATGTTTTTTTCTAAACTGTAGGTCAGGGTTTGGTGTATATTTATTTCAGGTAAACAAAATGTTTCCTCAACATTGGTTAAAGAGAAGTTTGTGAACCTTGTTCAGACACATTTTGTACAGAGGTGTACCTCACCTGATGGCAATGTGGAAAATAAAGAAGTTGCTTCTATGCCAGTCCTGTCTGTTTCACCAGAAGAGCTGTATGTTGTGCCAAAGATGGAGCTAGATGGTAAGCACAGGTACTAGGAGTATTACTCGGACAATTTATGCATTCAATCATTTTTCTGCAAAGCAAGTTTGTCATTTGACATAACAGTGGTGACAGAAGTAGAAATATTAAGTTTTTATTGAGGTTAAGGGGATTTTTTAAATAAATGTTGAAGTAACATAACAGTTGAATGAAATCTTTTCCAACTTTGCTCAATAGGTTTTGAATCTAGAAAAAGAAAGAGATCTGGGGAAGGTTCTGAGGCAGCATCAAAAAGAATAAAAACAGATGAGTCAGAGGTAAACCAATATGAAATGTTAAAATACTTAAATGCTCTTTGAACATAGGTGTGTTTTCATGTTTTTTTGAGTACATTATCAAAGTGACTTGATCATTTGTTATTTGACTTTGTTTTGCTTATTTATATTTATTTATATATTTTATTTATTTGTTTATTCACTTTCAGTCATCTGAGTCTAGTATCTTTTGGAGAGTCAATGTCAGCCGTTTCCATCAATATCTTCGAGATCAGGCCATAGTCCAGGCAGTGGCTAGCAAAATAGATAAAGTAAGTAAAAAACAATAAAGAATGCTAAAACTTTTGAAAAAATTTTAACTTACTGCATTTATTATTAATTTTATAATCACTATTTTAAATTAACAATTTAGATTTGAACACTCTCTGAGAAAGTGTCTGATAACAAGATAGCTCCCCTCTTGAATAAATGCATATATTGTTGTGATAATGTAAACGTTCAATTTAAGTTTTAAAATCATTGCTCTTAGTCTGGGTTGTTATGTTTCAGAATGCAGCAGAGGTGGTCAGGGCAATGCTAAGACTCAGTGAAGTAAAAACTGATGAAGGTGCATTGGTTGCCAGTGCTATGACTGTGACTGAGGTTTGTGATACTTTTTGGATTATCTTTTACATTAAGTTAATTAATATGAACATTGTGAATATATGTTTAAGGATTAATGAAATAGGCTTTTAGTTTTTCCATATTGATTTTTTTTACCTTGTTACAGGTATTTCAGAATCTCCCCAGAGAATTTGGAATTTCAAAGCAGACTATTGAACAGTATATGAAGCTTCTCTCAGAGGACTCTGTAAGAAATCTTGTTTAAAAAAGAAATTAGAAATAAGCATCCCACTTACTTGTAATTTTTTTTATTTATTAAAGAGAAATATTTTTCTTTCTCAATTTATTTAATGAAAAATATATTCTGACAAAAAATATGAATATGTGTAATTTAAGTTGATAAAATAACTTAAAAGAACTTAATTTTGAATGTTAAAAATTATCGTCAAACATTTCAGTCAGTACTTATATTAAGATGTTTGCTCCTCAACATACAAATACTTTCAGAGTGAATTTGTGAGCAAGGTTTCTGACAGTGGAGGTGGCATGTATGTTATAAGTATCCTTTATAGTGGCATCAAACTTGAGTGGTATATATATATTTATATTTAAGCTGAATAATAAACTTGAAAATGAGACAATGGCTGTAAATCTGCATTGCACAACGATTGCAATCAACATGTTTAAAATATTGAAGAACTTTCTTTTTATAGCTTGAAATGTGAAATTCCATTGTTTAGTCTTAACCACATATCACAGATTTTAAAAAACTAATAACAGTACTGTGCAGAGCACATATAGAATCAGCTGTGCAAGAAAGGTAAAATACTTCAATACTGCACTCTTTTTTGAGTTTTCTTTTTCTTTTTTTTTTTTTTAATAAAAACTGCACTTAATCCAATCAAATTTTTATGTACAAACACAGTGGGTCTGAACATACCACCACCACATGAGTCACTACTTCTTTCCACCCAGCATAGAGTAATACAGAAAAACATTTCAATTTCAAATAATACTTTATAATTTTTATTTTCAGCATCTTATCCTTTTCAATGCTATTAATATAAAAATCAAGTAAATTTTTTTTCGTCAAACTGATGTGATTCATACCACTTAAGTAAAGGTCAACCTGGAATATCATTTTATCTCACAGTAGAGAAAAAATAGAAATCATTCTCTTTATCTTTTATTATTATTTTTATGTGTGCAGATATTTTCAATGTTATATCATCATTATTATCTTTAATATCAACACCTCAACTAAACAAAGTGGATTTTTAATGTGACAAAAGAAAAAAATATAAGAAAATAATTTGTATATTTTTTCAATTTCAGGTTTGGGTCAAAATGTTTCAGGATATTCCGCTTATTGCTTATGAAAAAGAATTTGGAGCAGAAACAGGTAAGTATTCATATTAGTCCTCCTAGGTATTATAATAAAATGTGTGCATAATATGTACCTTTAAGGAAAGTTATTTTCAAAAACACAAAAGAAAAATTAAAACTGCTATATTTCTGCTCAAAAATGGAATTTTATAATTATATCCCTTTCTTACTGAATTTGAATTTTTTCTAGATAGAGGAGTATGCAATGATTCCATCCAAGGAAGCTAAGGAACTATTATACAGAATGTTTGAAGAAAAGTTTGTCTCATTAACTGTAAGTTACCAGCAGTTGTTCAAAAAATTTATTATTGCTTTCCTCAACTGTTATTCTTTTCTGTCAAATAGATACAAGTTTTAGTGTAATATGACACAGACAGATAACAGTTTTTCTTTTTCACTGTGACTCTGTGAAAGATACTCTTGAGATAATTGGTACTATTTTATTTCACAAATTTTGCATATTTTTAGTGTTAAATTTCATGCATGAATTACCATATTTCTAGGAGGTGCCAAAGACCCCTGATCATGCTCCTTCAAGAACATTCTATTTGTTTTCTGTCAATATTAATCAAGTTTCCAGGATGCTCCTTGAAAGATGTTACCAGGTATTTAAAAATATTCCACCAGTTTGCAGCATTACAACTAGATGGGTTCGATCAAACCTTTATATCTTTTATTATGACATTTAGACACTCCTTTGATAAAAATCCAATTAATTATGCAATTTTAAGTCATGAATGAGCTGAGATTGATAGAACATGACAAAGTTTGAGATAATCACAACTTTAGCTCATTGATTTGACTTTAGGATGATTTGATTTTATTCTAGGCATGTGGAAATCTCATCATTCGCAGAGAACATGAAACAAAAGAAAACAGGTAAGTAAACAGTATTTTTGATTTACATGTCAGTTCAGGTGCATTCAGTTGGTTAAGGAAAATTGAAAAGAACTTGTTTTGGATACTATTTATACATAATAGATTGTTCTAAACAATTTTTAATATATATATATATATATATATATATATATATATATATATATATATATACATAGAAGACTGGTTTATATATATATTTTTTTTAATGAACACTGCTTTAGAAAAATGCACCAGTTACCTTGGGATAAATTATGAATTGTCATATTGTGATGTAATAATTGTTTTGTTCTTAGGCGGTTACTAGACAAACAACAGAGGGTAGATGCTATAACTGCATCAATGGAACAGAGCGGAGCAGATCCTTCACAAAAAGAGGAGATAGAACAGATGATTACACCACCAGAAAAGGCTCAACTTACAAAAATAAAACACATGACCAACAAGTATATAATTTGCATATTTTGTACCCGTTTTGTCTCTTTTCAATTAAGGGGTCAGATACAAAAGAATAATATAAGATGGAATATAAATGACAAGGAAATTGGTGACTTGAAAATGTATTTAAAATGGAAAATTGAAAATTAATCTGCAATATCAGCAAAGAAATCAATTAGTTTGTACTTTATATATTTGTTTTAGATAAAAAAAATTGAAGACATATTCTGGTTTCAGGATAGAACACAGCGAACTTCAGCTAGATGACACCATTTTTATACTGCAAACCTATCTCCAATATGCACACATGAAGTGAGGACAAGGTATAACACAGATCAAGGGACGCTGAAGTGATGCCAGTGAGAGATGCCACAGTGGCAAAGAAATTGCAGCATTCCTATTCTGAACAAAATTTTATTAAAAAAGTAACTGATAACTGTAAACTTGATATGATTTTCACACACTGTTTTGGTTTACAGTATGATTTCACCATATTGAAAAATACCGCTGACTACTGACTGACTCTTCAAAATATAATGTGATGGTGTTTATAACCAGCATTTCTTCTGCTATTGATTTAAAAAAAAACAAAAATGGCATTATCCTGACATGTCCTGTGTCAGCAATGGTAAATGATTCAGAACTTGCTGCACTAGCTTTTATTTTTTAAAATAAAAGATTAAGCAATACATGTTTCCCTGGTTGTTCCTTGTAATAATCAGTAGTTTCAAAACTGAGTCAAAATGTGTCATCATTGATTTTTTAAGTTTTATTATATGGTATTAAGAATACAAAACTATTTAAAATTATATTTTTCTTACTGGTTATCAAAATGACTAGAAGGGATTGTTGTAAAATGTGATTTCTTTTAAATAGCCTCACCTTACTCCTTAATATATTATAAACTTGTAAAGAACTCCCCTATTTAAAGTGAAAATGAAGAAAGCATATTTATACTCACTTTGGTTAAGCCAAGTGAAGAGAAGTGGTCACACATTTTGAGTAATTGTTTGGTTTTGAGACAACTGATGTCTGCAATTGTAGTAGACAGCATGATGCCAATAAAGTTGCATCAAATTACCACTGGCAAACTTGTAATTTTTTGCAGGAAAAATAAAATAATTCTCGAAGGCAGATTTATATACATTTATAAGTAATATCCAAACAATAAGACCTGTATTTGTTGATTGACCCATTACTTAGCACTTATTCCAACTTACTATTTTCAACTTAAAAATTGTACTTATTACCTCATAAAGTAATTTTCCCTTACACATTACACAGAAAAACGTGCAATTACATTATTTCCCAAGAGTTTGTTCATTATTATTTTATTTATCCATTTTTTTAACACTTTATTATGTCTAAAATGTCCTTCAAAACATAGTGTTCTTGTTTTATAAGATGACACCTGAATCATTCAAATGATGATTTCCAGATTGACAGTCAAGATGCATGCCGGAAGTTTGTGTCAAGACTGATTTGAAGCAAAGCAGCATTCCTTGTTTTCTTTCCAAACGGAGGAGTCATCTTCATAATATTCCTACAAATATTTCACAAAGATAATCACAAATCCTTATGAACTTCACCTCCTTTTAAAATGTTAAAATGACATAACAAGATAAATTTAACTTTTTCTTAAAAGATGTACTTGATCCCATGAGAGAAAATATCATTAAAAGAATAAACTGTACCAAGTTTATAACCACATAAACAGACAACTGTTTACAATACTCTACCACAATTTACACAACAAATGTATATATAACCTAGATTTTGCTATTTTATGCAAATGGACCATTAAATCAACTTTATTCCTATACAAACCTAGAGATATTATGTGACTGTGGCGATATTTGCATAATACATATTATGCTTTCTTTGTTTTAAGCCTTTTTTCTGTGAAATGTTTGTTTTTTAATTCTCTAGGTATGTATGTCAAATAATGCACTGCCACCCTCATACAACATATACGTCTTAAACACCTTTTGGCATCACTCAAGGTGTTCTGACATTTGCTGTTTTTTTTTTTTTTTTTGTTTTTTTTCACATGGAACTCAGAGTATATCACAATGCAATTGCTTTCAGGACTTTACCTTTTTCCAAATGGGAACTGTTGCTTTGAATGTATCTATCCCAAACTGTGTTGCCTCTATAGCATCTTTCCTATGTGGTGAAGACACTGCTATTATCACACTGGCATCTTTTATTGGAACATAACTGAAAGAGAAACACTTTTACATGCTGCACTCACTCCATGATAGAATTTCTTTCAGCCAAATGACTGAAATATGTAAGCCAAATAAAAAAATTTAACAATTAATTTAGAAAGGACCAATAAAATGGTTTGAATTTTTGTTGATAAAATTAGCAGATATCAAGCTTAGTGTTGTAGGGTTGTAAATTTCTTGTTTTGAATTAAAATGTTGTGAAATGCATACACATCTACATCCTTGCTTATCTGAGTGCATGTACAATTTATCATAAAATATCAACATTTACGTTTTAAGGTTTAAAAACCTTCACGTGGAGTTATGTTTCAAAACAGTGTGAGGGAAGCCCAAACAGTGCCACAGCTCTGTCAAGCCTACCCTAGTCTATGATGCATTCCTATGTTCTCAACTTCTGGCCATTTCTCTCTGATCTGTTTGCAGATCTTCTTCATTTCAGACTCTGCCATTGGAATGTAAGCTTCATATTCCAGCCTGTTTACTTTTTTGCCATTAAAGTTATCTCGTGTTGTCCCTGAAAGTGAATTTCACATTTTACAGTTTAGTGCAAAGTTTTTTGTATCAAAAATAATCATGCTATGGGGCATTGCAGTCGTGTTACAATGATAATTATTTTTAATTTGATTTACGTGTATTTTGTACAACAATTATTCAATTATTTTAAGGGCAAACTTTAAATTCATCTAAAAAAGAACTGCACTAATGCCACGCATAAGTTTCATAATGGGCCGCGGTACTACAGTACAAATTATAGTCTGTGACAGAGTCTGTGCCAGTAAATACACGTTGCCCTGCAAGTAGTACACAGACGCAAATGAAAACTTTATGTTTTACAGAAAATTACACCTCACTTCATTCAACGCAACAGTTGAATATTTGGAATGTGAGATAAGATTCGGGTGCATGACAATAGTCCGAGGGTTCATTAGTCCAATGTTCACTATATAGAATCTCGGCACCAACAAACCCTTATTATTAAAAACATTGATGAAAATGTTACGATTTTTCGGACCAATGAACCATCGAACCAATGACCTTCGGACTATCGAGATCCACTAGAAGGTTGGTTCGGCCACTGCAAACTTCAAATACAAGTAATTAAGACAATAGAATGTACCTATGAAAACAGATACTGCTCCAGATGAAGGGGAAGTCACAATCTCAGTTATTTCTTCAACAGAGAGGCGGTCATCCGTCACTTTTAAGTGATCAGACATGCTGATTAGTACCTTCTTCACCTAGCCAATTTTAACTATACTTTCTATATCTGATACTCTTTTACTTCATAAATGAATGCTTCCTACCACCGTCACGCCGGTTTGTTTTGATCTTGGCAAGCGGCATGTCGATTAAAATTTGACATAGATGGCGTAGTGACAAGAGGCGCTTTTATCGTTTTCTATTTATTTTGTCAGATTTCACTCGTTTTATGATTTAAAAGTGCATTTTAAACTTTTTAACTGGAATTTAGGAAGGTCATCGACGATATTAAACTCCAGATGTTAAGAGGACCAACCGCGTCATATAAACAAAAACTTTTATACGGCAATCCACTTATGCGCTCTTTTGAAAAAGAATAGAAAAAACGTCATTTCTTGGCCAAGACAGGTCCCGTAATGTAACACATTTTATGCAGTAGCTTAGGCCAAATAAAAGGAAAATATGACGTGGACTGTTGTCATAAATGCATTCAGATTCTGTTTTATTAGAACAATGTTCACTAATGTTCACTTTTCATACCTTTAGTTAGGAAATTTGATTTTAAAAAATGGGTGCACGCGTTTTGGAATATAGGGCCTAGTAAATAAGATTCAAAGGCCTGTCCGGTGATCTAACACCATTCATACTTCTACTCCATTTGCTTTGTTCCTACAAAGCACCTATTAATGGGACATGTGTTTGCCCTTTCCGATGATAAATGATTAATTCAATAAGAAACGGGGAATGATCAATATGTTACCTGTAGCCTCGTTTAGAATGAAAAGGCGCAAACAGACTCGTACAGTTGATGAGCGATGTACATGTACGTCATCAGCTTTATTTTCAATAAGCATTTTTGCATCCCGATAAAAAAGGCTCTGTGTAAAAACATCACACTGCATTGAACACATTAATCGTGTCGTTCGCAAGTCATTTATACTTCCATGTCACAGGCATTCGTGTCATATATCTCATTGATCCCTTGTTTTATGTCTGATAAAAATATGCCATAAAGTTCAATATTCTCTTAACAATTTCAGCTTTTGCCATCGATTTTGTTGCAACTGAGCTGCCCCTATACAATTCATTTTTCAACATATTTGGTCTTTCGAAATAGGATTATTGATTCGATCCCGACTGTGAACGGGGCGTCGAAGTTTGCAGCCCGTATCGCACCACTCTTCGATTTTTTGGAGCCATGTAACGGGCAAAACAGAAGAAAAACAACGACCCCGCCGACACACTAGACACCTAAGAGAAGAGGAACACGTCAAAATGGCGTAATTCGGGAAAATTGGAAGTTCTATATAATTCACAGTTCAAACTGGTAAGTTTGTCCATTTGATTTCGTAATTGGATGTTAGGAACATTTACTTTTGGGTGTTTTTAGGCACATTTCAGCTATTGATTATTTTTGATTCGCGTTTTACTCCTACAGTGTATGATCCTATCCAGTATGACATGTCAAGATCTTAATAACTTTAAATTTATCATATCTTTTTCAATGTATCACATTATCAGACTATATTATATTGTACTTTAACATTTTTGCTTGTTCTAATTTTATGTAGTAGGCTACACCATATAACTTCAAAACTGTAAACTAACTGATCGCACATCAGAAGGTATTATTAGGCCTACTTCGTTGTCTTTTTTTGCCAATGTACTACTTCACCAGACTATATATTGTACTTTTAAACTTTTACTTGTGCTAATTTATGTAGTATACCATATAACTTACCAACTGTAAACTAACTGATCGCACATCAAAATGTGTTGTTACTTCGTTCTCCTTTGTTCTGTTTTGTCTTTAACAAATCAAAACCGTCTGGATATTAGAATGAACTGAGAGCATTTGTAACTTAAACTTAACTTCAGGTAATCTCCCTTACAGTCGGGGCTACCTACGTAGAAAAGACAACCAGCTTTAATTTGATCATCTCGTGAATCTGTCATGATCTTTTCTTCAGTTGACTTGTGTTTTTTCAACTCCCGTGTGCCTACGTGTCAAGCAAATTTTAGATGGTTTTTATGAACAAAACTTGAAAAAGAGAGAAAGTTTAACTTGTAAGAAAAGTAGAGAATAAAAATAAGAAAGGGAGGGGGATGTTTTTATTTACGTTTTTGCGCATAAATTGGCATTAGTATCGCACGGCTTTCGCGAAAACAGAATAACCTGTAGCACTGGGGCACAGGCCGCGTCTAATGTGGATACACAGAAAATATGACAAAAAGAAGTCAAAAAGAAATGTTAGCAGAAACAATACTTTTGTCTTTGTCAAAATATCCCTCAGGAAGCGTAGATGTATGAGTTAAAACCCTAACGAGCACGGTGACATTCAAATTAGCTTGTATAACGGTATATTTTAGGCAAGATTACGTATTACTTAACAATCCCGTGAAGGGAGAAAATTCAGTAGCGCAGGAATAAAAATCGATCTCCAATCAAATCTCCATGTAGACTGGTTAGACTGTTAACGATTGAAATCAAAATCAATGCATCCGGGGTGCAAAGATCAATAATTAACAAAACAAATTAGAAAAGTTCATGCGACAATTGATCGTGATTGAGGTAAGCTTTGCGAAAAAACATAAAAAAGTGACTCGGAATTTGTTTGTGACATTTCATATTTGGAAGGAGAGTGCATTTTCTTGTGGCTTTCTATGGTCTTTTTTCCTTAGATAAGTTAACTTTCACTTTGCCATCGTCCAGAGCAATCACACCACTCTGCACTGGCGATCAATATATCGATGACAACTCGTGCTGTTGAAAGCGCGGCCTCGTAATTTGTTGGCCACCGTGACTGGCGGAACTGAAATGAATTAATGAATCATCGAGAGATTTGCCTATGTCTCTGGACAACTATCTAGATCTTTTTTTACAATTCGACTCCAATTGTCTAATTTTGAATACGTTCGATTTAACGGATAAAAAAGACATATTTTATTGGCAAAACTAAATTTAAGAAGTTTTGGATATCAATAATCACCTCTGTCCATTGAGATTATACAGTCTACAGTTGCGTGCTGTCAATCTTTTTTATTATTTCTTAAATGAACGTACTCGATGACATCAAATATTCGCATTTGCTTTCGCAGGAAATTACGTATGGCTTAATATTTTTATTGCCTGATAACCTGAAAGGGATATTTTTTACGTGCAAAGATGAGATCAATTAGATCCAGGATCTGCCAAGGACACGTAGATAGCATTAGGAGTAGATAAATGGTGTTGTTCACATCTACCGGAATGTTCATACTGGAGTTTGTTTGAACTTATGTTTTGTATACCTGAAGTATCTATACAGCCATGAACCCGTGATTGCGTATGAAAAAAAAAAACAATGGTGATGCAAAGTGACAACTGTAACGGTCAGCCAGACCCGCATCAAACGATAGACTGTCAATGACCTACCGATGGCGGGTTCCAAGGAAAGTGCGCCGTTTTCTCCAGTACAGTAGGCCTATTTCTCACTTTCAGATACAACGTGATGGCAATGACTTAGAAAAGGAGAAGGAAGTAAGAGCGAGGCCAGTGTGCCTGTAGCTGTTCAAAGAAAAAAAAACTTCTGCAAAGGTAGGTCTTAATTGACTGGCGAACGGTATCCTGTTTCCTTCCCCTGAATTTTAATACACTGTATTATTGAATACAGTTTTCTCTAAGTTGCTGGGCACTAACGGTAACTCTTTTCTACGCAGAATGTGCTTTTTTTCTCAGTATTCAGCATATCGTTGACTTCATTGACACTGTTTTGTTTCAACATTCTCCACAATATAAGATGTTTTGTAAAATGAATTGACTTGAATTGAACTTAATATCCTCGCAAAACTTTTTTATCGACCCCATCTGTGAAAAATTCTAAAGAAGACTTAATACCAAGGGGGGAGGGTATATATGATAAAGGTTCAAGTTCATTTAATCACTTCAGAATGTGCTACTTCTTTTAATTACTTTTTAACCTCATGAGAGAGTGCTTATCCTGATATGCTGGGCATTGAAAGAACGTTTGGACAGAGACAAACTCAGTTCAATCACGTTAAGTTGACGTCATGAGACAAAAGAAAAAAAGAGGACAATAGAAAAAATACTAATGAATTATATATATCTAAAGCCCTACCGGGGCTTGCTGCATTCCGCACGCTACAAAAAAAAAACAAGTCGAGAGATAATGAAATCAATGACCTGATGAGATGGATGCAGCTTTACAGGGGGGAGGGGGAGTAAAGGCCTGAAAACCAGTGGCTATTTTTCAGTCTGAACTCACACTGAACTCGCAGATTAAAAATAATCAGCAGACTCATTAACAATGTACACAAGGGATTGGTGCCGTATTCCCCGTTTGAATTATTTGGTCGTCTTGGCAATACCGAAAAATAATTGTCCGAGGGGGCACTGTGCTAGGCCAGCTATAACCTTCTTTTAATCATCACCCTCGCACAGTGCAGTTGACGAACGTCTTTTCTTCTCCAAATATTTGATGCAACTTGTATTCATCTAAAGTCAGAAAGATCATCTTCCTATAGCTCAGCCATGTTTTGGAGGAAGGCCTAACAAACTCCCTTTTTAGTATAACTGGTTTTCGAATCGTGCACTTATATCAACAAATGATATTAATCCCGATGTTTAGAGTCACAAATGGAATTGTTTGCATACTGGAAGATAAGAGTAACACTCAGGATTTCATTTTTCGTCCTTCGCTTTGTGCTTTTCTTCATTCTCCTTGCTTCTTACATTTATTATGCAGTATGAATACCCTTATGCAAAATAAATTTTATTTGATGGAGATATTGGGACCCAATAACATTATTATTGTAAGTTCTAATCAAGGCTACTTTGTATCCATTAAATTGGTCATTGAATATTCAACCAGTCGACAGTAAGGGGGGGATTGGGACTACGTAGTTTAAAAAATTTAAACGCATCGTTTGTAAAGGAACACCAAATGTTGAATATGATATCATAGATTTGATGTATTTTGGATTATCGACTCAGAAAAAAAGAAAGCGTCAACGATAAAAAAATAGTTTAGCTCTATAGATATCGTGTAGTTTCAGTTATGTTTAATTTAAATGTACGATGTTGCTGTATTATGTTGCTGCCTATGGCATTTCTTATGTTCGGAGAATGATGAGTGTAATGAAGATACTGTAAAGAGTTTGAACAACAGCGAGGTTTCTTATGAGTGCTATTTCATTTAGGCTCTGTTCTCACAACTTTTAGATCGATCTATCACCGCGGGGAGTCTCACTAGATTACTGTCAGATAATCCCCCTTAAGTGTCCGTCCCCGCCTACTACAAGCTTTAAGGGGTAATTAACTTTCGTGTCCGCCCGGCTGACAGCTATTTAGCGTGAACCCCCAGGGAGTTAGGTCGATCCAATGTAGGTCGATCTAATCTATGAGAATGGGGTGTTAGTTTCATGCGTCAGCTCATTTTGTATTATCTTCCATAGGCCGCATTCAGAACTTTGGACTAACTAATCCGAGGGTCAAATATGGCCGACCCACTTGAATACACGGTGAATCTATTTAGTGTCTATTGGCGGATTAGACGGCAAGCTTTATAGTGGGTCGCCATATTTGACCCGTGGACTAGTTAGTCCACTGTTCAGAATGCGGCCATAGAGATAATGAAATTAAACAAATCTTTTAAATCTTTCATTTTTTTATTTTTTTATTTTCAGACTACAAACGACGTAAATCTATCTTTTGTTGTATTTCATAAGGAATAACAAAAACAACGAAAAACCAAAGACTGGATTTATACAAAAGATAATTCAGAGGATGTCATCATCTCGACCAGGATCAAGAGCAAGTGAGTCTGAAAGTTTCTACGACCAAGACTTGGACTGCTCTCGGACACGGTCCGCCTTGGGCAGGCAGACGCGACCCACCTCCGCTTGGGAGAGGGTTGAGGAAAAGACTTTTACCATTCAAGAAGCTCCTCAACAAAATGGAACGTGCAACGGTGTGGCCAAAGGGCATGAATATATGCCTTCAAAAAGTAAGTTTCACTTAATCGTTTAACTCTTATAATTGTGTCAGTTAAAGTTAGCTAATTTCGATCGGTAACTTCCGACATTTTCTCTGCCTCTTAATGACAGGTCTTGACGCAGTCTCCTGTCGAACAGTTGATGCTATTGTGGCCCAAGTTAAACACATTTATCTCCTAAATGAAAGTGTCACATTGGTGGGTTAATGAATGGCATCGTATATTTCGTTAAATGTTGGTTAAACATGTATTTTGTGGAAAGGATTCAGGCGTATTTGATGTCATGACACACTAAAATATTCCCAATATAACTTTATTCTATAGATGCCCGAATTTGAAAGTTAATCAATTTCCGTATCAACTGTCTTTATCAAGACGCCCTCAAGCGTGCTGCGTTTTCAACCATGTCCCACTCTCTGGAAATTACATAGCCCAGCGATAGAGGGCACCACTGATCTGTTATTCTATAGGTTGTAATTAAATGATTTCCCAATAATATTTTGTATTTGTGCATGAAGAGTCATGCAGTAAATAACAGGAGCTGCTGCCATGGTGAAGCCAGTTCTTCTCGATATTGTCATAAAACGGGCGTTTTCGTACAAAAACCGCGACTTATCGATTTTGGAACTTCTACAAAAGAACTCAATATTTAGATTCCGGGGTTTGAATCGTCCTACTTTTACTAACTTCCTTCTTGGAGAAAATATATTTACTGAGAGTTTTTACTTATATTTGGCGCAAAAATCGATCGATATCCAGCCCATCGCAATAGACATTTCATTTATTTTATGTATCTTTGGAGGGTACTTGTTGCACGCTATCTTCTATTTAGACATGGGGGCGAATTCTTGGAAATATATTAGCCTACTCTTACAGTCGTAAGCTTACGGTCAAATACTTCAAAAATGAGCATTGATAAGAAATACGGAAGTCCGTCATAATACCATAGATGCGGTTTAAATGTATTAATCTCAACCCTAAGGCACTATTCTTTTTCACAGTACTCGAGGTTTTGTTTCATTGTATGTGGGCTAGAAACCAGACCAGAACCTTTGAGGCGCCTTTTGCACTTTTGACACAAAGTTTTGGTTTATGCAGACTCTGTAAAAAACTATTTAATTTCCTGATTAACTATCCTCCTTTAATTGTGTGCAAGAACTATAAATGTAGTCCCTTATCACCCTTGTCTACAAATAAATGCCCCAGTCAGCCAGTGTTATGTTCCTCCCTTACAAAAATGCCCGGATACACCCGATTAGCTCTCTAGCAGTCCTTGACAATACTGGTGATGCAAGGAACTTTTCAGTCGCTCTATCTTGAGAACTTAACGCCTATTGGCCCACAGTGTTTTGGTCCGTCCCCTGGAGCGCAACGTCACCAATAAACAATTGCCCAGTCTCCATGTTGCTCTGTTGATTGCCACAATGGCGATGCCTTTATTCTGTTTTCTTTACTTTCTAATGTCAATAACTGCACGGCCATTATATTCGACCATTTTGGGGCCCATTTTCGCTCGCTACAAGTTGGTCTGCCCTTCTGTTTGATACCAAAAATGGCAAAATCATGTAGAATAACAGGCTAACTGGAAAAGGCAGGATTTAATTAAGAACTTATTGGATTATTCAGCTAACTTGTCGCGAGAAGTTCTTGAAGATAGGCCGAGGACAAAACGATGGAATCGATAGGAAATTGGTGCTGAGATATCATGTTAAGGCACACAATATGGCGTCAACTTTAAGTCAAAGTGTCCTGTGCTTAAGGAAGACGATAATAATTTACTGGGACATATCGGCGTGTGGTTAAGGGTGTTTAAGCATCCCTTAACAAAATTTTATTATCATAAATATGGCAGGAAGGATTACAATCGCACATTATCGACCTTTTACAGGTAAAAGTAGAGACGATGAAGAGGAAGAAGAAAACCTGGATGAGTTATTGGAGGGAATGGAGGAGGATGAAAAGCCCAAAGAGGGCAGTACAGCAAACTTAAACGACGAAACAAAAGGGCTCAGTAGTCCACAGCCAAATGGATCTATAAACCCCGTGTCGGGGTTCACAGAATCTCAAGTTTTTCTCGGATCAAAAGAAGAATCAGACGATGATGACGAAGACAAAATTGTATTCAAACCCTTTACGAAGGAAACATTAAGGCGCCTCGAAGAAAGAGAGGCAGAGGAAAAGAAACTCGCTGAAGAAAAAGCTGGAAAACAACAAGAAGCCATTCTTGTAGATGGGGAACTGAAGTTTAATGATGATGAGGATGGTGAAGTAATCGAAAAAGATCCTTCACTGGTGGAAGGGAATCCTCTTCCTGTAGACCTCGCATTAGAGTTTCCAAAGAGCCTTCATGGGAAACCTATTGAGGAAATAGACCAGTATATAAAAGAAAAGGTTTGTAGATGTATCTATCTCTAGATGTGTGATATTCTTATCCGTGATCATTAACTTTCTTTTGTATGTACCTACATAAATCACATCAATACTTACCTACTGATTGTAAATAATATACAAGAAAGCAGTTAAAATACTAGATTAGTTTCCAGCTTTTGGCCGTAAATGTCATTATCCGATTTTGGGTATTTATAATTAGGTCCCCGGACTTGTGAAATGTGTCCATAAATTCTCGAATTGATGTAAAAGCTGTTAAAGTAAATTGTTTGCGGTTTCCCTCCTCCTTTGTAATGCACATATCACTCGTTATATGTTTATCAACGAGCATTTTTATTTTAAAATCAACTCTTAATTTGTATGCCTATTATTTATTATTGGATTTGAAAAGAATGTAAACCAGAACGTCTGGAGAGAGAGAGAGAGAGAGAGAGAGAGAGAGAGATGCCTCGTGAAATTTTATAATAATCTCAAAAATCTTTAAGGCGCTTAGATTGAACATATCACGAACCAAGAGAACTCTTATCTTAACGTCTTGTTTAACCAAATTCTCAACGATTTTACACACACTCCCAAAACTGTTATTACAATGTTTGGTTTGGTGGGATTCTCTCTTTGAGTCGCACTAACACGACCATCTGTCTCTTGACAGATCGGGACGTGTTTTTCTTTCCCTTGGGGACTTAATTCAATTTTACTCATGGCAAAATTGAAAGCGGTAGCATTGCTATCCTTGGACTTCAGCTTCCTTGATGTTTTGTTTCGCCAAATCCGTCTTGTGACCGGAATTATAATATACGTTTACCCTTATGAAGATGTTGCTTTACCAGAATTTAGTGTTATATGCTTCAGAAACCGGCGATAAAGACCGTCCTGATTGGGCCCTGTTGGCCTCACTGGATCAATAGAGTTCCGATCATATTGTAACGTTAAGATGATTTTTACAAATTGAAATTCGGTAAGAGCACAAGTACATGTACCTAAGTCTTGTGGGTGGGTCTGCCCGAGGTGGACGTTTTGATAGTTCCCAGTGCGTCAACCGTGTATTGAGATCTGGATTGATGTCGTTTGGATATATGAATATTACAGCAGTTTATCGATGGCGTTTCTCTTAGGAGCTATCATATTCAGGTGTTAAGTTTCCTGCTTAACGACAATCGACCGCAACCAGTTTTGTCGATGATAGCCTACTTCTAACTGATGGTGTGCCTGCTGTAGACCTCTTTCGTCTATGTGGGCTTCATAGTTTTGAAAGACCAAAATATTTTTTCGCGATATTCTTATATATGAGAAGTAACAGATGCCAATTGCACATTTTGCAAATCCCAGTACACTCACTCACAAAATTGCTTGAAACAACGAAAAACCTGACAAACGCTTTGTTCTAGTCCAGTAATACGGCCGTATTTCTTACTCTAAGATAATAGAATGTTTTGTACGTAAGTCGAATTTCTGATCGCAAAAAGGAATTATAAATCAAATTCGGTGTCCAAATCAATTGGTTAATTTTTATAAATATTAAAGTGGCTAAGTGTTATAACTTATAAGTGTTATAAAAATCGAATTTATAGAATCATTGAGTGTTTTGGACACCAAACAAATTTTAATCTAAAAAAGGTGGGGTATGGAAATTTGTTTTAAAAATCTCTAGAATGACAGACGTAGCCTCATTTTCCTTCGCTATCGTATTTATTCATTTTCTTTTCCCCAGTGTGCTTTTTTTTTGTCACAGAAGAAATAAAACAAGCTACAATAATCACCCAAGAAAAATAAATGACAACGCGAGGTATGACTCTGTTTAGATCATAACTACACTTCCTAGGCAACGAAATTCTGTGGTCGCTGTCGGGAGCTGAAGGTTCTAACCTTGCTAGAGAACGGCAAGATTCGCTTCATTTACTCTGCATAACTTTTGAGGTTGCATATAATAAAGCTTGGCGATTAAGATAACAAGGCCGAATTGAAAATCTTCCTTGCACTAAATGTGTTACTAAAATGGTCCTTGTTGTAATTGTAAATCTATTTTGGAGTAAACAAATCTGGTTTCTTATAAAAACGGCACTCTGTAGAAATCCAGACTAAACGAGCGTGACGTCACTGTTGCCTTGTTAAAATATTTCCATTTCCCCACACTGCCTACACAGGCATCTGTGTTTGCGTCTGCTGAATAAGTTACATTTAATGGGAAGCTATTGTGTTGATGACACGATGTTTACTCGTTGATCCTTTTCGATTACTTCGTGATAATGTGGTTTAGATCGCAAATTGACAATGCCAAAGAAGACAATATTGGCGAGATGGCGTTTTTTATGACAAAGAAAAAGTGTAGATTTAACGAAAATGCATTTAGATATTGAATGAAAATTATTTTTTGCCAATATTATACTCTGTAAAAGTAATTGGTGGTCATACAAGAAAAAGAAAGTTTGCGAAGCATCTCCGTTGACATAAATGTATATAGATGGCTGTTTACACTGTAAACCAGTAGAATTTTATAGCAACAGTACTTACTTATTACATGTATTACGTTGTCGAAGGCACTATATTGACTGTCAAGTCGTGGATATATCTGTATTCTGAAATTTTAATAACAAATGCTCTTAGGCACATCCCTTATGATTATACTTTGTTCTATTGCATAATTAGTAGCGTGATCACTTTTCAGCGAAAATAGCTAATTTTCCGTTTGGAAAATACACTCTCGCAGGACGTGGTCTTGCTATAGGGTTTATGAAAATGGTATCACGTGAAAATATTTCCTGCAAGATGTGCTATCCTTGATTCCCGCTTTTGTGAACGACAACTTGTTCGATTTTTTCGTCTGACGAAATCTAAAGAAAATCACGATTTCGAATGTGTTATAGAGATATATCGCAGTATTTTTGAGATCGGAGCATTTCCCTAAATATAATCTAAGAATTTTGAAAGTGATTAATTGATAAGTATTTTGCGTATGGATGCGTATGACTACCGACTAAACAGAAATGAGAGAGAGAGAGAGAGATCGTTCATATCCCAAATTATGTGTACGCATGTAGTACGTGGATGGTGTGATATAACAGAGAAATGCTGTGAACTATTTACACGTACAGCTAGGTAACATGTAACCTTGTCATTGTATATTTTTCCTGTTTTGAACCTAGGATCCCAGATGGAACCTTAAATAATCGTGGGTTTTGCGAAAAAAAGTGTCTGGTGTCCTTGAAACAATTTTTAGTTACTGCAAACCACCTCTCTATCGAGTTTTAAACTCTAAAATAAAATTGAAATTGTTTAAATCTTGGACCTAACTAGTTAGGTCCAAGTTTAAATTTAAAGTGCTTTTTTTTTGCACTTGCTGATACTGAGTGAATGTTTCATTGAGTAAAAGTGCAATTTTTGAGCAAGGAAATTTGATCAAGTTAATTTAGAACATGTTAGATGTCTTATCCACACAAAATAAAACCCATGAACATTTTTGCTCAACATAAAACTCTTTGTACTAGTTCTTTAACACTTTTACATTTTCCTAATTTTTTCTTTGAACATTACATTATATTATATTTTTTAAATTGAATTAATGAGTAAAATGGATAAGATTATACTTTTTTTGTTTATTCCACATAGAATAGAACAGTACTTTGATTTATTAATTGCGTGAAGTGTGCACTCACATTTTAATTGTGTTGTGTTCAGTTTTAACGTTTGTTGTTTTTCTTCTTTCTGTTACTTGATAATACAGATTGATTACGGTTGGGTCAGTAACAAGGTATGATATAAATATTTAATTCTGCTCATCCTGCTTCTCCCATTTTATATACATATCCCAACCATTCTCACCACTTCCCATGCAGGCAAGTTACATATGTACTGTATTGACTGATTTAACTCTCCTTGAAAGCTTTTGTAGTGGTGATGTTTCACCTGCCAGAACCACTTTAGAAGAAAGTCACCTGCCTTTTAGGTTGAATTAATTGAAAAAAGTAGCGAATAATGATTTTGTTTATAGTCACCTGCTTAAGAAGAAGCAACAGCTATCTGCATGTTGATATCTACTATGTGAAAATCTATACATACCCTACATGTTCTCTCTAAAAGTTGCTCATATTGATTTTTAAGGGTGCATTTCATTTAGTAAGCCAGACTTCTTTGGTAGATTTTTTGTTTTTTACCCTTTCCCTCTAGTTTGTGACATAAATTGTAGTTAAATGAAAAGCAATACATATTCACGTTTCATAATGTCAAAACCTGTAGCCTTTTAGATTGCTATTTCACCCCTGCTTAAACCTTGCCTCACCCAAGTATAAAACCTGCCATTATATCATGCTATTAATTATGAATGTAGCACCTAAGGGATAAATGTCCATACCATAAATGATGCATCGTAAAATCAGTTGAAACAACGTCTCAATCAATCTTAATTTATTGAAGCATTTTTCATTGAAAGTTTGTGTGACAACAATTGATTTCTATAGCAATGAGACCCATCTTCACAGCGTTTCATTTTTTTACTGCATTAATGCCATGTTATGTACATTATTTTATGAATTAAGAACACTTTGTTTTGATTTTTTAAAATCTATGTAATTTAGAAGTAAAAGACTTCTACACATCTTCATTTCAGACATTTGTTGTGATAGCTCCAAAGTTTCGGAACAGTAAATACATCTTCCGATTCTCTGCCACGCGAGCATTTTTCTGCCTAGCACCATGGAACCCAGTGAGACGAGCTGCCCTCTATGTGGTTTCAAACCAATTCTTTGACTATATCATCATCTTGACTATACTCATTAACTGTATCATGATGGCCATCCTAGATGCACCAGAAGAACCTGAGTAAGTATAATATTTTATCTTTGTATTTTGTATGAAATAGGAGGTCTTGGCATCCTTATATAGGCAGAAGCACACATAAATGCAAATATATGAATTTCAAAGCAGTGGGTTTTGCTTGTGGCTTTTAATTTCAATCCAGATTTGATCTCTTAAAGGATATATATACGTGTATTTAATGATTTTGAGCTTATATAAACATATTTATTTAGAGTGGAAGGAAATATTGGTTTTTGTTGTGTAGAAATTTGTGGTATTTATTATTCATCGTATTAAATGTGTAAATGAAAAAGGGAGGCCATTATGGTCTAATAATGTTATGTTTGTTTGTTGGATTATGAATTAGGGGCAAGGGGAATTTCTTTTGACTAAGTTTGCTGGGACCTTCAAAGACGTAAATTATTGATGAATTGAAAACCTTAACTACACCTGAAAAGTAACACTGCAAGCTGCAGTTAATATTATGTGTCTTTTACATCGGTGGGGACTTTATGCAACTGGAGAAGAATTTGTTCTACTGTACAAACACACTAGAGTGTGTTCAAGTATTGATTGGCAAATTTGCATTGTTTACCTGAACTGTGAACCATAATGATCAATAAATCTTTGACTAGTTGCTAGGCCATGACAAAACACAAATTAGGAAAATAGGAAGTTGGATTTTTCTGCAAAGAGTAGACTGATGGAATTATGTCTGTGAGACACAATGAGCATCTATGAGTGTAAAATCCTTCTCACCTGATTTTTTCTTTCCTTTTTTTACTGTGCAAAGGCTGTCCAGAAATCATTTGTGTAGTGGAATAAACTGCCAGTTTTTGCTAAAAAAAAATAAAATAATAAAACTCCAAGTAACTTAAGTTTTTTTTTTTTTTTTTGTAATCTACATCTCTGTGTTTCTGGGTTTACGCATTCTTCCTCAATGGCCAGTTATTTATTTATCCATCCTTTTATCAGCTACAAGATAACTGAATGTTTATTTAAAAAATAGTGATAAATCTTAAAGAGAAATGTTGATATTGACTATGTTCTTTTATTTTATAGGTTTGTCTTCTTGGGAATTTATACCATTGAAATGATTGCCAAATTACTTGCAAGAGGATTTATTCTCAACAAATTTACATATCTACGAGATCCTTGGAACTGGTTAGATTTTATAGTGGTCATACTTGCGTAAGTATTTTTATACATCACGAAACAAATTATAAGCAATACAGCAAATGTGAATGAAATTTGAAGCATCCAGCTTCCCAGCCCTCTCCGCCGCCCCTCCCTAGTCAAAATTCTGGGTTATGAATTAGTTCATAGCAATTTATATTTTCAATTTGCATTCTTTAAATTGCTTTTCTAGTTTCCTGAATAAAAAAAAAGAAGAAAAAAAAAGAAAAGTTCACCTTTGCTAGAATGTCCTGTATTATATTGAAATCTTAACTTTCATTAGCATGCTTATTGAGTAAATAAATGATAAGCCACGGTTGTGCAATTTGCATTATTTGTGGAAGATGACTTTAAAATCTTTGACTCTTTGAAAGGTCCATGTCTAAATGACCACAATAGCTTAAGTAAATATGTGAGCAGAATTTATCTTAGGGTTTATACTAATGTGAGGGCTCTATCTTGGTGTGTTTTCTTTGCCTGACATGGAATATTCAGTATTGTTGATCATGATGTAAGAAAGCACTAAAGAGTGATGTCGAACAAAAGACTAGCTTTGAAAAAGTATGCAGCAAATTAGTTAACCATTACCCTAAGTGACAAGTCATTGGCCCAGTAGTCTTTTTATAATTTTATTTTTCCTTAGCACAATCTAGTGAACCATGATACCTCTTATTTTGATTTCCATGCCAAGTTGGGAAGTGGCATGGTCGCTATACACAGAATGTCTGTGTAAGCAGTCTTTCTGCATAATACATGCAACAACACTTTGCTGCCTCCATGTTTACATGATACACATTAATGTGGATTGAGAGTCAATAGGAGCAAGTGGGGACCTATAGAAGCCAGGCTCAATGTAAAGGTGCCAGCTGATCTGTGGCCTCCAGCAGCACACCGGCAGAGCTGCCTAGCAGCTAATGGCTCCATTTATACCACCTGCATATTCTGTGTACCACAATATTTCATCTGTAAGATTTTTGTTGGTTTTGGTGATCTATGGCAACCAAAGTGACCACAGTGTCTGGCCTAAATTAAGATTCCTAAATCTATAGTATTTTGAGGTGCAATTGCCATGAATGATATTGATTGATAAGTCAATCTCTTGACTTATCTGATCAGGTACAAGTTTGATGGAGATAAGAAAAATCAGTTTATGAGTGGTATTGTGCCAAATGCTAAATTAACAATTATGAACCCCCATCCCCCCAACATATACTCACACCAGCAAAGAGAACAGAGCAGAGTAGAGAGAACAAAATATTTCAGCACTTCCTTATCATAACAATATTCAGCAAAAGTGGTGGGAGGAAATGAGCCTGATTTTAGTGTCGTTTATTTATTTATTTATTGTTTTGCAAAAATTTCACAACCTTTTTTCAACACCTATTTACATATACATCTTAGTGTGTGTTTGTTTTCAGTTAGAAGATTAACAAATTATAAAGATGTTACTTCAAGATTTCATGATAATCTTTAAAATTCATATGAATGTTAAATTAGGTTTATGTTTAATATGCATTAAATTAGATTTTCCACTTAATTTTGCCTAATATATTAAATAAACTAGTTGATATATTTCCTTTCCAGCTATATCACTGTGTTGTTAGAAAAATGGATACTTAAAGACCAAAACTCTGAAATCGGAGGAATAGCAGCATTGAGGACATTCCGAGTTTTGAGAGCATTTAAGACATTTGCTATACTGCCAGGTATTCTTGTTTCACCTGATATTTAGTACTGAAGAAATGGTCTATCATTAGAAAAATAAATAAATAGTGCACTGGGTCAAAATTTAAGTTGTCTATAAATTTAAATGGTTTATTTCAAATGTTTTCTAAAAGAATGAATTTCATTATAATATAATATATTGTTTTAAAAAGAACAAAAAAAAAAAATTGCATGCAAAAAGGGCAAGCTTTCAAAAAAAAAAAAAAAAACTGCATTGGTTCTCATAATTTTGATCTTTTTTCCAAGTACACCATAACATAGTTTCATTCTTTCTCCTCAGGTTTAAAGACAATCATCAGTGCAGTGTTCAAGTCAATGAAGATGTTAGCTGAAGTGATGGTGCTAATAGTTTTCTGCATGACAGTCCTCTCTTTGTTTGCCATTCAACTTTACATGGGTCTCCTGCTAAACAAGTGCATAGAGATCCCTCCTGCAACTTTACCCAATGGAACAAACTTTACAACCTATCACGAATATTATGCAGATTGGATAGCTCAGTCAGGTAATGAAACCTATGGGTTATTTTACGTAAGATAAAAGTACTTGAGATCATTGTTTTTTCTCTGTAGTCACCAAGGACCTGTTACTTTACACAGGCTAATTTTCTTCAGTGGTTATTCACAACTTCAACAGTAAAGCTTGAATTATCAAATAAACTTGAACTACCTGGAGGTTTAAGTTTCTTATTCGATTTCACCATGAGGAGAAAATAAGAACAATACCTTAGAGTTTGAAGTAGTTGTACATGTTGAAAACCGAGGGTTATTGATTATTTGTCATTATTTAACATATCTCTTTATTTCAGCTCATTGGTATGATGATGGAGATGGGGGGTATCAATTGTGTGGAAACGTGTCAGGCACACAGTAAGTTTAAGATTCTATAACCTCCTTCCCTAATAGTATACTAGATACAGGATAAGCGTGGCAAGATATTTTATTTGTTTTAAAGATTACTGGTGACTGTTAGGTATATAGAAATAAGAATTAGTGTTATGCACAGGGCAGGTGAAGCACCAATAATGTTGTTAGAGATGTTGGAACATTCTGGTATGTTCCCAGCATAAAGTAAATACCATATACAAGTTGTTGGTAACAGGCACTTCATTCTATTCAAATACTAATTAGCACTCATTAGAATTACAGTTAACTTAACGATGTACCCTGATAATATTGCAAGTGTGAATTGTCCTTTAATCTTTTTGTAATACATTAAGAAAAATAAATTCACTATTAGATTATTGAACGTTATTATATAATCAGTATGCATTACAACACAAATGTAGAACCAGGCTGGTTAAAAAGTAAAAAAAAAAAATAATAGTTTTGTTTTAAGAACAATCCTGGATCACTGAATTATATCCCCACACCAAAACTGCAGACCCAGTCAAATAGCAATTATCGTTATATTATAGAGTTGTGTCAGACAATTAATTATATATCACTAGCAAATTGATTCACAAGGCCATCCTGTTTAATCATTTAATTAACATGTTTGGGTCAAACTTTGTATCTGAGGGGTAAAGTTAATACCAGGTACTTGTTGAAATAGTGCTGAAATTTTTTCTTAAATGCCAAATAATGTTTTGTTTCCAGGGGCTGCCCAAATGGCTATCTATGCCTTCCAGACCAAGGGCTCAACCCAAACAATGACTACACACACTTCGATGACTTTATTTGGGCCATGCTGAACATATTCCAGCTAGTCACTTTGGACTTTTGGGAAGACACTTACAACAAAGTAAGATTTACTTGCAATGTCGAGAACCATGGTTTTGGACTTTCTGGCTGAAATTGTCTTTTCAGCATTTTGTTTGGAGGCTGATTGTCATCCAAAGTTCATATATGTAAACAATAAATGGCCAGTGCTATATGATACATTGTATTTACATACTATAGCTTTTCTTACTATATACTTTATTGTAGAACACATAAATGCATAAAAATATGTTTTGTTGTGAAAGTCAACTTTTGAATAAATATTCACATGGCCTCTTTGGTAATAACCCAAGATACCATTGATTTTCTAATTTGAATAACAGAAATAGGAAATTCAATACGATGGTGACATATATGCATTTGGTTTTGTCAGGTTGTAAAGGTTGCTGGTGGCTGGAACATACTATTCTTCATGGCCATTGTATTTTTTGGTTCCTTCTATCTCATCAACCTACTGCTGGCAGTGGTGGCTATGTCATATGAAGAGGAAGCAAAGGCACAAGAAGCGGTAGGATCTCCCTCTCTCTTCCTCTGACTCTCTTTCTCTCTCTCACTCTCTTGTCTTTTTATGCTCAGGTCACTTAAGAATGGATAGCAACTACTGTATATCGGTGAATATAAGGATGATTAAATGAGTTGTGAAAATGTAAGTTCGTATTTGTGAGCCAGTTTCGTAAACAAAATCTTGCCACCACTTTAGATAAAAACACGCCAAAAGCATATATACCTGGATAAAGCTATTTGAAGGTGATTAGTAACTGAAGAGAAGTGGAGCATGTCCTACAAATAATTAGTGTGTTGTCAAGTATGTCGCTTGATGTTATACCTGGGGGGAAGTAATCATGCATCTTAAAAAAAAAGTCAGGGTACTTTTGAGTTTTATCATGCAACTTTATCATTTTATATTGGATTCACACAACTGGGAATCCCCAAACAAGTTTTCAGTTAATGATTTTCAATGTCTGTAGATAATGAGTTGGTTCTGTTTTTTTAAGGCTGCCAGTTACTTATTATTTTTCCTTTGTTGATAAAAGACTTTTGGATTAAAATAAGAAATATTAAAATTGTACATGGTACCTCTTCTTGGTTACTGTTTTGATACATAACAAATAAACATTATGTATCAAATTATGGTTTTGAATACAGTAGGTGTAAGGTAATAGAAACATTCACTCATCAGTGTGATGCATAACACTGGACCCCCTTTTAGACTAACAAACTGTGGAAAAGTTACACAGTCTCAATAGCTATGGCCCAAAAAAGTAATATCAACAGCAATTTTTAGCTCTTTATGCAAGTTCAATTTTGCACAATCAGGTGTTATTATAATTTAACCACACAAAAGTTTGGGTCATAAAGGCTGTAGCTTTTGGGTCCTGTAGATTTCTGGCTCCCACATGTGACTTGATCAAGTCACCTGTACAAATTTACAGACAGACTTTGTCTGTTATATATAAGTATGTTACAAAGTGACATGCTTGTTTCTGAAAACTCACTTATATGAACTGCTACAGTTTCTGGCCAAGGGTTAGGTGGATATTCTTTTGAAATGGTGCAGAAATTATTCCCATTGTGTCAGCAAAGGTTTATTTGCAGAGCAGTTTCAATACATTGCCAGTGGCAGAGTTGCTACACTAGACCTTTTGTTCTATATGAAACATATACAATTAAGTCCAAGATGAGGTATTCTCTGGTGTGTTATTCTTGTTTCTACACCTATTGAAGGTGTGTTGAAAAAAAGGTTTGGCTCTATTGTTGGGTATGCTTACCTTGCCATGAATATTAAATGAGACTGTTGAATTTTCGTGGCTACTGGAGTGTTTATGTAATCACTGATGTGGCACCATGTTTTGAAGCCTGCAACCATAGAAAGTGGTCATTTGATGCCTTTTGCTGTGGAAACCAGACTTCTGGTGTTTGACCACCTATACATGGACAATCACATTTGTAGAATAAAACTGAGTACATGGATATTTTTATTGTTAGTTAGAATGGTTGCTGTATATACATTTAGAAACTTGTTTTATGAACTTTGGAACAAAGATTTTTCTACCAAATGAATTTCATCTCACCATTTTCCTTCTTTCCCTAACATTTTTATGGCAATAAATAGATTTTCTTATAAATAATAACAATACAACAGACTAATAGATATACATAATATATCATCCCTGACTCAACACAGAACCCTAAAAATGTCATAGAACTTGTAAGATGTTTTTAAGACAAGTTTTAAGTACCTGTTTGATATTTTGATACAGCATATTAAATCCAGTGGAAGTGCACTTGTACAGTGTATTTACATTATTTTTTACTTTGAAACTTAGGAACGTGAAAGGAAAGAAAAAGAACAAAAGAGAAAAGAAAAGAAAGCAATATTGAAAGCAAAACAAAAGAAAAAGAAACAGGGTTCCAAAGCTGTGCTAGATGTGACAAAACTGTCAGGCCATATATTATCATCGCACACAGATCTGAGAGGAGATGAGCCTGACAAAAATCATTTAAAAGTTGATACTGTCCACCAAAATGGAAGTGCACACAGCCTACACAGCTCAGAAAATGGCCATGCGGGGAAAAGTCACACAGATCTTAAAAAGGGAAATGTTGGGAGTAAAGTGAGCCTCAGAAGTGTCAGCAAAGATACTGAAAAAGTCATTGGAAATAATTATACAGCGGTTGAAAATGCTGAAGATAAGAGGAAAAAGTTTGCAGAACAGGGCAAAGATAATGCCACCTTCACCATGGAGAGTGAAACAGATACCATGGGCACACAGGACACCTTGGTGGAAACTATCGCTAGCTCAGAATTCCACAATAAGATGAGTGAAGATGAAGCTCACCAGAAAGAGACAGTTGATGGATCAAAGGTAATTTAAAATATATTTGTGTAAGACATTTAAGCTTTTATTTTGCAGTGACATTTTATGCAACATGTATCATAAAGTATGTGAATTTGTATTTTTTTCCTTTTTTTTATACTTTGTGTCATATGGTGTGATTTAAAAAATGCCACCCATTTTATGGCTATCAAAAACTGCAATAATCCTTTATATAGCATTGGCCCATAAAATCTGGTCAAATATTTGAACTGCACACTTTTAAGTTTTAGTATAAGTTTTTAATGGATGGGTGGGTGGAATAACCATTGAATATTGTATCAAGAAATCATGGAAAAAAACTGAGGTAACAATTAGAAAAAAGATAATAAGAAAAAAAAAATAAAAACTAACATAATCTGGAAATTTTTTAGGTATCAACTTCTGGAGTGAAAATTGTGGAGACAAAAGTGGAAAATAAAGATAAAGAGGCAGACCAGCTGGGCAGTGTGGTTGATAATAAAGGTACGTTTACATAAATTATCAAATGGTCTGCTGGCTTGTTTAAATGTTCCATTCCATTTCAGTATTGAATGTACAAATGGGTATCCCCTTTTCAGTTTTGCATGTATTTTAGAAAGAAATTGACTTGTACAATGTAAGTTAATTACTTTCATTACTTTCATTTTTTCTGACACAAAATAAACATTATTTTATTTTATTGTATTGTATTGTATTGTATTGTATTGTATTGTATTGTATTGTATTTGAGTATTAGTAAATAGTTAAGATATTTTCTTCAACTGTTTTAAGAAGTTGATACACGACCTGCATATATTTGCTTTGATTAAGACTTACATACCTATTAACTTGTTTAACAAACCAGATGAAATAATTTTATACTTATGCGTGGTATTGAAAGGATTGTGCTGTGTAAACTGTTTCAGAAAGTGAAGCCAATACTATTGATCTCTTTTGTCACTGTGTGCCTGGTATAAATTTAACTGTATTGGACATGCAAATCACCAGGGAATGCACAATACGTGAATTAACCTATTATAGGAAGAAATGATACTAGTAATTCCTTGTGGTGAAAAAAAAGAGTTAATTGTCACTAATGTTGCACTTTCCTGATAATACCAGTTTTTGAAAAATGAAATCAGATAAATATGCAGCTAAGTTATCTTTTTAGGCTCTGTAAATCAAGGATGGATTGTTTGGATAACTTTAAAACTGGCCAAAATCACTTGAAAAAAAAACTGTTCATTTTGACTTTAAATGCTTCTTTTACAACAGAATAAAGTGTCAATAACTGCACATATGGCATATACTACAATAAGTCAATACCAGGCAATTGCAGCTCTGATAAATTGTCAAGTTATTCTTTGCTGGGGACTAGATTAAATTTGAATCTTCCGCAGTAGTTGTCAAATCAAGGTTATGACTGCAATAGTGCACTGCCGTTTTCTTGTAGATAAAGCTACTTTTCAGTCCATATGAAAACTGGACAAGTGATATGTAAACAGATATTGAGGAATTTGTGATTTGCAGATTTTTCTGTTAATCTTGCTATATTTGAAGAATTGAAAACCTGGTAGCAAAATGTCAATTACCCTTTTTACTGCTATGTTTGTAATGCTCTCATGCTTTATTTGAAATGTTCCTCTATATTGGCTTATTCATTTACATTGATTAGTACATGGTGCACAGAGTGGTTTTTGCAATTCAACCAGGATCCAAAATGAAAAATTATATCATTTTTGTCCAATTATTTTTATTGTCACAGAAACAATGTCACTTAGAAGTGACGAACTCCCCAAAGAGAGTGACCCTGCAGATGAAGGTTCGAGAAATTCTTTGACACTGATGAAATGATAAGTTTCATGGCAGCATAAAGTAAAACTTAATTGATAGAGTTTATTGTAAAAATTGGTAAAACAATGGATGGGATTTTAAAAAGAAAAACTGTGCAAGTGGCCACTTTACATATTTCAATTAAGTTAAGACTTTTTTGCTGCTTTGAAATCAGAGTCACACCAGTAATACACACTGTATTACTGAAGTATTTTATCACTCTGCGTTTGCTCTATATTCTTGTATTATAAACTAGTCATAGATGTGACTTAGACTGTATTGGACTTCTTCAATATTTAAACAAAATTGACGAAAAATGTTTTGGTTGGTGGACCCTATTTATTTTTCGAACTAAATTTGACCATGATTCCATAACTGAGAGCCCATTCTTTGCTAGGTCACATTTATGGTATTCATTCTTATTTACATAATGGATATTTCCACTGCAGACTCAGTTCACATTATTAGGTTTTATGGAGCATCAGTTACATTTTACTATTAACTTTTTTATTTACTCTCTATAGTTATTCATTCAAACCACAACATATCATATAGCATTAATGAATTCACATAATCTTATTTGAAAACTTAAGGTATCACAGAATCACTAGTTGTAGTAAATTTTTGATAACATCACACAATCACCTAGCATTAGAAAGTTTACTAAAAAGGATGAAGATTTTAATTGAAAATGACCTCATTATTTCATCATTTTATGACATTTTTATCAAAATGATTTAAATCAGTATCTGCAACAAATACATCTTATTTTCCTTAGTTATTTAATTGACGTGGCTTAATAATTATTTTTTTTATTATTATGTGAGTGTCTTTACTATTAAGATTACTTTATTGGGCATTTAAAAGGTAAGAATGCCCCATGGATGATGTTTACTTCTATATGCTATGTTAACTACTTGCCTGACTACATGTAAGTTTTTATCAATTTTATCAGTTTGCGTGGAGTCTTGAAATAACCAATCATTCCAAATCAATCAACATTGATACTTTCCAACATTTTAGAATCAGAAGATGAATATGCGGATAGAAACTGTAAATGCTGCCTTAAATGCTGCTGCCATTACCCAAGCTGGAGAACCTGTCAAATAATCTGCCACAAGATCACCTCGGAACCACTGTTTGAGTGGTTCATAACTGCATGCATCATGCTCAATACACTGTTCATGGCCATTGAACATGTTAATATGCCCAATGATCTCAAGAACACAATGGATTACTTCAACTATGTAAGTTGTATGCTCATATTTATATCTTTATTGTGCTCCACATGAATGGGCCATCTGGCAGTAATGGAAATTGTGTGAATAAGTGATTTTGATGCAAATGACATATAGATATGGCTTTTTGAGTCAGATGTGATTAAATATTGAATATTTTTTAATGTAGAAATGAAAAGAGGATATGACAATGTAGGGCCACCTTTTCAATTATTGACCAAGATGAAATTGATCCATCTGTTATTGTTCTATTTCTTTCAAAGTAACTAACAATGGACCCACTTCATTGCTTTTTTTTTCATTTTCCAGTTATTTACAACCATCTTCACACTGGAAGCTGTCCTTAAGCTAATGGCCCTGGCCAAAGACTACTTCAAAAGTGGTTGGAATGTCTTTGATTTTGTGATCGTAGTGTTCAGCCTGTTGGAGCTGGTGTTACTATGGGCTAACTTGGCCAGTTTGCCAGGAGTGTCATCTGTTAGGACACTGAGACTGGTGGGTATTAAAATAGGGGGCGTCTCGATAGTCTGAAGGTTCATTGGTCCGAAGGTTTATTGGTCCGAAAAGTGGTAACATTTTTATCGATTTTTTAATCAAGGGTTCATTGGTCCGAAGGTTCTATAGTGCACATTCGGACCAATGAACCTTCGGACTATTGAACCTTCGGACTATTGCTACGGCCCCTTAAAATACAGCATTTGCTGTGTTTTTTTTTTTAATCTTAAGCGGCATAGTAAACACACCTTGGTTACAACATAATATCAAGTATTTATGTCATTTATCTAAAAAATAACATGAATGATCATTGCTTTGCAGTTCCGTGTGTTCAAGCTAGCCCAGTCTTGGACAACCATGCGTGTTTTGCTGACCATCATTTTGAAGACCATGGGCTCTTTGACCAATGTGACCATTGTGTTGGCCATAGTGATGTACATCTTTGCTGTCATTGGCATGCAACTCTTCAGGAATGCATACCTAAAAGCTTTTGCAGATGACATAGGGTTAAATGACAGGTATATATATGTAGCCTCTGAGTATATTAGAAATTAACATAATTGATACATAAGTCAGTCAAGCGGCAAAAATCTTAAATTGACATTCCTCTTTCAGACCCTTACTCTAAAAAAAGCCAAGTAATCTATAGCCATAAGATTATATTGAAACATGTTTTCAATTACATCACTCACCATTGTTATTGTATAACAATAATAACGAATAAATAAATGTCAGAACTGACAAATAAATGGATAACTTATTCCAGGTGGCACTTCAATGACCTGGGCCACGCACTGATGATGGTGTTCCGTATCCTATGTGGAGAGTGGATAGAACCTCTGTGGGACTGTATGCAGGCTGATGCCAATGCTGTTAGCCAAACAGGGGCATGCATTCCAGTGTTTCTCATCACCTTGATGCTGGGGAATTTCTTGGTATGAAGAGATTATATGTTGTTATTTTTTAAAATATTTTTGTAGCTGGGAGAACAAATTAAGCTCAGATTGATAGAGTGTTATTTGATATGATAACTTTGGCAAGCATAAAAATCTGGGCATGATGATACATTTTATCATACATGGAAACAGATTTACTGGTAAATCGAATAGTATTCAGGCAATTTAGATTGATAAGAAAAAAGTTACTGTCCAAATGAAATTGTATATGCAAAGCATTTACGTATATTATAAGCACATTTCGTTTGAATTTTATTTGTTTTAGGTGTTGAACCTTTTCCTTGCCTTGTTGCTGAATTCATTTGGCAGTGACAGTTTATCTGAGGGAGAAAACACCAAGAAAAAGAAGAAAAAGGAGAGCAGATTACTGAAAAAACTACGTGCAGCCTTGAAGATTGGAGTATTCCGAAAGAAAAGCACCACTGTCAGTCCATCGAGGGAAGGGTCCATGGCGAAGGTGGAACCAAACAAAAATGAAGAAGTCAACCCAGACAAGGAGAAAACGATACCAGAGGTCACCTTTAAGATTGAGGATGAAGGCCTTTATGATGAAAAACATAAAGTTGGTCAGAATGGTATGTGTTTATTGGTTGTTAGTTATAAGAATAGTAAAACTGAAACATGAAAAATACTTATATGAACAGCATATTTTTTATTTTTGGCAAACATCCATTTTAAGTTTTTTGGTAATTGCCAATTCAAGCAATATTATTAGAAAACATTTTGAACTCCCTACTTGTGTTAACCAAAAAAGTATGTTCTGTGTGAGAAAAGAGATACTGTTATTATTTAGTTATGTTTACGAAATATCCTTTTTATGTTTAGGTGAGCATCTCAGCACCAATGGAGACCTGGAGTTGCAAACCTTGCACAGTAATGGAGATCTGAAGTCTTTATCTTCTTCTGGTATGCTTACACCACAGTCAAATGGAGTCATTAGAAACAAAAACATAAAGGTAAGTTAGGCTGCTTGTGAAAATGACAAAGTTTTTGTTAAAATCCTACTAACAACAGTTATGTTATGTTATGTTAGTATAGTCCATCCGTTCTTTGAACTACTTAAAATATCAATAGTCTACTGAGTGATGTGTCTATTCTTTTTGTTCAGTCCATACCAGAACTAACAATACTTCTAATAATTTAAAGCTTACCAGTTTTCCTGCATGCATCTATTCAGGGAAAACTTTAATTAACCCCTATATATATATGTGTGCATTTTCTTTCTCATGCTTCTCAGAAAAGAGTAGCTTGGGCCAGGGATATGGCAACCACTGGTATACATGCATATCACTTGCATACAGAGGTGCATCATTTGAAATAGAACTTCTTTATACTAGTAGATATACATTTATGGGAGAATTTTTAGAATCACATTTTTGGGGAGAAGCACAATAAATATTGTAAATGTGGAATTTCACCATTGCAACAATACCAAAACCACTTGTGTTGCACAGTTGGCTCCAGTTTGTGATTTCTACCTTGGTAGACAGCCCAAAAGTGCAGACAACATATTTTTGTAGGTTTTAAACACACTTTTTATTTCATAGGTATTATTTGAATATCCACAAGGCTAGTTTTTTTTTAATTGTCCTTTACCTTATGCATGATTTAAAAAATTATTGTTGTTTTCAGAAGGCCTTATGTAAAAAAAGATTAATGTCTTTTAACCAGATAAAAATGTAACAATGTTTACATAAAATGAAAGTTTTAATTATCACATCAGCTATCTTTACTTTTGCAAGCCATCACACTTATTTTCTCTTTCATTAAAAGAACATTGATGAGGCTTTCCACACACAAAGAGGTCAGTTTACAGAGTTTCCAACCACTCGGAGTGGACCAAAAGGCTCTACGCTTAGTGTTAGAACTATGACCAGTGAGACCAAGGAGCAGATTGAAAATGAAAAGAACAAACAAAAACTTGAAGAAGACAAACGAGACACTGAAAAAGAAGAAAAAGTTAAAGGAGAAGATGCATTGAAAGCAGACGAGGAAGATGAAGAGGATAAGAAAAGCTTAACAGAGAAAGAAAAAGAAGACAAGATGCGGCTTAAGGATGAAGATGCAGAGGATGAAAAGCTTGCAGACATAGAAGCTCACACCATTGTTGACTGCTGCCCTGCTCCATGTTACAAGTGAGTTTATAGTTAACAAAATCACTAAAACTAGCTTTTTTCAATAAATTTGGACAACATTTACTGATTATATTTGTCAAAACAGTATTTTGTTCGAAAAGTTCATAAAAAGGGCCCTCAAAAGATAGGTTGTATATTCTTCGTATATTCTCTATTGTATATTCTTGTCTGTAAATAAATTCCAAATTCTGTAACAAAAACAACTTTCTGAGTAACAAATAAATATAATTTTGATTACAAAAAAAAAAAAAAAAAAAAAAAAAAAATTAGGGGTAGAATATTCTAAATAAATCTCTCTAAAATGACTTCAGTTGGTCTGAGGATATTCACATCCAAATGAAGTGTTGTAATGCTGATGTATTATTTTGTCATTGTAGGATGTCCAAATGTTGTGCATCATGGGATGACACAAAAGTTGGAAAGAACTTCAGGAAAACACGTGTATTTTTCAACAATTTAGTGACCCATAAAGTATTTGAAGGGTTCATCATATTTCTGATCTTAGCCAGCAGCACCACACTGGTAAGTTTTCAGGAATTAAATTTTTTCTAGCAAACTCATGATGTCATTTAAAAATAGATTTGTAATATAAAATATTTCATGTAAAAGCAAAGTCGGCTTTAATTAACAAATAGTACCAACACCAATCGTTCACAGTTACAACTGTAGATAATATGGATATTCTGTTTTCAGAATAGTGACTAAAAACAGCATTGTTCATGTTTATGATTACTTTGTATGCACTTTAAATTGTTAATCCCCTAAAATTTTTATCTGTAAGGTTAAATAAAATAATGAATATATTCTGGCTTCTTTTTTACTCCCAGGTATTTGAAGACACCAACCTTCCTATGAATCCTCAGCTGGGCGAGGCTCTCCGAATTCTCAACACCATCTTCACAGTATTGTTCACCATTGAAATGCTCCTAAAATGGATTGCTTTTGGATTCAAGAAATACTTCACAGACTTCTGGACCATATTGGACTTTGTAATTGTCTGTGTGAGTATTAGTTTATTACATCTACTTGTAGTGGTCTTCTTTCTAGGCCAAATAAGAAACACACGATCTCATTTTGATTTTTAAAGTGAAAAGTCCAAAAAGTAAATTAAAATGGGAGCAACTTCTTTTGACATTAAGACCTCGTAACTAGGCGAAGGCAATGCTTAATGACACTATTACATTTTGATAAATAAATTACACTTGATCTTTCTACCTTATTTCAGATTTCTGTATTTGGTATCATATCCGATGGCATTGAATCAGTTGGAAACATCAGTGCTTTCAGAGCGCTACGTACATTGAGAGCACTGCGTCCTTTAAGAGCTGTGTCAAGATTACAAGGAATGAAAGTGAGTCTTAAAATTTCCTGACACATAAGATATGTCACACGATCATATACTGCATCATATAAGCTCTATTTACACATTACTTAATATGTACCCCTTTTCCTGAGTGCTTTAAATCAGAAAAGCCTTCTACAACTGTGAATTAAAAAAAAAAAAAAAAAACGCTTAATTTTCTTTTGGTTGATGCACATTGAAATTATGTCCAGTGAGGTTTTCATGAACGCTGTATAATATATCTACAGAATGTGTATTTATATATGTTGTACATTTGCTGAATTTGATGTTAACAATACTGTAATTAACACTTGCTGGTTCTTTCAGATTGTTGTGAATGCCTTAGCACATGCCATTCCTTCCTTTATCAATGTGCTCATGGTGGGCATGATCTTCTGGCTCATCTTTGCCATCATGGGTGTTCAACTTCTGGGAGGGAAATTTTATAATTGTTATGATGGTGACGGGAACAAGCTACAATATAATGCATCATATCTAACCAACAAGACGGAATGCCTTGCACTAGGATATGATTGGAGTAATGACAAAATCCACTTCAATAATGTGTTCGCTGCCGTTCTTGCAATTTTCCAAGTGGTTAGTATTGCCTTGAAAATACACAGAATTGTTATAAACCTACCAGAATTCTGTTTGGTAAAGTGGTGGTTTTTACTGGAAATACACGTGGATTATGTCGTAGTTTGAATACAATGATATCATTTTGTACTTGGTTTTAGTAAATAAGTGACAATTTCTATACTGACAACATTTACTGCTCTGTTTCAGTGTACATTTGAAGGCTGGATGGAAGTAATGGAAGCAGCATCTGACATGACTGTAAGTGATAACAGAAAATAAATAATATTATGTATATGCATCAATTCATTAATATTGAAATCAAGTTTTTTTAGTTTCACTTAAATTATAATAGAAGAGAAAACGCATTATTAAATACAAGTCTGTTCTTTACTATTAATGAAATTTAATGAAACAAGCTGAAAACTTGACACCTGTTTTAATGAGTATATGGTATTTACAGGATATTGATCTAGTGCCAAGATTTGAATACAGTTATGCCATCATGTTCTACTTCGTCGCCGTGATCATTGTTGGGGCCTTCTTCACTCTGAATCTCTTTATTGGTGTCATCATAGATAACTTCAACATGCTTAAAAAGAAGGTATGTTTACAAAATGTGGTATTTTTATTGTGCAAAGTGGATGAGATTTGATTTTTTATAGTCAAGAGTTAGTTTGCTATGACGGCTAAACGTTACAGTTAAAATAAATGAAAGCAATAGGATATGCCAGTGAGCAACTGAAAAAGAAATTTTAAAAAGAGGAAAGGGGACAGGCTGCTCTAGAATGTATTTGTCTGGTGCATTTCTTTGGAATTTTAAAGGTATTGTATTTGTTCTTGTTTGTTTGTTTTAGTACGAAGGAACATATTTAGATATGTTCTTGACAGCACATCAAAAGAATTACTACCATACACTACGAAAACTAGGAAATAAGAAACCACAGAAGACTATAAGAAGACCCAAGGTAGGAAAATAGTTCATGAATTTAAACAAAATTGTATGGTGCTGAACCCTTGAATAGAAATTTTAGCAAATGAAACAGTATTCATAAATTGAGCTGGTTTCAGATGTATGAATGAATTTTTGTTCTTTTTGAGAAGTTGAAAAGATTGTTGGATTTTGTTTGAAAAATTGCAATTTTGACAAGATTAGGAATTTCACCTTTTTAAGCATTCTTTATTTTCATTCTTGGAAAATTTAAACCAGAGTGTTTTTGTTAATGGCAGTGTGAAAAATGATACCCAATTCATATACCTTTCATATTTACTTGTACAAGACGCATGGTTCAAATTGAATTGTTATGTTAATTTGTCAATTTGACATCACTGACCCTTAATCATTTTTCTACATTACAGAATAAAGTACAAGGCTTTTTCTTTGATGTTGCCATGAGCAACAAGTTTGAGATGTCCATAGTTGTGTTGATATTTGTCAACATGCTGCTGATGACACTGGAACACTACAGACAATCAGCTCTCATGACCCAGGTTCTAGAATATTTCAATATTGTCTTCACCACCATCTTCTCCCTGGAGGCTCTCGTCAAAATTATTGGCATGCGCTGGCATTACTTCCGCAGGGTTTGGAACGTGTTTGATTTCATCATTGTGGTGCTATCAATTGTAGGCAAGTATTAATTCTTCTCAATTATGACACATCTTGTTTTTTCAAGTGCCATCACGGGGCATAGGATAATCAAGCCGCCTATTGAGATATCTGTATTGCAAAAAAAATGAATGACTTATTTTCCACACAAGTCATATGTATTAATATAATTATTAAAAAAAGGAAACAATTACGCGATATATTTTCCAAGATCATTTACGTTTTGTCTTTTGTCTTTCAGGTATTGCATTTAATGATTTTTTGAAGACATACTTTGTCACACCATCACTACTACGAGTTGTTAGAGTATTCAGAATTGGCAGAGTATTACGTCTGGTGAAAGCAGCAAAAGGAATCCGCAAGCTGCTGTTTGCATTGATGATTTCCCTTCCTGCTTTGATCAACATTGGGGCACTGCTCTTGATGCTCATGTTTATTTTTGCCATTATAATGATGATCAGCTTTGGCTTTGTGAAGAAAAATGGCGCCATAGATGACACGACAAACTTTGAAAATTTTGGCAACAGCTTAATGTTGATGTTCCGTCTGTCCACCTCAGCAGGCTGGAACGATATTCTGGACGGCCTGATGATCCACCCTCCAGACTGCAACAACACACACGTACTGCTGTCCAATGGAAGCACGTTTGCCAGGTCAGGGGGAGACTGCGGGGACGACTTTCTTGCTATCTTATTCATGATTATATATTTGATCCTCACTTTCCTGATTGTCATCAACATGTACATTGCTGTGATTTTGGAGAACTTCAATCAAGCCCATGAGCAGGAAGAGATAGGTATTACTGAGGATGACTTTGAGATGTTTTATGTGGTCTGGGAGAGATATGACCCTCATGCTACTCAGTACATAAAATATGAACAATTATCAGATTTTGTGGGAGAATTGGAAGAACCTTTAGGTATGCCAAAACCAAATGGCATGGCACTGGTTGCCTTTAACTTACCCATTGTGGAAGGAGATATGATGCATTGCTTAGACATCTTAATGGCGTTGGTTAAACATGTCCTAGGAGACGTAGAAGAAACTGAGGAGTTTAAACAACTCAGACAGCAAATGCAGGACAAGTTTAACGAATCGTTCCCAACACGTGTCAATACTAATGTTATTGCAACAACTATGCAGCGCAAGAAAGAAGACGTTGCAGCACGGACATTGCAACGTTGTTGGAAAAAACACAAAATGGACAAAGCTTTTGCGGAATTTCAGCAAGCAGCTCTGGCACAGCTTGCGCTGGAGCGTAGTCAAAATCAAGAGACACTGAGCCCAAAGATGCAAGAAGCTTTGACAAAATCAAGACCTGCCAGTGCTGTGAGTAGGTTAAGTTCAAGGACTAGTATTAATGTGGAAAAAAGTCCTACGCCTTCTAGAAAAATGAGCACCACAGGTAACACACTTCAGGTCCCGGGAGGACCTTCTACAACATAGTTGGTCCTTTTGTGTTTCCTTTTGTGTAAGTTTCATTAGACACCATTTTGACATTGTTATTTTTTTGCGTGAGCTTCATCCATGTCATACTATCATTACTGTCATATAATAAATTAAAAAATTCATATACAGAGAGAGAGAGAGAAAAAAAAGAAAAAAACTTTGATGCTGTTATATATCTTACAATACCATACAGGACACACATGTATGAGATCATATATATATACTCAGCACATTTAAAAAGAGCCAGTAGGTGGCTGTGATCTATTGTTAAATTACATATCTTTCATACATGTACAATTGTGAGATGTGATGGAAAAATGGTGTACAGAAATCTGATGCAGCACTTTATCCACACTTATTTTGTAGATCATCTTTACAATTAAACATAACATTGCAGTCATGAGTATAACCAACTTGTGATAGTATTATTGTCATCATTTATGACATATCACTGTGATATAGGATATTGTGTGTTCACTTATTACTTGGAATCTCAAAAATTAGAAAAAAAATGTAAAGATTTCTCAGAACAAAGGTGATATTCACTAGGGAGGATTTATTACATAAAATCCCCAAATTACACATAAACACGATTTTTGTTTTCTTCAATGTGCTAGTTACATAAAAGGCATTTCTTCGTTACTTCACATCTTTAACAATTACATACAGATGCTTCAAGAAGCTACAAATCTACTATTTTTAAATTTTCATTTAACTTTAATCTTGAATGGAGTTAAATGAACCTGCATGTTGTTGCAGAACATTTCAGTTTCTTCATAACTTGTGACAGAGGTGAACTTTTTTACCTTTGTATGGTTCCACCACATTTTCTTTCTTTCAAACTGTGATATAGGCAACTTGTATAACTTTGTATATTTATTGAGCCTATAGAACAGCAAGGCCATTCGCTGGTTTATTTGAACTGATATGCAATTCTGTGATATTAATTTAAAGATTCTGTAATTACCCTTTCTTTTCTTCAAAGTTGAAATACCCATATCAACCATTGTTTAAAACCTCATTTTTTGAGTGATGTGCACTTTGATATATTCAATATGGCATTTCAAGTAAATGGTATTTACAACTTCACTTTACATTTTATTGTATCATCTCTTTTCTAGATTTAGCTAGTATGGTAAAAGAGTGCAGTCACTGAATATAATGTGTGAGACCACTGGAACACTGTACATTACGTTCAATAAATTTTTTATCATAATATTGAGAGAGTGGTTTTGTCAGTGTCTTTTTTTTTCAATAATATCTGATAAAAGAATAATGCCAGTTATTATCAAGAGCATGATCCAATTGAAATTTTGTTGATGGAAGTAAAAATATATGTGTTTACTATTCCACTGAAGTAATCGCTGAGTAAAAATTACTGAATTAACAACCAATCACTTAATCCAAACTGTCACTTGACAAATTTTGTTTCCTGTAATATTTCAGTGTTGCATGTGAGAAAAAAAACAATTGCATAAATTTATAATTAATTTTTTATTTGAGTACTTGAGCAATAGCATGAAAAACCTGAATTCATGCACAGAATCACAAGGAATGCAAATGAACAATACTAACAATAGAACAGCTGTTTTGCATAAACTTACCCCCCTCCCAAATGTGATTGGGGGTTTCAATGAATGTAGCAGTAACAGAAAAAGTTTTTAAAAAATCAATAAAAGTATACATAACAAATTAACTGATTATAATTGGTAAAAGTTTAATTATCAATGCTGCTGGTTTCTATATCTCTCAACACCACTGCTTCAAAGTGGGTTTTCATTTCAAACATTTTCAAAGATAAAAATAAAAATATCATAGTTTCACAAACACTAAAACACAACCACCAAAACAACATCGAGTTATCCTGCACGTCTGTAGAAAAAATACTCAGTTTTCTTTTATTGGCAATTGGCCTTAAAGATTAAAAAAAAAACCTAATATGAAGAATAAGCAGCATGTGACACACAGCATGGGGCCACATCTTAAAAAGCTCACAGGTGGGATTGTCATCTGACTAAGATCACAGATATATTCATATATACTAATATATAGTGATAAAAAACTTGATATGAATACTTCTGCAGGCATGCCATTTTACATCTCATCACCAAGAATAACTGTCAGACAAGGGGAAAGCAGAAAAAAATCCCTCTTTTAACCCAGGCCCTTCTATTTGGCAAATGCTTGGCTCAAATCTATTACATTTCCATATGGTATTATTCATTAGAACCTCAATTCTTAACAGGTTAAAATGAATTATAGTCTACTACCCATCAAGGGGTAGAGTCTGCTTAAGCTTAGGTCCCAACCGAACATACGGGCTGCTACGTGTGGTCTACGGCCCAAAAAATGGGGTAAATGTGGGAGTTCATGCATGAGGAGCATGTCCATCGTGCGACTTTTGGAGGACGCAAACAGCACGTAGAAACTTTTCACCGATTAATGATTTCTTCCCTACGTCCTAGCCGGACGCAAGGAACCTAAAAACCCTGCGTCCAAAACGTAGTTGGGACCTAGGCTTTATGAAATTCACTCAGTTCATCTATTAAAGGGTACAATCCACAAGGGGTATAGTCTACCCAAAAGGGATAGCATACTCGCAAGGGGTACAGTTCGCCAACAAAGGTCATTATACGTCCACAAGGGGTATATACTCTAGCTACAAAGAGCTGAGACTAGTGTTTTCTTCTGGTTTCTGTCAAATGGAGATATTGAAGTTGTCCATGCCTTTCAATCACATATTCCTCTAATAATAACATGAACTACAGAAGAAGTTACTAACTTCGGAAGCAGATTCTACCCTTCACCGATTTCCTCACCAACTTCTTCACAGGGGTTATCTTCTTCCTCCTCATCATCTTCCTCTTCATCAGACTGTACCCTGTGATAACTGCTGCTACTGGTGCTGCTACTGCTGCTGACCAGATGAACATCACCGCCTATAGCACCCAGCTCAGATCTGTAAGGATATTGTAATATAAAAGAACTAAATAAATTGCTCCATCAAGGCGTGCAATTTCAAACAACACATAACTTGCTGATGCACAGAAGCCAAAAGATATAAAATTTAAGAGTGAACTTGGAAGAGATTTTGAACCCAGTTAATGATTTGGTTCTATTAGAAGTGCACTTGAAGAAGAACGAGATTGATATTTTTTGAGAACCATGTATGTTGGTCCCTCTACTCACACATTCACTTACCCTCTCTGCCCAGTTGCTATGGTACCGCTGACGTCCTGTTGAGAGTTGGTGTCAGATGACACAGCATGTCTACTGCGCACCTTGATCAGTGCCTCACAGAACTTTCTCCCCATTTCTTCCAGCTCCCTGGTGCCTATGTGCAATCCCTAGAAAAAAATCAAAGATAAATACATACAAATAGGCTCTAATAAAATGCTAAGGGTTTCTATCATAGGCAAATGTAATAATATTTGATAGGAAGGCCAATTTGTTGTAGATTTTGTTATTTGGCAAACTGCATACTCACTTCTACTTCATAGCATTGGAAAAAGAAACCAAAGGTAAGACCTTGGACCCATTATACATGTATTACCATAATATGTGTGTACACATTCTTTCTGCATATGTTGAACATCAATCCCCTTTGTTTTCAGGTGCTATTCTTTCGAGAACAAAATTCTTGAAAATCCACTATCATCAAACAATTCAAACTCTCTGAATCATACACTCCATAGTGCTTCTCCTTCCACTCACCCTGTAGGGGCCCTGGTCACACCCACAGTAGGTGCTTTCCATGGTGTAGCTGCGGACAATCCCCACCTGTCTCCACACTACCACTCTGGCCGTGGCCTCCTTGGACTTCTCCACCATGAAGCTACAGTTATTCAAAGAGAATGCTGGGGCACTGGCTAGGAGTTTGGGGAGAGTCTAAAAACAGAAAGAAAAAATATACTTAAGTTGAGTCAGCTTTGGAATGTAATGCATGTTTGCAAGCTTTGTGGCAACTAGATGAACAAACTTTTTAATAGGTATGAACCAACATATAAAACATCTGTCAGATCCTTATCAGATCTGCCATCAGTCAAGAGTTCAAGGGACTTCATTTATTCAAACTGAATACTGAAGTTTATACTAAAGTGACAGTAATAACTCACCTTGTATCCTGTATCTTCCACTTTTCCAGCCAACATGGCCGGGTTATCCAAGTCTTCAGTCTGCCAGGACATACTGGGACTACATCCATAGAGAAATACGTTTTTCCTTCTGGAGTGACCATGATAATCACAGTAGACCTGCAAGGAATAATAACTGTAATCATAATAATATAAATAATATATGTATATATTGAGCTATACTAATTGTACAAAATTTATCTAAGACTTTCAAAAATATTATCTTAATTTTATTTTGCAAGAATGTTTATCATAAAAATAACTATTATGGTGTACATTATATTCAACATTCTGAACAAATAAAAGATCTAATGTTTGTGTATAATACAGATTTGCTTGGGATGACAAGAAGGCACTTTCATATCTTCTACACATGTCAAAACTCAATACACCCTCCTAGTAACAAACTCTTTACAACTTTGTATACCAAAAAAATTCTCTTTTTAGAACTGAAATTAACCCCTGCACTTAACTCATCTTAGTCAAATGTTTTATAAAGAGATTAAAGTTATTGATAAATATTGCAAAGTTTGATAAAAAATGTTCCCGTACCACTGGCACTTTGTTGACCATCTTGAGGTACTGCAGCAGGCCCCGGGTGTGGTAGATAGTGGGGTGCAGTTTAGGACATGGTACCAGCCAGCGCCTGTTCAGATCCTCTGCTACCAGGGAGCACCTGTGGCTGTAACAGATAAACGGAGTATCAGCAACCAGAACAAATGGATCTGCAAACATGGATCTACAAACTGTGACAAATCATGTCAAATTGGATCTTCATATACAAAGCATGACATACNATTCCCAAATTACACATAAACACAATTTTGTTTTTGTTTTCTTCATTGTGCTAGTTACATAAAAGGCATTTCTTTGTTACTTCACATCTTTAACAATTACATACAGATGCTTCAAGAAGCTACAAATCTACTATTTTTAATTTTTCATTTAACTTAATCTTGAATGGAGTTGTGAATGTTGTTGCAGAACATTTCAGTTTCTTCATAACTTGTGACAGAGGTGAACTTTTTTACCTTTGTATAGTTCCACCACATTTTCTTTCTTTCAAACTGTGATATAGGCAACTTGTATAACTTTGTATATTTATTGAGCCTATAGAACAGCAAGGCCATTCGCTGGTTTATTTGAACTGATATGCAATTCTGTGATATTAATTTAAAGATTCTGTAATTACCCTTTCTTTTCTTCAAAGTTGAAATACCCATATCAACCATTGTTTAAAACCTCATTTTTTGAGTGATGTGCACTTTGATATATTCAATATGGCATTTCAAGTAAATGGTATTTACAACTTCACTTTACATTTTATTGTATCATCTCTTTTCTAGATTTAGCTAGTATGGTAAAAAGAGTGCAGTCACTGAATATAATGTGTGAGACCACTGGAACACTGTACATTACGTTCAATAAATTTTTTATCATAATATTGAGAGAGTGGTTTTGTCAGTGTCTTTTTTTTTTCAATAATATCTGATAAAAGAATAATGCCAGTTATTATCAAGAGCATGATCCAATTGAAATTTTGTTGATGGAAGTAAAAATATATGTGTTTACTATTCCACTGAAGTAATCGCTGAGTAAAAATTACTGAATTAACAACCAATCACTTAATCCAAACTGTCACTTGACAAATTTTGTTTCCTGTAATATTTCAGTGTTGCATGTGAGAAAAAAAAACAATTGCATAAATTTATAATTAATTTTTTATTTGAGTAATTGAGCAATAGCATGAAAAAGCTGAATTCATGCACAGAATCACAAGGAATGCAAATGAACAATACTAACAATAGAACAGCTGTTTTGCATAAACTTACCCCCCTCCCAAATGTGATTGGGGGTTTCAATGAATGTAGCAGTAACAGAAAAAGTTTTTAAAAAATCAATAAAAGTATACATAACAAATTTACTGATTATAATTGGTAAAAGTTTAATTATCAATGCTGCTGGTTTCTATATCTCTCAACACCACTGCTTCAAACTGGGTTTTCATTTCAAACATTTTCAAAGAAAATGAGTTGTCTTTCTTATAAAAATATCATAGTTTCACAAACACTAAAACACAACCACCAAAACAACATCGAGTTATCCTGCACGTCTGTAGAAAAAATACTCAGTTTTCTTTTATTGGCAATTGGCCTTAAAGATTAAAAAATAACCTAATATGAAGAATAAGCAGCATGTGACACACAGCATGAGGCCACATCTTAAAAAGCTCATAGGTGGGATTGTCATCTGACTAAGATCACAGATATATTCATATATACTAATATATAGTGATAAAAAACTTGATATGAATACTTCTGCAGGCATGCCATTTTACATCTCATCACCAAGAATAACTGTCAGACAAGGGGAAAGCAGAAAAAAATCCCTCTTTTAACCCAGGTCCTTCTATTTGGCAAATGCTTGGCTCAAATCTTTACATTTCCATAAGGTATTATTCATTAGAACCTCAATTCTTAACAGGTTAAAATGAATTATAGTCTACTACCCACCAAGGGTTAGAGTCTGCTTATGAAATTCACCCAGTTCATCCATTAAAGGGTACAATCCACAAGGGGTATAGTCTACCCAAAAGGGATAACGTACTCGCAAGGGGTACAGTTCGCCAACAAAGGTCATTATACGTCCACAAGGGGTATATACTCTAGCTACAAAGAGCTGAGACCGGTGTTTTCTTCTGGTTTCTGTCAAATGGAGATATTGATGTTGTCCATGCCTTTCAACCATATATTCCTCTAATAATAACAAGAACTACAGAAGAAGTTACTAACTTCGGAAGCAGATTCTACCCTTCGCCGATTTCCTCACCAACTTCTTCACAGGGGTTATCTTCTTCCTCCTCATCATCTTCCTCTTCATCAGACTGTACCCTGTGATAACTGCTGCTACTGGTGCTGCTACTGCTGCTGACCAGATGAACATCACCACCTATAGCACCCAGCTCAGATCTGTAAGGATATTGTAACATAAAAGAACTAAATAAATTGCTCCATCAAGGTGTGCAATTTCAAACAACACATAACTTGCTGATGCACAGAAGCCAAAAGATATAAAATGTAAGAGTGAATTTGGAAGAGATTTTGAACCCAGTTAATGATTTGGTTCTATTAGGAGTGCACTTGAAGAAGCAAGAGATTGATATTTTTTGAGAACCATGTATGTTGGTCCCTCTACTCACACATTCACTTACCCTCTCTGCCCAGTTGCTATGGTACCGCTGACGTCCTGTTGAGAGTTTGTGTCAGATGACACAGCATGTCTACTGCGCACCTTGATCAGTGCCTCACAGAACTTCCTCCCCATTTCTTCCAGCTCCCTGGTGCCTATGTGCAATCCCTAAAAAAAATCAAAGATAAATACATACAAATAGGCTCTAATAAAATGTTAAGGGTTTCTGTCATAGGTAAATATAATAATATTTGATAAGAAGGCCAATTTGTTGTAGATTTTGTTATTTGGCAAACTGCATACTCACTTCTACTTCATAGCATTGGAAAAAGAAACCAAAGGTAAGACCTTGGACCCATTATACATGTATTACAATAATATGTGTGTACACATTCTTTCTGCATATGTTGAACATCAATCCCCTTTGTTTTCAGGTGCTATTCTTTCGAGAACAAAATTCTTGAAAATCCACTATCATCAAACAATTCAAACTCTCTGAATCATACACTCCATAGTGCTTCTCCTTCCACTCACCCTGTAGGGGCCCTGGTCACACCCACAGTAAGTGCTTTCCATGGTGTAGCTGCGGACAATCCCCACCTGTCTCCACACTACCACTCTGGCCGTGGCCTCCTTGGACTTCTCCACCATGAAGCTACAGTTATTCAAAGAGAATGCTGGGGCACTGGCTAGGAGTTTGGGGAGAGTCTAAAAACAGAAAGAAAAAATATACTTAAGTTGAGTCAGCTTTGGAATGTAATGCATGTTTGCAAGCTTTGTGGCAACCAGATGAACAAACTTTTTAATAGGTATGAACCAACATATAAAACATCTGTCAGATCCTTATCAGATCTGCCATCAGTCAAGAGTTCAAGGGACTTGATTTATTCAAACTGAATACTGAAGTTTATACTAAAGTGACAGTAATAACTCACCTTGTATCCTGTATCTTCCACTTTTCCAGCCAACATGGCCGGGTTATCCAAGTCTTCAGTCTGCCAGGACATACTGGGACTACATCCATAGAGAAATACGTTTTTCCTTCTGGAGTGACCATGATAATCACAGTAGACCTGCAAGGAATAATAACTGTAATCATAATAATATAAATAATATATGTATATATTGAGCTATACTAATTGTACAAAATTTATCTAAGACTTTCAAAAATATTATCTTAATTTTATTTTGCAAGAATGTTTATCATAAAAATAACTATTATGGTGTACATTATATTCAGCATTCTGAACAAATAAAAGATCTAATATTTGTGTATAATACAGATTAACTTGGGATGACAAGCAGGCACTTTCATATCTTCTACACGTGTCAAAACTCAATACACCCTCAAACTCTTTACAACTTTGTAGACCAAAAAAATTCTCTTTTTAGAACTGAAATTAACCCCTGTACTTATCTTAGTCAAATGTTTTATAGAGAGACTAAAGTAATTGATAAATATTACAAAGATTGATAAAAAATCAATCTACAGAAACAAATGTATATATGTTCCCATACCACTGGCACTTTGTTGACCATCTTGAGGTACTGCAGCAGGCCGCGGGTGTGGTAGATAGTGGGGTGCAGTTTAGGACATGGTACCAGCCAGCGCCTGTTCAGATCCTCTGCTACCAGGGAGCACCTGTGGCTGTAACAGATAAACGGAGTATCACCAACCAGAACAAATGGATCTGCAAACATGGATCTATAAACTGTGACAAATCATGTCAAATTGGATCTTCATATACAAAGCATAAAATATGAGCTTCGCCTTGGACATACTTTTAAAAAGTTTAATTCAACTATTTTGCAACAGATTCTCCAAAGGATAAAAAGTAGGATACATATAACACTAGAAGTAGGAAAAGTATATCACCACACTTACTTTCCATTTATGACACCATCTGGATTCAGCATTGGAACAATCTTGAAGACGTACATCTCTCTTAGAGTTTGTGCCATAGGAGCATTGCTCAGAAGAAACTGAATAGTACCTGAAAAATCCAAGATCACCCTCACAAATACACATCTCAAAATATATCAAAACTGTAGCAGGAGGCTTAGGTTTTGTAATATCTAAACAAAATCCCGTGATCTGCAAAATATAATGTGCATCAGAAATTATCAGATCTATTTGACTTAAGAGGCATTAATTTAAGCAAGTTAGACTGGACCACATCCATTTTAGGTCACAAAAACAGTCTGTTTTTTCATTTTTTTTTTTTTTTTTTTTTTGAGCAGAATGGAAGTCTTATCCATATACTCATTTCAATCTGAAGCTACGATTTTACCTTTCATCACCCAGCTTGAGTTGCTCTCCCCTGGATGTACCCTGGACGACAGGAAGATGTAAGGGCGGTTTCCTAGAAAAACAATACTGAAAGTAACTTACATGTCACATGTTGAAAAAAAAAATAATAAAGAAATAAAAACAAGTTGTGACATGTCTCAGACATACACCAATCGTGTATATCTTTTATTTTTACATTTCTTAGTTACTTACTAAACTGCTCTATCCCCTCTCTGTTGTTGCTGAGTGGGTAAGCAGTAATAGTCAGCAGGGGGACTGCATTGCCAGATATGGTCTCTGTTAGCACTTGGTTTTTAAAGTAGATGCTGCTTTGGTCGTAGGTGTTTTCCCATTTGATTAAGTGAGTCTGTGAAAAACAAAAACAGAAACAAAATAATAAGAAGAAGAAGAAGAAGGAAAAGAAGAATAAGAAGAAGAATGAATGAGTGAATAAATAAATAAATGGTGTACAGAGTACAGATGAATGTAATTCAGACAAATACACCAACCCATCCATCAATGTGAAACTATTCACAGATTTCCCATACATGACGAGCATGAGGAGTCCCGTCAACCTACCTGTAGCATGGTATAGGTGTATGGGAAGTGGTATGCAATGTAGCAGATGTCTCTTTCATGCTTGAAGGTGATGGTAAAAGTTGCTGTGTAGTACGTCTTTCCTTTCTGTCCCCCTGTGACCTGTGAGCTGCGTGTGAAGTGGTTCTTGTAGTAGCATATCTCTGAGCCCACACGCAGCCAGTGTGGGCGGCCCTGCAGGGCTTCCTTCACAGAATACATCACTGGTTGCATTCCTGTAGAACAGAAACAAAATAACATTATTTTTCTAATCTTATGATAATAGAATAGATTTCTGGTTAATGTAGATGTGTCAGCACTGAGTTTATTGAACCAAATGCCAGCTTACAGACACAACACAGAATCAATAAATAATAATAAGGAAAATCTAAAATACTATAGTGCTTGAATATGGACATGTTTGCAGACCTGTGACCTGCTAATCAAATCATTAAAAAGTACAATTCCATTTGTATTCCTGAAGATTTACTCTGCTAGCAAGAATAATAGGAGGCATGTGTCAGGAATCATTTGTAACTTCAAAGCCAGTTTCACTTTATTCTAAAAATATCCTTTTCCAATTCTGTAACAAAAACATTATATAAAACACAAGTTCATCTCACCATAATTGAACTGGCTGTTGAGTTTTTCACAGTTGCTGATGTTAAATCTGTATTGCCTGCCCACCTCCATGTTACTAATCTCAAAATAAAACCACTGGTGATGGTGGTTAGTGTTGATATCAGGATTCAGGAAGAGGTCATATTCATACTGACGCACCTTTAGAAATCAAATTGAATCCTGTTTAATTTGATATCATTAATGTTGCATTAGTTTTAAAGGTAGACTATATCATATGTAACATTTTAAGTATCTGGTAGTAAAAGACGATAAATATCTTAAAGGCACACAACACCTTATATCTTTGATCTGCAAAAAAAAATTTACTTCCCAGATACTTCAGCAATCTTGCCTTAAACTTAAAGAAATGTCCTAGCTAGAAATGCATTACTAAATGGTGATAAACTCTACAAGCAAATGTATTCTACCTGTATTGCTTTCCTGAGATTTCCACTTTCAAATTGTGCATTAAACATCAAGTGAGCACCAATATCTTCTCTCCTCTGTAGCCTAGAAAAACAACATATTAACACTTCACAGCATAATCAATAAGAATTTTATAATGAAGTATTTATCAGTCACATGCCATGTCACAACAATCATCACCATCATCAATGTGAAAATGTTAGTAATTCTCCTACCTCTGTTCATCCATATTCTTTAGATTGGAGTAGTGAGTGCTGTACATGGAGCCTGCCAGTCTGACTATGGTGTCCAGGTCATAAACAACTTTATCTAACAGCTGGTCTGGGTTGATCATACGGTCTATATCTTCAAATATCTTTTGCCTTAAACAGAAAAATAGAAATCATGAATTTATTAAAAATGTTAATTTTTTTAGTAGATGAACATTCAGCCTACACTTACAGTAATTTCCATAGTAGAGGATACTTCTGGTACATGTAAAGCCTGGCAAAGAATCATGAGATCCACTAAACCATATCTTAGGGCAGCTTTCAGAATATTAAAACCGAGTGTCTGAAATAATCACCACATGACTAAGTCAAATCACCACAGTCATACAAAAGAGTAACTGTCCAAGGGAACCTGGCATCTTGGTGTACAAAATACCGAGCCTGTAATTAGTTAATATTATAAAAACAGTCTGAAAAGGGCTCACTACAAGACAAACATATTTTCTTCATCTTTTCATTTGAAATCAAAATCATATTTCTGAATCAACAAAATATTCACATATACCTTTGTATCCCAAACTTTTTCTCAAACAGTGGCTCCCCATAAGGTACAGGTTTGCAGCCGTGGAGCTCTGGATAGGCAAGTTTGTTAAACCTTCCCACACTCTTAGTTCTGCAGGCCATGTCTGAGTAGATTTCTGGACCATCAAATGCTGTTCCTGTCACAGACAAATATGATGCAAAAATCACAACCAAGCCCAAGTTAAATGCATGTTAATACGAAAAGTGATGCTTTTATAATCTGCTTGGCATTTTTTCCCACTTTGCAAGGCAAAATTTCAAGTATCACATTTCCCTCATCTAGCAATTTTTTAAATATACTGTACTTAAATTTTCATGGTGGGAAAGATAACAAGAATCTTTGCAATATACCTAAACCTAGGTGTTCCAAATTATTATCTACACATTAGTCTGGCTCTACATTAGTCTGGCTCTACATACCTTCTTCGACCATGTACTCTGAGCCAGCAGAGTCCAAGAATTCATCAGACGCGTTCAGTTCACTTGGGGTGGTCATTCTTGTAATGGACAACGGTGCAGTGTTGTTCCACTCAAGATCCAGCTCTAGAACTTCTCTTGCATTAGGTTTACCACTGGGTTTCCCCTTCCCTTTCCTACCCCCCTGAGACTGCTGCTTGGATCCTTTGGAAGCCTTTTGTCTGCCACCTTTGCTGGCACTCTTAGCCCTGAGAGTGGGGCCACATTTGGAAGCTCTCGGTGGAGAAATATCGAGCCTAAACACACTGGCACCAGTTCTTACATTCACTGCACTAGCGCTATCTTCTGAGCTGTTATCTGATGCCCCGGCAGTGAGCCTGGGTTCAACTGCAGTCGGTCTGTTTAAAAGTCTTGATGATGAAGAGCTGTAGGAAGCAACATCAGCACCACTCTCTGTATCCCTCCCTTGGCCCATCTGAAGATTGTTGAATGAGTCACAGAGTTCGGAAGTTCTGCGTAGACTATGCAAGCTGTGGCGACTGGAGCGGGGCATCTGGTGTATCAGCTCCTCCAGTGCTGTCTCAGAGAAGCTGTGTCTAGGAAGTCCAGACATCAGACCACTACTTGTGTAGAAGTTCCTGGATAGTGTCAAGTCCTCTTCCTCCTCTTCTTGAATCTGTGAAATGAATAACAGACAATGAAAAATAATTCCTAGTTTCCTTAGTTGACACAAGCATGCTTTCAATACAGCTTAATTTTCCTATGGCTGCTGCAGGTTACAAAAATAAGTTTTCTCTGGGTATTTTATTCACAATTTCTAATAATCTTAACTATCTTCTTTTAAAAAGTTTTTGCTAACTCCTAATGCATTTTGCAGTGTATGAAGAAATATTATACTTACCTCAAATTCAAACATCTCAGGGAAAAATTTGTCATACGATAAGGACAAATCTTCAGCAGATCTCTCATATGGTAGTTCAGCACCAAATTCAGGAACCTGTTCTGCCTGAAAAATACATATTTTATGCTTAAAAACTGATATCAAGAAGTAAGGAATACGACATTGTCACTGAGCTAAATTTCTAAACAAAAAAAAAAACTTTAAAAACAATGATGTAAAATGGTTAATGTTCTAACAAATATGTTCCTTTTGGATCCAAAGGTCCACCAATAAAAGGAAGTAATGACATTCAGAAAATACAATTTTTTGAACATGTAAAATATCCATTGACCTCTCCTCTATAATAAAAAGTACACTAGTAACCACTGCAGTCTGATCTGGCCACCAGCCTAGAGCAGGATACCACTCCATCAAATGCAATTTGGCAAAATTTAACCACACGATTACCAATGTGGTGAGACAGAGGAAATAAAATACTTTTACACACTTAGGAATCCTAGCTAGCAGTTGAAAATCAAAGCAAATATGCCGAGGAATGTAAACTTGAAAAGGAGACATGCAACATTTTGAAGCAGATTTATATCAGATATCAAGAGCATGCACTAAATCAATAGTAATAGATTCAGGACACAAACTTAACTCAGGAGTAGGGTGATTCTACATGCAAGCAATACTATTCATAGTTCAGCATTCCAATCGCCATTTAAAGAACATTTTATGTATTTCTTTACAGCACAGCTGTAGATGTAACATTTCCAAACTATTTGTGTGTAAATACATGTAAGCAGGCCTTTTCAGACTGCAAAATCAGATGCACATATATATCCATATAGGCCATACCAGGCAGCAAGGGTACATATGCATTCATGCAAAAGCAGGGACACATGTACATATATATATATATATATATATATGTATACATTCAGGCAAGAATCAGTGAGAAAAATCCAAGGCAACAAGCAGCCCAACCAGGCCTGATACTCACAGCCAGCTCATCATAAATCTCCTGTAATAACTGATGTCTCCTGATTGGGTCCTCCATCTGTCAGAATGTCAAGCATTAATCAGCGTGGCAACAATGAATGCTTTCACAAAGCAATTATAATGTTATAACTCCCAACTCCTGCAGTACAGTTTTGATAAAAAAAACCTGGGATAACTGCATGACAATGTGCAAATTTGTCCTTTACCACGTAGTGCCAGTTGATGACAACATGTGACACAATATTAGTGTTTTGTTTATGCTACGGGTGTTAGTACTGTAAAAAGAACAACAACAACAGAAAAAAAACATGAAGATTTTTTAAAAATCAACTCACTTCAGTTTGTAATTTACTGGCTTCAGTATCATCATCACTGCTGATGTCATCATCATTATCCAGTGAACTGTTTTCACTGCCGTTGTCGCCACCTATTAAACATAAAAGGAAAAGATACAACAATGGTGTTACTGAAATAAAATGACATTCTGAGGTGAAATTTTGCTGAGTGCAAAAATTTGTTCAACTAGGAGTCCAAATTTTGATGACAAAAAATATGCAGACAATACAAACTGATACAAGAACTTATAATTCATACTTAACAACCCAAACCACACCCCATTTTAGGAAAGATATAAAAATCAAATTTTAAAAAACAATGGAGCATAATGGTTTTCTAAAATAAAGCATTCCCAATCATTAAAACTCATTTTTATCATTACAACTGTTCTCCAGCACAACTGCCAACATACCATCGTTGAGCATCATAAACTCCGGAATGTGAAAGTCGCTTTCAGGCAGGGGACAGGTGAGAACGCTGCGGATACTGGCGACTGGAAGACGATTCTTTGGAAAACACTTGCGCATGATGAGGCTGGAGATGAAGATCACCTGCTCCAGGTCACGGCAGTTGATGCTCTCTTGACAGGCACTGTACAGAATACGGATGCCATCTGCCTGGATGAATGCATGGCGACCAGATTCTGTTAAGAGCAGAGGAAAAAACAAAAGTGAGCAGTATAGTTTAGGACAGGTCGTTAAGTTTTATAAGTCCCAATAGATATTATTATTATTATACATAAATTATATGATACATAATTTGTTTTGTATGAAACTATCCATGTGAGAAAAATCACAAAAAATTACATGATTCTGATCAATATATTACTTTCCATCGGTAATTTCTTTTTAAATCAAAAAAAGGTAAAGTTTGGTAAGGCTTGTATCAAAAAGTTAAACAAGAACTCCTTACTGAGATTTGTGATATGCTTGAGTACATTCAGCACAGCTTTCCGTAGTGCAATGTGCCTGTTTTTGCTGTCTCCCCTGTGCCAATCGGAGAACATGTTCAGTAACATGGGGACTCCTCCATGTCCAATGGCTCTCGCAGAGTTACTCTCTGTGAATATAAAGTGAATTCAGCATGTGCAGCATATAAAATGTTCCATAAAAATAGCTTCCTGGCATTCACACTTTTAGCTCTGTTTTTAGGCAATATACTATTTGCTCTGTTTGATCTATGCATCAAAGAATTACTTCACAAATATATGCATGGAAAAAAGTGTCATACATTATCTTAAAAACCCTTTCCTGTCTAAAAGCCTTATTCAGTAAGGTATATTTTTTCTCAGTTAAAATACCTCTTATAGCTATTCTTTTGATTGTTCAATTCTTACTTGATATTACCAGTAGCACAATTATATCCAAAATAGTTAATATAATGTCTGTAAAATATTTATGAAAAATTAATTCTGTAAAAAAAAATCCACTGAAATCTTAAATGGTCAGCCATATCACATAAAAAATAACTGTTTCCTCACTACACCCATATCTCTTCTATCTCTTCTCTACAATTAAATTTTGACCCCCTTGTTTCTTACTCACTTGACTTAACCAGTAATACCAGAGAATCTAATGTCAACTTCAACATGGACAGATGTTTCTTTCCACATGATGTGATCACCCTGAACAGGTAACTGACAGCACCATTCTTCCCCAAATAAGAAGCATTCACAGCTAGAAACAAAATAAATAAATAAATAAATAAATAAATAAATAAATAAATACATCTTCAAGGCATGAGGACAGACTGACCTTACTTAACAGTCAATATCAAAGCGACTTTTATACATGTCAAATTAAATTGATAAAATTATGTCATAAAGAGATTTTTTTTTTTTTGGAATTAAAAGAAACAGCAGTGAAAATCATATGTAATATACTGAGAAGTTTCCTTTATTTTCCAAAATCTTTCATAAGACAGAGCTTAACTATGTTTCTATTTGCTCAAGTAAATAATACAACCAAATATTGGGTTCATTTAGCATTGGGAATCAGTCTCTTTTCAAACCTCAATAAAAACTAAGTCAACATCTACCTTCAACATCAATGCACGTACCATTGTTAGAGTATAATTTGAGTACTGGCAGCACTGCTTGGAGGACCCTTGTACTACTGGTGTGGTTTCTTAGTAAGCCTAAGGTTACTGGCAAGGCTTGGCTTAATCTCGCTTTCACTCCAAACTTACGATCTATGAACAATACCAGAATATTTTAGGCAGTGATATTAAAACCACTTTGGGTGGCCATAAGACTAAAGTATTTACAAATAATATCTACAAATATTTGTCAAATGCACATCATGCTCTTAATTACATTTTAATTCAAAATGATAGAATACGTAAATAAAAAAATCTTGAAAAAACTTTAAGAAAAGTTTTACAGTTAAATAAGTCATAAAATTAAATCTGTACCTTTAGGTCCTAATTTAGCTAAAAGGTGGTGTATTGACAACAACAGTTCTTCATTTGGTTGGGTTTCCTTCCACTCCCCCGTGAGTGCAGCAAACAATCCCTGGGTAGCCCCATTACTGACTAGAGTACCTGCTTTCTTACCAGAAGCTACAAATATGTCAAACAAATGTTCAGGCTGATAATATCATCAAAGTAAATTTGCTTACTTGATTGTAAAGCAGTATGTAAACATGCAGGTGTATGATGACATTATTTATGATGATTAATTATATGACAATGTCTTATCATAGCACTGGTAGGCCAAGAACAAATAAAAAAGTTTGCCAGCTTAAGCCTTCCTCTTTGCACTGTGTGTGACTGGTCAATTTTTTTAACTGAGTAGTTCCAGCACTGGTCGATTTAAGACTTAAATAATATGTAATATATCCGTAACTGAACACTGATAAAAAAATTTAATCATAAAATGCCTTGGGTAATATATGAGCTATTTTGTCTTTATTATCTTCCATAACTCACCTGTCTTTCCTATCAGTTCTGCTAGTATGTAGACAACATTCTGTGTGACTGCCACATCTTCAGCCACCTCTAATATTGTGACTAAACTGTCCAAGTATTCACTGTGCTTTAACACAGCATCACGGTGGGTTTTTTCTAAATAAAAATAAATAAATAAAAATATAAAATCCAGTTCTGTAAATTGGAGTGCAGATTTTGATAAACTGGTTGAAGGCAATTTTGTTTGTCTTAAGACAAACACTAAATATAAGATTCACAAACACTTCAATTGCTGCATAATTTTGAAGTTGAGTTAATGGAAGGAAAATCAGCTGGGAATAATTTGTCCTTATATCTTACCTTGGGAGCTAACAAACTGTAGTATCTTAGTGGTGGTAAACCTGAGCTGTTGGACCTCCTCTGGGTCTCTGCGTGAAGGACGGTGGCCGAGGAGCTTTTCCAGTGTCTGGAACAGGTTACTCAGACGAGTCCTGAAAAAAAAAATAAAGTTATTTAATCCCCTATATGCAGAATGTCTTTTTTGTTTAACAGTGATGAAATAAGTTGAGCCACGGAACTATGTGTTCTTGATTTTCTAACAACTTAGAACATTGTATTGTATATGTACATTGTATTCACTATTTAATTATAAAACCAGGTCCCATGACCCTAAAAGTGACTGACTAGCTTTTTTCACCTTTTTGTACAGCACTTTGAGTTTTGAAAAACCTATAAGTACAACTATTCCTATTTTCAAAGAATAAATATATAAATAAAAATCAAGATGTTAAATAAAAATAACTATTTTTACTATCAAATGGAAAATAAAAAATAGCATGTTATTCAATTTTGTTAGGATATGTAAAGAGTCTGAACACTGCTTTCAAATGATTGTTTTCCATACCAAAATTTAAGACCCGGCACTAGCCCTTAGCCAACCAATAACATAGTTAACAGAGGCTAAAAAAGCAGGTAAAATGCTGTCTTAAAAAACATCTTATTAATAACACATATTTTTGATTGATTTTGTTATAATTCTGCATCAGACAAAAAAACCCCGACAAATTCTGTAGAATGTTCCCAGAAGAAAAACTAGCCTACCAGAGGTACATATCACCCATCTTAACAGCACAGATCCTTCTCTCATTCTACCCTCTGGCTCACTTCTCCACAGCTATTATAATACTTTATCTTTAAGGCAAGCCAGATCATCAACACCAAGGGCGCAAAACATGAAAGGAATTGGTAATAAAGATGCAAATTCATCCTGACATATGCCGTTATCTTACTGCTTAGCTACAGTTACAAATAACCTCGCTAAGCACTGGTGAGGAAATGGGCATCCCAGCAGAGAGGTCTGCAATCCTACCTGATATAAACATCCATATTTTACTTCAATGCCTGCCACCAATGATAACTCCTAACATACAAATTACAAACTTCCAACACCTTTGCGTGATGAATCTTTATCTGAGTGCTGGGCGTCCTGGATACCTCAAATGCTTTATAACATATTATGAACAAAAATCTGTTTGCTGCCACTAAGTTGTCATTAAAATAACTCCACGCCTTATTTGATATCAATCAATGTCCCCATTCAAATAAACCATAATAAAAGCATACACTCAGTCCCTTAATGGACTTTGCCTTATTCTTCTATTGATTTTTTATGTGATGCACCATCTAGACCTGTGGCTTCCACACAAAAAATTGATCTACTATCCTCTGAGTGAATTAACCACTAACAGAAACAAGAGAGTGCCAAGAGGAACATTATAAAACTAATTATTTTGGTTAATTACACATTAGCTCGATAATTCTGCTGGCAATATTCTTTGAATAACATATTACAATGGCTAACGGCCTGCTGTGATTCTAAAAAATGTAATGTTTTATCAGTCTAAAAGCTTAAGAAGTAATGATAAATTATCATAATATTTTATGCAAATTAGAAAAATAAAGAAACAAAGATACCAAGTATTATGTACATGATGTTTTCCCTCTAAATTAATCTATTATTTAACATTATTCTTTTGTGCTATTTTCCAAAACAAATGTTTCAAAACCTGGTCATTTAAGGGATTGAGACAAATAACTAATAACAAATAAAAAACACATCTAAATTAATACATAGAGGAAACAGGAACTGAAACCAGAAAAAATCGGCTTGAAGGATTTGAATTTCACAGAATGACTGAATATATTGATCTTTTATGAAAATAAAGGATGCCATATACTCTACTTTTCTATAACAACAGATCCCAACTCCAGCTTTTGACCTTGGACATTGCTTATTGATTTGCTCTCCCAGACCCACTAGCAAAATACATGCACACACACAGCAAACAGTGAGAAGTCTGAATAGTTCTTGTACACTGGCTTATGTAAACAAAAACTATTGTTGGTAAGAATCATAACCCCTTCTGACTACTTTTGTCCTGAAAAGTCTGAATTAACATTGGAAAAGGTCGAAAGGAAAATAAAAATCTATGAATATGCAAACACAGAGGCTTAGGTGCCAAGGTTACATTGTATTGCTTATGGATTTTGACATCATCTCTATTATGTACTCTAATAAATATTAATTACAATAATGCATAGTAGTACTGGGGTTTATGTAAATTTACATATGATATCTGGCCTTAAATTTCAAACGTATGTTTACCCTATCATTATAAAACTGAAAAACATACATGCTGGCCAGAAACTGGGTGCAGCTTTCAAATAACCAATTAAAAATCTTTCAATTTTTTTCTGCAAAGAGTATACTTGCTATATTTCTGTTAGAAAACAGAGTTAAAAAAAAACTTACCTGTCCATTTCAGCATCTAGATCTTAACCCGCCATCTAATAAAGATCTGAAAGAAGGATTAACATGCAGGCACAACATTCAAAGCATAATTCTAAAATTGACCAAAGAGCAAAGGTTTTTAAATAAAAGTGAAATATGTAATTATACACAGAAAAACAGAAATATTGAATGAGAATAAGTAAATTACAAAGAAAGAAGTACTACATATATCTACATGTAATAATAACAAACTTTAAATTTTGGGGGCTATATTGAATATGTGTGCTGTTTATGAATATTTCCATTCTTAAAAAAAAAGCCAGAAAATACTCTGTTACAGAGAAGCATCATGCAACCAGTTAGATTTACTTCAAGGTAACAAATATATTTCAATACATTCCATTTGCAAGATTGCAAAGATTTATCTATCTGTTAATTCTGCATAATTTATCCATTAGATTTTCAATAATCACTGCACCTTTTTAAGTACAACAGATTTCTCAACCATTGAAAAAACAACCTTACAACTCAATTATGTGTAATAAAACCAATAAATATTACCTAATAACGTCAATTATTATTGTGCACTGCAAGAAATCTGTTAAGACCCATTTATTACTACCATACCCATCTGGTCATTGAAATAAATAAAAAAAAGATAAAAACGTTGCACTGAAAACAGGTGTGCTGATCATCTTTTATCGACGCGGCTTGGTTCATAACTGGACCGTCTGCCGCCAACTGCTTACCTGTACTGGGAGGTCATGCTGTGATGATTTGACCGTTGACCGAGGAAGCCATGCCTTGGCAACGCTAGACTACGCAGATATGACTGGTCTGTGAAGAAATGCAGACGCAGAATTCAATGAGCAGTACTGTCCAACTGGTCTGGGACTGTATTCCTACCTTTAAATGGATCAGAATCGGTGCATTTAGGGTAAAATTTGAGGGGAATCTAGCCTCAATCTTTGCAACCTCCAAAACATGGCCGATATATCACGTGATTTATGACGTCAGAAATTCACCCTTTTGGGGAAACCCCTTGTCAGTTCGTGGGCAACTCCATGGGACTATCCCTTTCTGCATTTGAATTCTACCTTTAATTAAATTAATAAAGCTTGATTTAGTTTAAAATAAGTGGCCAGTCATTATAGCCAGCGACAATCTTCCGAAGTATCAGCGTCAGGTACAAATATTTTGCGTGAGCTATATACATTAGTACTAGTAGCTTGGGAATAGATAAAAAATCTTCTATATCATTTGATATCATTAATGTCAAGTTTATATGATGATTAAGATTAATGATGAGCATATTTATCACTATAGCCTATAAGGGTCAGTTCTCAGCTTCTTTATTTTTTTATTATTTTGTATTTTTTAAAAATAATTTATTTATTGTCGTTTTAGACTTTATTTACCTTCACACTCAGATATTCAGCACCTTTGTCTCAGGAGCATGTTACAACCCCCTTTAAATGGATTAATTTTTACTGATAGAAAACGGCACTTAAACAAAAAGTGAAATTGTTAAGGAAGGCACCCATGTACAAGCAAACATGTTTAAGTGTATAATTTTTAAGTTTTTAACTCATGATCCTCACTCAATACAAAAGAAAATTGAGGTGACATAATAATATGAAAATGCATGATTTGTCACAAAAATCCACTTAACAATCTTCCCATTAATAACTTAGTGGACATGAACTGCTTGTATTTGTTCTTGGACTATGCAGCAGGCAGGCTGGTACAAATTTTCATGGCTCTAAATCATACTTGAAAAAACTTATAATTTGGTTTGTTGTGAAACAAGAGCCCGTTGTGTAGATAATATAATCAAGAGGAATTATCTGGTCAATATTTGCATCAATTTCATTTAAACATTTCAATGGATTATCTGGCAATGCTCAAAGAACAAATGAATAACTTTTTTCAACAACAGATGTTTATTCTCACTTGACATTCATTGCATTACCCAGTGATATTTGCATGCTTATTAGGGTAGACTTTTACATTAGATAATAATGGTGAAAGTGCATCCATCATTGAATATAGAATGATAGTTATAAAGGCTTAATAAGATTCCATTATATGCTATCTTTTTCAAATCTATTACCAATGATTCTGACCACATCCTTAATGATTGACAAATCAAAGAAAAATCTTTTACAATGCTATCTGATTTCATTATTATGCTGCTAAAATATCTAATACAGTCACAGTCTTGATACTGAGCAAAACAAATGCACTAAATGACCTCTTATGGTATGGGAATTGGGAACTAAAGATGTAGCAGTTACAAAATTAAATGAAATTTAATATTGTGATATTTCTCTCTACTAGGAATGTTTTATATCATTCACAACCACTCAAATTGTTCCCTGGTAACCAATAAAAATATTTGACAACAAATAACAATACACATTTAAAGAAAGGTAATTTAGTTTTTCTACTCCTACACAGGTAAGCAAACTTGCCCTTTCCTTGCTATATTCATTGGAATAGTTGAATCAAAAAGACCCATGAATGTGCTATTACAATAGGTCTTTCACGTACAGAATGTTTTTATTATATTAACCATTGAGAAACTTGCAAATGCCACTTAAAAGTAAATGCTAAAGGTAATGCATTATCAGAATAATTATTCATAATCTGCCTGTATCCCTTTATCCAATTTCTGCTCAATTGAAAAATATCACATTTAAAACCAAAAAATTAATAATTCAATTTTCAACTGATCCTTGAAGTAGAGTCCGCATAAAATTATGATTTAACATGATCGTATAATTGGTCCCATAATTGATTTCTGATTAATGGAATGTCCGATTAATATATGAGAAACATCTTTTAAAATATATAAATCACATATTTAAAATTCTGTCAAATGAAGTTTGTCTCATTTTCACAACAAACATTAAAATAACTTACAACTGTTCAACTGAACAACTTCAATCTATAATTGTGAAACACACAAATGATCCCAGATTTTAACATAACGACACCGACCACAAACTTCTTCACAAATATTTTAATGCTTTTAAAATATAATACTGACTAAGAAAAGACACCCTCAATTCCGACTGCAGCTGTTTTTCTGACATATCATGTTGGATGGAAATAATTTAAGTTGTTTTACACAGTTATAATATTGACTGTGAGCTGAGATCTGTCATGTTCAAGTTTATGTCACCACCTGTCAAAGATGGTGCGTACAAGTACAATATATATGCATCACTGCATTTTCTACATTTGAGCTCTGAAGGTACATTAGGTACACAAGTTGTCATGCAGATTGAGGACTGCCTAAAGTAAGTTTTTTAAAGCATAATTTTTATAAAAATAGAGATGTTGCATAACACTCAAACAGTTTTCAAGTTTAAAATCAATGCAATTTTTTAGTTTGTCCTTACATTACAGAAAACTAGCAAAGCGTTTGACACTAGAATCAATTTTTTAAAAATCAAGTGACCAGACCCCTGAAAAATTTCAAAGAATCATTCCTTATCAAAGCAAAAAATTATGTATTGCATGGAGTATTTGTAACTAAAAAATTAGAAACATGAACTATGTAATCTAAAAAGCACTAGGCAAATATAAAAAGTGTCCCTAATGTGCTTTCATTCACCAATAGCAATTTTAAAACACTGGCTTTCTAAAATGCTTTGCAAACTAAAACTCCCCTTTTCTGACCATATCACTGCTGCTGTTGTTTATAACTCACTAGTTAATGCGAGTGGTATTCATTCATTCTCACCGAGTACACAACAGTATTCACGTCTGGATAGAATGTTAATTTCTTGAAATAGTCTCCTCTCATGGCAGAAAACTGACTACAGTTTGAAGTATTCATAAAACAGCAATGTAAAATATATAAGCCATTCATAATATCTATGACCATTCTGTTACCTTGTCTATGTGAAAAGATTGTCTTTCCCATTTTTCCACCTCATTATTCATTCTTTTTAACACTAGTTTTCATCCCTGTTTGTCTCCAGTTAAACAGTTACAAATATAAAAGTGACTGACAAAACTACTCAATACCACTGTCCATAAAATAATTAACACGCCACTTCATGCATGCCAAAAGCTTCAATAAATACCATCTAGTACATGTGAAATGAACACAAGAAAATGAGAGACAAGACTCAAACTACAAGATACATATCAATTCTACTCAAGCTCTACATGCTTTGTGACTCCTCGCCTCTGGATCTAACCATATTCCATATAATGGCACCTATTTTCCTACTATGCCTAATTTCTGTTGTAAATTTTTAGAAGAAACTTTGTTAGCATTAGCTTTCAGGTACATATCCCCTCCATTCTTAGCCCATTCTCTCTCAAATTCTTGTTCCAGAATTTCTGCTCCCCTCTTTCTAGTTAGGCCAGTTTCCTCCATACTGAGCTCACACATTTGCATGTCATCCACACCTGAAAAGAAATACATTGTGATAACTACGCACTCCCAGCTACAACATAAAACACTTGAGTTTAACCTTTTTGTTCAACTAATAGTTGGAAGTTGTACTGCTCTCTTTTAAATGTCAGGGCACTTTGGTAGGAAATTTAATGAATTCCAGGTGATCATATACATATTACTCTGCTTGTAACTGATACTATTATTCTTCAGCTAACAACAAGCAATTAAAAATATATATCAAGTTATCATTAACTATTCTAGGCTGTTGAAACTTCTACAGTTAAAAAGTGCCTTACAAAAATGCTAACAAAACAATCCCCACTGTCAAAATATGTCTCTCAAAACTAACCTGCTAACAACAAAACCGGTTGTTTATCTGGATGAAGCTCCATCTGTCTGGAAATCCATTTGCCGTCAAAGTGTGCAAACCACCAACCCTTCTTCTTGTTCTCTCCATCTCTGTGCTGATCAGAAGGACGAACAAATGGGATGCGGAAATATCGTTGACTAGCTTCTTCCTTCTGAACACTCCTCGGAGGTATTGCAGGCGGTGCATTACCAGCTGAAATATGGACAAGATCTACTCAGCCATGATTGTTACATGTATTTTTCTATGTGGTGTTCTATACTGACCTCCACACATAAAGCACACTGAATAATAACAAAAGAGACCCAGAGTTGCCAACTGTTGATTAAATACCAGCTTAGGCCCTTGCCATATTCCAAGAAATATATCGATTCCATGAACACCTCAGTTTGGAAACTTACTGGAGCCTTCTTCCTTGTACTGGTATGTATGTACAGATAATATAGTCCTTGTTGGCCTCTTAAACATGGGTGATCACAACAGACATGCAATAAACCAGGGAAGACATCCCTTGTGATGAAATCCTTTTTTAAGCAGCTGGTCTTAAAAACAAGCGTTTTCTCCCAATGCCTTTTTGACTAGCTACATCTAAAAATGATACTCAAAGCCTTCTAAATCTTTGCATCTCCTTAATGTCACCATGCATTTCAAACAATCATTAATAAAATAAATATTGACAGACAAAAGAAGTGCAAAACACCTCAAAATATGTAGCTTTTAAAAGTAGATCATACACTATCATTTTACTTCAAATAAAGGAAAAGCGAAAACAACAGTCACCCACATCAGGTACATCTCAATAAAAGCAAAACATACTGAAAAGCTTAAAAATGATGTTCACACTGATAAGAATGAAGCTGAAGAAGAATGTAGAATACCTTTGGTTTGTTTCTGCTTGTTGCCACCATCTTTAAAGAAAAGAATTGTATAGAGAAATATTGAAAACAGTTTTCTGCTTAATGTCATTAATTTGTAAGTAGCAGTGACAGTAGTTGTAATTAATAAATAGGAATGTTAAATTGCTGTAGTTAGGATTTGTTTAGACATGCTTGTTGTATAAAATTTGGCAATTTGGCAAATCATAAGAAAAGTGTTAGTATTGGTTCAGCCAGTAAGGGGTTTATCTGTAGGATTATAGTTTAGTATTAATCTTTTATCTACATTACAAAAAGTTATAGGTCTGAGATTTTGAGGCAATTTTTGAGGGAGGTTTTTAAAATTAATTTCAAACTGCTGATTAATCTTTAAAAATCAATTAAACTTATTTAAATTCATGGGAAATTGTCACCAGTTCTTTGATTCATAGGCACCTTAATTGCAAGTGTTAATAAGTACTTCTTTGTCATGCAAAAAGGCTACTAAAATGTAAGTAATAGACAGTTTCTGATTTCATTTCTCAAAATAAACTTTTTAGTAAAATTGCTGCACAACAGAATAAACACTTTTAACTTTGGCTTTGCTATAAATCATTTTTTTATAAGTCACACCTGCACCAAGCAATACTGCTGGTTAAAATATTAAATAATATATCAAATATTGGTCTAATGCAATAAGATGAACAGATAACTGTAGCTAGCAAAGCAATTATCATAAAGTAGCAGCAGTAGCTCTAAATTGTATCATAATAAGTAAAAGCAGAAAATTATGCACAAAATTTTCATGCATGTTAATAAACATGGTTTGTGTATTATCCATCAAATGCCATTGCACATAAAAAAAGCAATTTAATACCATTATACTGCAATTTTTATTCACAAAATATTTAAACACACATAAGAAAATGTATTAATCTCATATATCAACCTCTAGTAGAGTTAATAGAATATTCAACATACCATTTGATGGATAAGGACAACACAGCTGTTAACCAGTAAACATTGCAGGATGAATCATTCATATTTTCAAGTTATATTGTCAACATTCATTTAAACAAACAATTGAGCAGATATGTTGCATAGTGATTAATTAATGATTTAAACTCATTTTCAAAAATCAAATAAAAATCATCAAAATGAGTGCAACAAAATTCAAAATACTGTGGACACATTTTAAATACAAAATACAATTGTTGGAAAAATGCATGCACATAATTATGCTTAATCTATTATTCTGAAATTAAATTTTAAAATAAACAGCAAATCAAAATGACACATTAACACAACTTGAATAAATGATACACTTTTATAAATAAAATCTAAATGATAATTAACAGACATTAAAATGTGTTATAATTTCCACAGTGAGAGTTTTCATATTTAAACCATTCATTTTCTTAAGACTGACCTTGTTCCATGACATACTGTGGTGCCCTCTCCTCAGTAGATTCTGGTTGCTTGGCTTGGCGTTCATTAACATTGCGCTTCTTATTCTTGGATTTCCAGGCATGATAAACTTTTAGCCTTCTGTGAAACTCCTCGCGACAAGCCTCTAGCAGTTCAACATCTGGCAATAAAAGGTAAACTCCTCTGATTAAGCACAGAATGGATCATGACATTGTTGTTAAAAATGTTTCAGAAATATCTCATACAGCCTTCAAAATGTTAAGTTATTGCTAGACTGCATGGAAAACTAGTTCCCAGTGGGGAAAACAATTAATTCTTACATTATGTCAAAGAAATGAATTTGAAATAAAATGAGAGTCAATGAAACAATAAAATCCTGCCCAGTACATTAACCAATTTCTCAATCTCTAAAGATCTGTCTTACCACATGAGGTGTTGATAGCATCTCTGAGCTCTGCATACTTCCATTTGGCTAAATCAAACTTTTTGCCTGCAGCTGCCTGTCTCTGGGCCATCACACTCTCTGCCCTAGAAGTTTAATTAACATTACTGACAGTATATGTTTACTCTAGCACAAAAAATTCAAGTCTATTTCCTTACATCATCTAAAATCAAATTGGCAAAAATATGTAAACAATGTTCGACTGAATTTAGCACTGATTTATCACAAATCATCCAGTTATTTGCCCGGAAAAAATCTGCAGTATTTATATACACTCTGTAAAGCATTGGAATAAATGACAAAGGCAATTTCAGATGTGTGCATGCATGCCAGTATGACCTCATAATGATTATTTATTCTAAAACCAATACATATTTCACAAAGAGTGCACATTGGACAAAAACTGGAGATATAAAACTAAAATACAATAAAACAGACATCCCAGGGGATTAATGTTGTCTTGATAAATCTTTCTATCTTCTTCAAATGGCCTGTGCTTATATTTCAAAGGCGTGTTAGATCCTTTTCAAACATGAAATTAATACCCCTGTTCAAAAATTGCACTTAAACTTGTAGGGGAAAAAGCCAGGAATGCATTAACTGCTCACTTGGCTCATCGCATTAAAAAACATAACTATCATATAAAAAGCCTACCTTTGTAGTTGCACTTCTTCCACTTGGCTTTGATCTTCTGAAGCTAGTCTCAAAGCCAACTCACGATCCAAACGTTCTTGTTCCAGCATCTGCTGCCGCTTGGATTCCTCTATAGCTTCCTTCTCTAACTGCTTCTGAAGAGCCTCCTAAAACATATATATTTTTTTTATCAACTTAAATGGTAATTTATTTGAAAGGTGACTGTTCTCTGGAGATCAGTCCAAATTATCATAATCAATAATCTACAACAAGCATAGGTGAATGAAAGACTTACCGCAGCCTTACGGTCCTCTTCCTCTTGTCTCTTTCTCTCTTCCTCTTCTTTCTTTCTTCTTGCTTCCATTTCAGCCTTACTGCAAAGGTAAGATTAATATGCCCGTTATATTAGTGAAATCATATTTAAACACACTGTGCAACTTTTAAAATGAAAGTTTCAAAAGTTGAACAAGAAAGACAATTCAAAAATCACATTTTAGTCCATAAAACTAAAAGATGCAATTCTGAATAGCTTAATGATACAAGAGTGTGAAACACTTTTCAAATATAATTACATTCTTCTCTGTTCTTCTTCCTCCTTTCTTTTTCTTTCTTCTTCCTCTTTCTTTTTTCTTTCTCTCTCCATTTCTTCCTACAATGCAAAATTACAAAAGCAACATTTAAAATGTAATCATTGCAAAATATTCCTCTTTCTTCTCTCTTTATATCTTCATGGAACAAAATGACATAA